TTGATTACAAGAAGATTCCCAATTTTAATCGGATTCCCTACTCACATGAACGTCAAAACGGTCGAGGAGTGGAATTCAGAACGTGAATGATCTGGCAGAGTCGGGAATTGGAATATTGGCAGCTCGCCGCTGCTGCCAGTCAATATACAGCGAGTCAGAGCACTTCTCACACTTTGGTTGCTGCATGCAGTCGCCCATTTCCGCCCAGGGATTGCCCTTTGAGTTTATTCCGTCCAGTCACAGTATCTTGTATGTGTCTGGACTTCAAAGGCCAAGTGTGGGGGAGGAAATGGTGGAAAACTGTTGACGCGCCTTCGCAGACGCGGCCTATTTTCCACCTCCATAGCATGTAAGTCATTTCCCCCGTGATCAACTCTACTTCGTAGAGTTGGAGATTGTTGCCACAGGACAAATGATGAGCGGGATGTGCTGAAATAGCAAACCTCAAGCCACCATCGATCCCAGCGTTGCGACAATGATATGTCTTCGTGACGAGTCGCGTCACTCACGAGTTCACGACAGAGGATCATGAACGGGATGCATTGCAGTAGTACACCTGAAGCCAGGCGGATCCTACGGAAAAGCGACTGACTGATCCTGGCTGATCCCTGCATCAGCTCGAATGAGTATGTAGATAAGAAAGTTCAAAATTTCCGTTCAGTAAACCTAATTATCATACTTTAAAGGAATCGATGGCATCTTTGACTGCACGGATTGCGCTTACGTTTGTCCGCCAAATCCCCCATTCACTGGCTCCACCGACGCCCATGCCCATCCCGTTTCGACGCCAGATCGAGGCTCCATCGGTCCAATGTCCACCACTCATATGCACTTCACGTAGCCCATGGGGCAACAACGCCTGGCATAAAGCGCCGACGGTAGATGAATTAATGCCAGATCCCGGAAGAATTTCGATGCGTGTATCCCGATATTTTGCAAGGTCAAGTAAATCCTTTAAGACATTGAGAGAATTAGCCGAGGTGGCGGTCGTGCCCTGACCGCTTGGAAGAAGTGTCAGACATCAACTTGAAATCAACTACCGTAACGCTTACCTCGTCAGGATGCGGGTTAGTCCATCAATTTGGGACAACTGGTGCCATGCTACAATAGACAATCAGTACAAGTTCAACAATTAAAACTATATTTTGGCTTGCCATTCTTCGTGTCACGAGTCATGTCAAATGCTCGGTGAAAACAGACTACATCGATGAGCCCGGGAAAAAAGAATGATGAACAGTTGACATTACCTTGTAGAGGCAAAGCTTCTGAGACAAGACTAGAATGAACGTTGGCGCTCTAGTGCTTTGGGAGCACAATAAGAAGATCTACCGCTGAGTACGGGCCACGTCCACATCTCCTTCAGGAGTGAGAACGCCGAGCACAACGCCTTGAACGTCATTCTCTCTAAAGTATCGTATATCCTCTATCATCACATCGAATTCAGCCTCGGTGTACACAAAGTCACCAGTCCGAGGTCTGATCATAATCTAGTGGGGCAAATTCGTCAGTAGCGAGATAAAACTCAGATAACTGTAATGTCAGCTACCATGATCGAAACTATAGGTGCCACCTTTCGAATAGCTTTCAACAGACCAAGGCTGGGAGTAGTTCCTCCGCCAAGACCTAGATTGCTGCAGAGTTCAAGACGATCCGCTCCTGCTTCAACGGCTCTGAAAATGACTAGCAGTGACAGACTGCTCTTGCAATCGAAATGCAAGGATTCGCACTCACGCCAAAGCAGACTCAGTCGAGTCAACACAGACTTCGAGAATTAAGGCATGAACAGGAAAGCAATATGGCTGTAGTATGTACTAGTAGTGGTAGAGAGTCATAATCTTAATTGGAAAATTATGTAACCGAAAATGGATCGGGGTGTGAACTGGCATGCTTTCTGTTCACGGTCCATCACAATTGGCCCACGACGTACTTAATAGTCTTCCCTAGACGAATCATACAGAAGAAAGACAGTCTAATATCAATAGATTGATGGGGTCAAAGCAGGACGTTGAGGCTGGCTCAAAAGCAAAATACGGCGCATACGACGACGTACTCGTTGAGCCAGAACGCGAATTACTGCTGCCTACAGAATCATACTCACCCACAACTAGTACTATCAGTACGCCACGGTACAGCCTTGTGCACCTTGTGTATGCTTTCGTCGGAGGTGCCGCTTTATGTATCGGTGCACGCTTCCTGCTCGACGTCTCAGGTATTGCTGGACCACCTCCACTGGGAAACGACGTGAGGGTGCAAGCACCCCCATACGTTGGTTCTTCGGAAGTGCACCAATTTCCGCCTGTAGCCCCTACCAATGCTTTCCCTGACCTCTTCCCCACAAGGTGCGCTTCATTTAAGCTAGTTGAACAAAACTGACTTAACCTGCAGTGTTGGGTATCCAGGTGCTACTCCTACTGGGGCAGAGCCCGGCCTCATCGCAACTGCGCCCTACCTCCCTTTGCAGACTGGCGCAGCCCAACTTGTTGCACCTCCAAAGATCTACGAGCACATCCAGTCTACGCATGGTGACGATGTGAAAGAAGAAGAGGAAGAATCCGAACATTATATATCCAACCGTCCTTTTAACCTTTTCCGAAGCTGGGGCAACCTTTCTCCGTGGTACAGCGTTCCCCGTGGAGCATTCGGCATCAATGACACAGCAGAGCCCCCTGCTGGATGTGTTGTTACTGGCCTCCATTTACTTCACCGTCACGGTGCCCGTTATCCGACCGCGTGGGGTGCGTGTTCTCTTTCCTTTACAATACCGATAGTAACGTACTGCTGTCAACAGCGAATTACGGTGGTCCTGCTAAGTTTGCTGCCCGTCTACACGAGAGTGCATCGCAATGGGAGGCGACTGGGAAACTAGCATTCTTGAACGAATGGTAAGGTGTCCTGCTCTATTCTCTCGACTTGTATCTCATAAAGGCCTGTGCATAGGACTTACAAGCTAGGCGAGGAAGGTATGAGCTTCACAAGTACAGTAATATGCGATGTTCACTCTTCAATCAGTGCTTACTCCCTTTGGCCGACAACAACTATGTGTGTCCATTTTCTCATATCCTGAAAGGCTCTCATCGTGGACATATAGTTGACCTTGGCGTATCTATGCGTCTCAAGTACGGCTTCTTACTCAAGGTCTGTGTCTGCTTTCCCCGTGCTACCAAAATCGTATGATAACGAAGAAATGCTAGAACTTTACGGAGACAAATACGATTCCTGTATTCCGGACAGAGTCTCAGTAAGTGATGTGATTTACTTTATCAGGTCATGTACCATGACACTACCTATTTTCTTTACTCGATTCTGTTAATTCTTTCACCCTGCATTTTCCATCTTTCCAATCGTAAACTAAACGGTTAATCCTGCAGGGACCGTATGCTTGCTTCGGCACTCAATTTTGCCATTGGATTCTTCGGCTACCCTTTTGAGGGGCAGTATCAACAGTCGATTACGATCGAAGCCGACGGAGTGAGTCGTTTTCTTGTATCTTGTTCTATCTGTTTTGTCGTCTCGTTACCTCGTGCTGTTAACTATTTGAATTTTCTTTGTCCTCTTCCGGTATCCCTTCTTATCCAGTTCTTTCTCTTCCCATTGCACTTCTTCCCATTGCACCTCGTTAACCGACGTAGTACTCATGGTGATATACTTTGTCAGTTTAACAACACGTTTGCCCCCTATGAGACCTGCCCGAATGCCAAGGCCCCGAGTAAATCGAACCGCTCACTGCCCTACGTCAAAGAATGGGTTTCCCACTTCTTGGCTGAAGCCCGGGAACGACTATCAAGGGCGATGATCGGAAAGGATGGTCTGCAGGGTGAGTTTGATTGGACTGGAGAGGAAGTGTACGAAATGATGCAAATGTGTGCCTATGAGGTACGCTCACTTGTGGTGGAACATCCTTTCTGTTGTGGCTGACTGTTTTATTGATAGACTGTTGCCCTCGGTTACTCCAAATTCTGTGATCTCTTCACGGAAGAAGAGTGGGAGGGATTCAATTATTCGTATGTCGTGTTTCCCTTTTTTTGTCTGCTGTGGTATCACATACTAACCGTCACTTATGTGTTATTATAGGCTTGATTTGATATTCTGGTCAGCACATGTGCTTGTGTCTGTAGGTTTTTTGCTAATCGTGTTCTTTCTCCGACTGCTCGGACTGTGATGTGCCCCAACCTCGTAGGTATGACTCTGCTTTCGGTTCACCTGTTGGTCGCGTCCAGGGTGTCGGCTACCTTCAAGAGCTTGTCGCGCGACTTACCCATACCCCAATCGCGACCCACAACAGTAGCACTAACGCCACACTTCACACGCCTGAGACTTTCCCGTTAGATCATGCTCTCTATGTAGATGCTACACATGAAGTTGTTGTCCTCAATGGTATGTGCTCTTGTATATCGTACCATGCAGTATTGTACTTGCCCGCATTGATGGCTGATCGATTACCGGCGTGCAGTTATAACAGCGCTCAACTTGAGCACGCTCGCAGCAAGCGGTCCTCTCCCTGCTGACCATATCCCTGAAGACCGTTCATTCCGTTCCGCAGATCTCGCACCTTTCGCGACTAATGTGCAGTTCCAGCGTGAGCCACTTGTGATTTCTTTTTTCTTGGAGATTCGCTGAGCTACGTTTTGTTCCCTTCCATGATGCTCCTACGGCTCCGTACTTACCTTTCAGTCCTCTCCTGCGCATCTACCCCGGAACCCCAGATCCGAATCATCATCAATGATGGTGTTGTCCCTCTCCATGGAATTCGCACCTGCCCGTATGATGACAACGGAATGTGCCCACTCCCCGCGTTCATTGAAGCTCAGCAGGAGACAATCCGGGAGACAGACTGGGCGTGGGGATGTCATGGAGACTGGGAGGTACCCCCAGGCAGTGCGTGGAATTCAACAACAGGGGACGCGCCTCAGGCATAGCACAGTCACGGTTAAACGGGAGGAGGTATTGAGACAAGAGTTCTGCTGCGCTGTGCATACATAATACTATTGTTAAATCCAGCCATGCCTAATACACGTCGTTGACTGTCTATGGTAACATGAAGTAAAGGTAAAGAACATAAGATAACAAATCAAGTTCAGTGTCCCAAGCTCTCATAGAACTTCACCATCCTACGCACATCCGGGCATAGCGCGAGGCGTACCCGTTCACAGTCCTGTACAACACCTTGCCCTTTCAGCTCAATCCAAGCAGCCAAGCTTCCGGTCAACGGAAGTGCTGAGTTCCCCGACCCAAGGGCACCACTCAATCCTCGCACCTCGTTAGCCAGTTTGTCTCGCTGAATGGACCACTTGAGCTTTCTGACCACAGGTAACAAAGACCGCGAAATAGAGAGCAACGACGATTCGACGTCAGGTAGAATACCAGAGTGATACAACAACTTGAGGCCAACAGGTGCAGGCGCACGTCTCCGAAGATGCGAAGCAATGATATGAGCAGTACGTTCGCGTTGTAGTCTTAGACCGATGTCGTACTGATCCACAGACTGCACGTAGTTGTCAGCGGTTGGATTTATCACCGAGTAAAGTCTAGACGCCTCCTTACGTGTTCTGTGTATATATACAAGCCCATGCGCAATCTTCTTTCGATGTTATGTCCGCGAATGACATACCTATGCACGAGGTCCGTCATGGTTGGCCTGAGCAAGGTACCGTGAGGGCTTCGCGCAAATAAGAATGGCCGACACGTGATGGTGCGACTACTCGGAGTCGTATGAGATGCAGCACTGGGTCAGCTGCCAAAAGAGCGAGATATTCATGGAGTTTGGAGAGAGTTGCGAGGTCGGGCAGATCCAGAAATGACACTATGATTCATGTACCGGTTAACTTATTAAGAGAGCTACAGTATTACGGTGACTTACGAATATGAAGGATTATTTCTTGCGGTAGATCAAGCAGATTGAATATGCGAACACCGCTCATCGTTCGCACTGTTGTACAAGTCATACATGAGGGAAAGCAACAACTGCGGATGAGAACTTGCAGAGAACGTGACCTTTCTTTAAGAACACTCGGACCATACGACGGAAATGAACCTCTAAAGCGGGCGCAATCTGACTCAGCAATTATGGGGGCACTTAGATTAACGCCGCCAGGGTGAAGTTGCTCAGGCAATGTTCTATGCCAGTTGGCGCGTATGGGTTGCATGTTGGGTTACAAAAATACATGGTATAGACAGAACGAGTATCAATGGACAGAAAGGCAGAAACGGGTAGAAGACCCGAGGTGTTTTTATGTACTTGAAAACCTTGGGTAGTCCGGGACCGGGGAAAGCTAAAAGTACATGATTAAACGTTGATGTAAGTACGCGCTGCACGAGTTCCGAGAGACAGCATGGCATAGTCTAGTGAATGCAAGTGCAGAATGCACGAACCGTCCTTTGCGTGGATATCAATGAGAATCTAGAATCAATGCAATGCGATCCGGAGCAGAAATGGGAATTTGAATGGGAGAGCGCAGAGCCGGCTGGTGCTCATTTGGATATATGATCCTCATATCGTGGATGTCGTCTTCTCTACGTCAATTCTGATCCCTGAGACGGCAGACATGCCAGCTGCTCCACTCTCGTCAGTCGCGCTTCCTGGCCGAGCACTAAATCCCATCTCGATCGAGTTATAGGCGGGAGCTGGTGTGGCATTTTCCACCGAACCCAATGAGCGCGTGCTATCTCCACTATAGCCCACCCCGAGCTCAAAGTGCATCTCGTCGAGCTCCACCTCAGCTGCTTCAAGATCGGGCTGGATGCTCCCTATAGTGCTCAACATAATGTTTGAAGCGATAGTTGAGCCTGGGCCGCGGTGGCGTCCTCGGCCAGGCTTTCCACGGTGACCAGAATGGGAGGTAACGACACCAGGATTTTGTTGCAAATGCGCTAACGCCCGTTCCTTCTGAATGGGAAACGGTCTCTGCGCCACGTTCACGAAGATCAAGGATCTGAGAAGAACGGATAAGGATACCTTTGAATATATATGTTGAAAATTGAACATACCAAACGACATGCCAACAGTGGCGCCATCATCACGCTGAGTGGGATGTTGAGCGCAGACATCACTTGACGAGGTCTGTGAATAAACATTAACAAAAATGGAGCGCGCTATCACTAGGCCACTGACTGAAGGTAGAAGATCCCATTGATCTAGAGTAATGGTTAGTTTACGAGAGCAAATCTGAAATGAAAATCAGGCATACCAAGTTGGCAATAGAGATCAGAATATAGTAGAAGACACCTGATTGTGAAGTTAGGAAGTTGTATCTATGCGTTAGATACACGAGTCATGACGAACCTTCTCGAAGAAAAGTTTGAATGAGTTTGCTACTTGGTCCGCCACTGCGGCGGCGAATTGCAAATGCTTTCCAGACAGTGATAGCGGTAACAATAGTGTCGAACAGAAGTGGGGCAATCTACAAACGTTATATTTTAATGAAGGTTGACGAGAGCGAGACTCACGAAGAAACCTGGAAGTAAGATGAGTAAAGAAAGATTACAACTTAGCCGCGAATGAAGACTCACCGAGCAAGTGAGCCGAATGGGGCCTAGAGATGGGGAAACATGGGCCCTCCGTCTATACCAGCAGTTTTAGATTGTTCCCTCGAGCTGCGAGAGTGACTTACAAAGGGCGGAGTGACAAACGGAAGAACTGGTAGTTTTGTCAGATTAAAATTAAAACCATATCATTGCCGAGAAACATACGCATCATTTCAGAAGTATCGACGAAAAGTTGATACCCGACGACACCAGCTAGCGCACATACAAGTGCTGCCAGGAGGTAGTTGTTGCGGTTGAAAAATGCGTAAGTACGAATGAGCAGAACAGCTGGCATATACGGCCCGAAATCAGTATGTGGAAATGGGAGAACAGTAAGGAAAGACGGACATTCGGACCCGACTTGGTTCCACATGGCCAATGCGACAGGAATCTTATGGCGAGGTTTGAGAAATAATCTGCGGGATATATGCACCTTACTGACCTTGTAAATTCTTTGGCACTCTGCTTCGGTGTGGTTGGTGACAAAAGCATATAAAAGATACGGAACGACGGCGATAACCCAGTAGCTAAAGAACGCGGCGGTGAGTTGTATTCAAAAATTGCCTGAACATCGATACTTACCGACAGAAGAGATATGCAGTCTTAACGGGCGTCCAATGAGTCTTCCAGATCTTTGATGGGTTCGTCAGTAAGAATACCCGGAGAGCAAATATATAAATTTACAAAAGTCCATTCTCTAGGCAAGCTGACGGCCCAGTCCCAGACAATGACAGCGTCTGCGAATTGATGATAAGAATTTGTCGATGAAGAGTGTCAATTTATTCCAATACGTACACATGCCTAGTGGACAGGGGGGAGCAGGGTCAGCAAAAACCGCGTTTCCTACAATGTTCAGAGTCCTTACAGCAAAAGTAGACCTGTGTGCTGCAGAAAACGCGTTAGGAGTAGCTTTCCGGTCTGAAAAATAGCCTACATGTAGATAAAATGTTGAGCTGTTTCCAGTTCCCCCATAGCGCGCTGAAGGAGGTTGAAGATGAAAAAAATGAGGATGGTAGACGACAGTAAAGAAAGAAAGAAAATAGGAAAAGTTGGATGAAGGACAATGACGGGCGAATAGTAAGCTAGTAGTAGTATATACGTACGGGTGCGACGCCACTGCAACGTAGAAGGAAGTCTGTCCCAAACTGGGATGGCATTTTCCATGTTCAGCATATCCAGTTGGCGAATACAGACCACAGGCAGTCCCAAATCCGATCGAAGCGTCACAGAAGCATACGCGCTAGAACCGACAATGGCTGCGAATCAACCCTTCCACGCGTCCTTTGACTCCATCAGGCTTTTACCTTGCCCCATATCGTAGATCTGCTGGACTGAAGAGGCTCCGCTCAGCGACTACCGCTTAATGGAACAGCGTTACCGAACTGCGCAATTTCTAATTTCAGAAAACAAAACGAGAGAATCGTGTTCGACGACGCGTGCAAACGACGCCAGGAATTTGAGAATTTCATCCGAAGCACTTGCAAGTCACATGATCAGAAAAGTAAAAACCCGCGGACCTCATTACGTAAATGTTATGATCACACGCGCACGTGGTAACGCGCTTCTCAACCTCGTCCCGCTCTAGCAAAAAACTGAGAGCAAAGTCAGGTCTTCATGGCCTCAAACGTTCAAACTTTGCGCTTGAGACGCAAAGAGGACCCAAAGCCATCTTTGCAACCTGCACGGCATTCTGGTATCCTACAAGATCAGCTTCGCAGGTAAGTCGCTTCGTCTTCTTATTTACGACTTCCCATCCATGATTTCCCGGCAGGTCCGCTCGTAAACCATGGAACCCAGACTTTTTGGCAGCAGTCCGCATCCTGTTGCTTATTCGAGTAGCAGCCGCCATGTATACCAATATACAAGATTGTGATGAGGGTAAGTAACACAGAAACTCGTGTTTATTAATTCTCTAAGTTATATCTCACGTCAGTCTTTAATTTTTGGGAGCCATTACACTACATCGATCATGGTCATGCCTTCCAGACATGGGAAGTTACCCCAATGTATGCCGTTCGAAGTTGGGCGTATGTCTTGTTGCACCTTATACCCGCGCGCCTCCCCCTAACCCTTAACCTTGGAAAGGTGAGTTTTCGTAATAGGATTCCATTTACTATCACGTTGAACTAATCAATGTAGCGCCCTTCATTCTTCGCAGTCCGCATAACTTTAGCCGTTGTATCTACGCTTTGTGAAGCCAAATTATGCCGCACTGTAGTCGAAAAAGTTAACGAACGAGTCGGTCGTTACTTGTTTTTTATGCTGCTGTTCAGCGCAGGCATGTGGAATGCCGCTCCAGGTAGGATTTTTTCGTCGTCTTCTTCCTCAAAAATTTCGTTTTGGCTGAGTACCCACATAGCCCTCTTGCCTTCTTCTTTCGCAATGTACGCAACCACGATCGCATTTACGTATTCACTCGAACCATCAAGCATCAAGAACAAGCGGAGAACCTTATTTGCAACAATGCTTTTCGCCACAGGAGCTATTGTTGGATGGCCTTTTGCACTTGCTCTGTCACTGCCTTTTGTGTTTGAAGAATTACTCATTTTCGGTGGAGATCGAGTTGAACCAAGCTCGCGCAGATCATGGATGATTTCTCGCTGGAAACGCTTCTTCATCGCCGGACTTGTATCCGCTCTGATATTTGTAGGCAGTCGCTGTGTATTATTCGCTCATATTAAACCGCTTTTGTCCCAGGTTCCCGTCATAGCGATTGATAGTGTTGCGTATGGCGGATGGAATATTGTACCTTGGAACATCATCCGCTACAATGTCTTTGGTGGATCCGAACGCGGTCCTGATCTATACGGCACAGCTCCCTGGTACTTCTACATCCTGAACCTCCTCTTGAACTTTAATGTCCTCGTGCCTCTCGCTTTTATCTCCCTGCCTGGTCTTGCAGTTACCTATAGGATCGATCGCAAGCGGCTCGGGATGACCAAACCTGGCCCAGATCAGAGTTCTCCGTTCACGCTACTCGCCCTTCGTCTAGCACCACTATATGTCTGGACGGCTATCTTAACCGCGCAAGCGCACAAGGAGGAACGTTTCATGTTCCCTGCATATCCCCTCCTTTGTTTTAATGCAGCCGTGGCCTTATATCTCATCCGCGGATGGATGGAAGTCGCATACATCTCCGCCACCAAATCCTCATATAGGGTATATCTATGCTTATTGTCCACACATGCATTTGCTTACGTTTACTTTACCTTACTGTCACGATAGGCTTCAAGATCTATCATATTTGGTGCAACAACGTGCACCGTGATTGCCGTGACAGGGCTTATCTCCCTGTCTCGCGTCCTTGCCTTGTGGCATTACTACCATGCGCCACTTTCTGTGTTCAGCTACCTCGAGGCCCATGAGCTTCCGCGGCTGCTGAATGTTACTGGGCTTCTCCCACCTCTTCCTCAGGAAACAGAAGAAATTGACAGGCCTTCCATCGACTTGGCACCGGTAAGGGCGTTTGATCTCAGGCTTTGTCTAGGGAAAGAGTGGTATCGCTTCCCGGGACACTACCTAGTGCCCAACGGAGTGAAAGTTGACTTTGTGAAGAGCGAGTTCGGGGGGCTACTTCCCGCACATTTTGAAGAGAGTCATGCAAAATTGACCTTCAATGGATGGTGGGACAGGCCGGGTTCAAGGATTACCCCAGCGAACTTGAATGACCTTAATAAGGAGGCACCAGTATTTTATGTCAGTAGACGAATAATCCTACCTGAGGCATTTTGCTGACTCTCTTTCAGGTCCCCATCGAGTCCTGCGACTACCTTGTAGACTTAGACTTCCCCGAGCACCCAGTTTCATCAATTCTAGAACCGCGATACGCATTCGACAACGAAACTTGGGAACGAGTATCGTGCCTCCCATTCCTCGACGCCGCACATTCATCACTTTTGACCCGCACGCTCTGGCTCCCTGGTTCGTGGTGGCAAGACAAGAACGAGTTCGGGGATTACTGCCTGTTGAGAAATAAGGAGAAGGTGTACAAGAAAGAGGTCGAGGTTGCGTCGCATGTGCAGGAAGGAAAGCTGTAAGATACTGTGCGTAGTGACGCCATGTGGATGTGTGTGCAATGATAATTGTTGTCAGCCACCGTAAACATCGATTTTGAGAATGCGGCTGACAATCTAGAGACGGATGGTACTGCTACAGTCATTTTATCTTCCTCCTTGCTGGTCCACTCATTCGCAGAAAGTATGCTGTCCTCAACGCACGTCCGTCTGACCCGCACGTCTTCTGACTTGTGCTTGCTTGCCGCTACGCTTTGCCCTCCGTCACCTATTCTTAAATCAAGTGACTTACTATCACCAAGCACGTCTGGCGAAATACCGCTCATTATCGACTTCGTGATTGACAAATTTTCTACGCCCTTGAACTCGCCTCTCAGGTTTGGATATGACACCGATGTATGCACCCCACCGAAAGCGAGCAGACTTGATATCAACGTAGCAGCTGCACAGGGCAGAGTCTCGAAGTCGCCTAGGCCTCATATGACAGCTTCCTCGCTGGCAGCACTGTCCTCTAATCTTGCAAGCCACCGCAGTGTCAGCGAGTCACTGCTTGACGAAGTCTTCTTCACTCCGAAGTCATCTCAATCGTCACAGTCACTCGTTTCTTCCCCCTCTCCTTCCCCAAGCCCCCTGTCCAAGTCTCTGTTCCAGTTGACACATATCCGTAGCTTGGCTGTATCGGACTCGGCTAGCTCGTCGCTATCAGAAACCCCCAGCGCTAAGAGTGTTCTCGGAGGCGCGAACCGACAAGCCTGGGTTTTCAACTCGAGAATGACTTCCAATTTAGCTATGGCTCTTCCTGTAGAGGATAACGAGAACGAGCAAACTGTATACCTTGGCACGTCAGCAACATTCTCGACATTGCCGACACCTTCCTTTGCTCCTCCGTCGCCATCGCCTAGTGTAGATGTGATTTCTCCCATATCTTTGACATACTCCAGGAGACATCGCAGACCACTGGAACGCTCAGGAGCCATTCATCACTTGAAGACCCCTCGCTCAATCCCAAGAACCTCTAGGCTCCATCTGCATGTCCATGAGCCCCAGTCCCCAGTCACCGCACCTGTACCGACAACTCGCTGGCAGCTCACTAACTCCCCTTCGGCAAGCTCGATACATTCGTGTCCTTCTGCAAGTACTTCGGGCGACTCATACGTCTCTAAGCATCCCTATCTTCCACGTGATCTGGCTTGGCTCGGAGGGACCGAAGTTGAACTCTGGATCGACCAGGAAGGCTTCCGCGCGATCCGGCCCATGATGCGACTAATGGGGTATTCCCCACGCTCCCGTTCACTCCTCCCATATGGTGAGCGCGGCGTCTCCTCCGATGTGAGCGGAGGCTTTGCGGAGTTCATGCCAGTCAAGCGCGAGAGCTTCGCATTCCACTATGCGATTCTCGATGGTCTGCCGATGCTACGGCGCGTCACTGTGGGTGGGGACGAGTCGCGTGACTATCTCTCCCGGCAAGCGGCGTTGAACATCAAGACGAATGGTGTGTATACCGTTCTCGGGAGCGAGGGCATGGTGCTGGGAAGCTCGCAGGAGCACGTGAAGTTGCAATGGAAGTTCGATTACCTCGTGGAGGACCGTTATACGGATGGTTCGCGGCGAGTCCTCCCCGGCGAGAAAGCTATCACGCCATTGACGTTTTCGTGTTCTCCATTCCTGCTGCACCCGATGCAGGGTAAGAAGGTTGGGTTCGTGCATCTCGTGAAGAAGAGCGTCGTACCAAAGTTCTCCGCGGAGAAACTGGAGCCGCCTGAGCGTCCCAAGAATGTCAGGCAGCTAAACCAAGTACAACGAACGGCGAGTTGCCGGCGTATGCGTAGGCATGGGCCGTCCAGGTCAGATGCCCATGCGAACCCGGGAGGCGTTCTTACCTTGGCAAGCGGTGCCCTGGTTGGCAGCTCTCCCTTGGGATCAAATGGTGGCAGAATACTCGAAAGCACCAGACAGATGCAATACACTCGGAGACGGAGGGCCTCGTCAGCTGGAGAACACGGTTACGTCATATCAAGCCTGCATGAGCTCATGTCTGTCCCACCAGTCACTATCGCTGAGGATGCAACGGCCGAGCGACCGAAGATGATCACACACAGACGAGACCCACCCCGAGCTTGCCTGAACACAACACCGCGGTCTACAAACCATCATGGATATCTGAAAGGATGCCAAGACGATAAACGGCTGGCCCGATGAGAGTGAGATAAGTAGTCAAGGCGCTACTGGTACATATACTACATATACAAGGGAATAAATCATGCACCGAAACCGTATAGAGTACGCCCCGACCGCTTCAGGGCATAAACGACATCAAGAGCAGTGACCGTTTTACTACCGTGCGGATGAATGAGTGAGTACTGAAGTGCGTTATGGGGCTTACCGCTTAGCGTGTTCAGTGTAAGTGACGGAGTCGCGGATGACATTCTCCAAAAAAATCTTGAGGACACCACGGGTCTCCTCGTAGATGAGACCCGAGATACGCTTCACACCACCACGACGGGCAAGACGGCGAATAGCCTAGAGGCATTATGAGCGGACGCTTGAATACAGAAGTCTATGGACGTACTGGCTTGGTGATACCCTGGATGTTGTCACGAAGAATCTTGCGGTGGCGTTTGGCACCGCCCTTCCCAAGACCCTAAATATTGCACTGTCAGTCGGAGAGGTGAGTGGCGACGCCAACCAATATTACACACCTTGCCACCCTTTCCACGTCCAGACATGTTGTATACGATAAAATATGTGATTCAATTATTAATATGAGAATGCGAATAACACTTGTAGTGTCGATAATGATGGTAGTGAAAGAAGGCAAAAGTTCAGTCAACGTCCACCGGTCCGCCAATGATACGCGTGTGGTCGTATTTGTGAAATCACGTGACCGGCATCCAAATCACAATTTGAGATTGGCATGAAGTGGCTAACGAATCTCTCGGCCATTTACTAGGCTTCTAGTGCCAGTAGGCACCAGCAACTGATGCTTGCGATATCCTGCTGATCACCGATTCGAAAACATGCAGCTTTGAACATTTCCTTCGCGGGTTTGGTTTTCTGAACACAGATGACGTACCATCTCTAGCTGTGTTCATGCTAGGAGTGCTCAGCGCTCAGGCTCGGTCCTGCTCCGTATCCCAGTGCGCTGGAACAAGTAGTTCGAAGGAAGACATGTAGTTGTTCCCTTCCTCTTTGTATCATCCTTCAATTCTTCACAAGTAGTCAATGGGTGTAACATGCAGCGGCCACATTCTGTGTAGACCTTGTGTCTTGTGAGACACACCCATTGTGATCATGACCGTGGCATTAGATATAAATTCTGGTAGATGCCTATAGTGTGAGATTACAACGCGTAAGGGAGATAATACAATCAGGAACACGAAAGCACTAATAGATGTATGAACAAGAAAGAGCTTCGAGTCTATGCAGTCGGTTCCGGCTCTGGCACTTGTGTTGACAGTGAGGAAAGTGCAGAAATGATAGTGTCTGGAACTCACAGGTCCAACCAATACTTTGCATATACTGGTACGCCTCATAGGCCGCCATTTCCTTTGCCAGTTTCTGGTTTCTACCGATACCAAAACCCCGCTCGACGTCGCTCACTACAGAAGTCAACAAGTCATTGGAGACTGGAATCAAGTTGTCTTACCTTTGCATTTCACCTCCCACCTCGGATCATGCTGCGGACCATTTGCGGAAGCGACCCACTCGACAGAAAACCCTCGTTGGTGACAAGTTTGATTGAACAGAGCAAGTACGCCCTGGGGAACTCCTGAGGGTATCGTTGATGCTTGTGGTGGGGTTGGACAATATGGAGGCGGGTCAGCTTGCGACGTACCCGCCTGAGGGCGTGCCGAGACCGACGCACTGGTAGGTGACCCAGGTGGCACCGTTGATAAAGGGTGATCTCGCGAGTCATCTACCAAACCCGGTGGTTGACCCTCGGGGTTCACAAGTTTGCTGACCCAGTCAGTCGTCGCCTGTAAGCCATCTTGTACACAGACAGCTCCAACGTAGCTGTTGAAAAGGAAACGAGCCTCCTAAATAAAGCCTGAGTGGCGGGCATTTCATATGCATGGACGATCTTCCATACCTCGGGGTCGTTGAGAATGCCTCTCGCTCCTCCGAGCCTCACACGTTTCTTCAGGTCTGTATCATACGCGGTAACCCAAGCAACCATGGCTTCATCGCTCAAGGTTTGCTCCTGTTTGGTCTAGCCGCATTCATTGCGATTGAGTACAGGTGAGTATCAGCAATACGATGTCACGAGCACACCTGCAGCTCTTCGCCAGATAACATAGGTCTTTCTGCGAATAGTATATACGTCACGATGGTGTTCAATACCGATTTTCCGAGTTGTGCAAGTCTATCACTATTTCCATGTGGCGTGTGGTCATTGAGGACACCTCCAGTCAAAGCACGATGTGTGAAAACGTCGAGCATCAGATCTCCATGCAGCGGAGGAAGTGGAGGAACCATATTGCAAAGTCAAATGATGGGCAACTTGCAAGGGATGTCTCAACCAATTCAAGATCAGTGGCACTATTTATCGATCATGATATAGCGAAGATTAATGGAAGCACAAAGGTGGAGGGCGTAATGACAGCTTCCAAAGAGGGACTTATCTCACCGCATGTATCACAAATAATGTTATTCAGAACAAAAATGTATTGAACTTATCCGACAGTACTTTGTAGTAGTGACTCTGGTATCCAAACCGATATCAAGATAACTGCCCAACTAGCGGAAACCAGATGGAATGAAGGAGGCTTTGAAAAGAAGAAGAGACAGTTGGGTAGAAAATTATACGAATACAGAAGACTCAGATGATATACCGATACATTCCGTTGATATAAGTCCGAATGCTGTCTCTTAGTGGGCTCCTGTTGCTAGAGGACTAGAACTAAGGTCAGAAGTTGAGCGCGTTGGCAGATTTCTGGCTACTTACGGCCCCAGCCTGTAGCCTGCATGTACTGATACGCCTCTGTCGCTGCTTGCTCCTTTGCCTGCTTCTGATTTCTACCTGCCCCGGTTCCACGATGTTGTCCACTCACTTCCAAGTTGCTCAGATAACCAAGCACATAGAATAAGGCTGAAAGCTCACCAATACACTTCACTTCCCACCTCGGGTTGTGCGGTGGCCCCGTCATCTCCGGTTTCCACTCTACTGTAAGTCCTCTTTGCATACACGTCTGATTGAATATTGCAAGTACACCCTGAGAGGGCGCAGGTGGCGGCATCGATGGCATCGGAGGAGGTGCAGTGCTTGGCGGGGGCGGAGGTAGGGGTAGGGGCTGAGAATAGTACGTTGGAGGAGGTGGAGGCGGCGTTGCAGCGGGCTGGTTGTTGGATGATTCTCCTGGGGCTGCTGGAGGTTCCGAGGAAGGGTTGACAAGGCGTCCGATCCAGTTCATGACTTCTTGCAGTCCCTTCTGGGTGCAAACGGCACCGACGTAAGAATTGAAGAGGAAACGAGCTTCTTCAGGCTTGTCAAGTACACTCCTGTCTGTACAACGAATTTTAGCCTTTAATCCGTAAAGAGAGAGCCAGTCTCCGATGTTCTTGTCGCTTAGCATGTCAGCTTGGCGCATCTATAGTGCCATCTCAGTAATACACAAAAAGGATATTTCTTGATGATTACGAACTTTGAGATCATGGGCGGGAAGCATCGGTTTCTCTGAGTACAGCGTGTACACGACGAGCATACTGAGCACCGAGCTACCTAGCTCAGCCAATCGCTCGGTATTTCCATGCACTGTATTCTCGTCGATGTCTTTACTCAGCATAGACCGATGCGTATATACATCAAGCATGAGCTCTCCTTGGATGGGGGGGAGCGGTGGTAATGAGTGCTTTAAGTTGTTCATGGCCATCGTGGTATGGATAAGACAAGATAGAACTCCCTTGTTATCGCTTGATAAACTTGCTGACTCGTAGGGCCTTCGGAATCTTTCAATAGGTTGGAGCGCTTAATGTGCCATGTTGGAGTACTCACAAGGACGGAATGCGATTATGAAGAGTCTGGCGGACCACTGGGATCGCGATGGATGATAGTAAGCTAAGAAAACCTGGCCACGTAGTACGGCGTCCGTTTGTTGCTGTTCGAGCGCTTCGTATGAATCAAAATGCCTGCAAGGCAGATCAGGTGAGAGACTTCGGAGCCGGGGGCCCGGGACACATCACCCGTCAGATTCAGTTGCCTTTTTTGACCGAACAACGGTGGTCACGTGCCTTCCTTCAGACTGTTAGGTTCGTGCCACTGACCCGTACTGACTGCAGTTTCTTAGGACTTAGTATTGGAGCTGGTTTATCTGACCACAATACAATAAGCTAGCGTTTTATATGCCTGGCGAATCAACGTCGCCTCCAGGCGAACAGCCACTCATACCAGAGCGGCTCCTCGACGTACCCTCTCAACGTCTATATTACTTGAGTTTGGGCTTGCTGCTGCAGGTGAGTGGCTTTGAGACAGTTTTCAGGTTCTTTCTGCGCGAGATCTTCCTTCATATCTCATGCCTTGTGCATACATTACGAGTCTGACTCGTTCATATTCTTGGCAGGCCATCAAGGTGTTCGACGTCCTCCAAAATATCTTCGCGTCTGATGCAACGACGTACTACGGCAGAAAATGGCTTATAGTTGATTTTGCATACATCGCAACTCTCTCTCAGCTCCGAATACCACGTTTGAAGTACAGCAGGGCTGTCGTCTTGCTCCAAATTCTGTCCATATGGTTCCTCGATGGCATGTTGTTCGGAGGAATCAGCTTAAATCTTGGGTTAGTGGGATCATCCGAAATAAGTAGTGTACCTTCGGGAATTCCAAGTAAGTTTGCCATAAATCCATGTCTTTGACCCCACTCATGATATTATACAAGATCGACCAGACATTCCTTCTACTCCGGAACCGTTCCGTCTCTCTGATATCTTTGCTCCACTAACGTTCGGTCTCTTTTCATTCGACACAAATTCCAAAGATGCTCGCCTGCTTGGCCAACATACGGTCCGCATGTCTCCTATCAGCACTGCTCATTTCAATCCACACTTCCAAACTTTCTGCCTCCCACCTGTCTCGCCTGCACACGTGCTCGTCCCAATCCTTGTGAACAACACGATACCGACTAATGTGCGTTATTCTTTTATCCCACTTGGCTCGGGGCGCGTGGAGTACCTTGAATTGGGGACGAAGGAGTTAAAAGCAATCGAGCAAGCTAGAGTAGAGGGACTGCAGGTTGTGCGAAGCAAGGATGTGAGCGAGTACGATGATGAGGATGATGAAGAAACCGATGCCGGCGCCCGCCTTCAAAAGACACAAGGCTTGGTGCATCTTCGTTTTTCCAAGCCAGGGACCATAAGGCTTGACCGGGTGCTTGACAGTTCAAATGTTGCGGCACGTCTTGTTCACCCGGTCGAAGTGACCGTTGTACCTTGTCCGACTGCCCAGTACACTGATGATATTGTGCAAGATTTTCACTGCGCAGGCGAAACATCTGGTGTGGACCTTACCATCGATATACGAGGCGTTCCTCCGTTGAGCCTACAGTGGTCAAAGGATGTCAACGGGAAGAAAGAATATTTCCTTGTTGAAGGCATCGAAGACAGCGGTCACTCGCATACCGCACAAGAGGTTGCTCGCGCTCGTATACCTCAGAAACTCAAAGTTCCGTTGTCTTTGTCATTGGATGCTCTCGGCAAGCACACGTATAACCTGGAGAGTGTGATCGATGGTATGGGAAACGTCGTGCAACTCAACGATGAGTATCGTGACGCGAAAATAACACGATCCCTCTCTGTTCTGCGCCGTCCGAGCGTGTCGTTCAAAGCATGTGGTCCAGGACATCCGACTTCACTCCTGATTGGCTCAGAGGCACCAGTGGCATTAACGGTATCCAACGCAGACCCCGTGGATGGGCCATGGGACATCGATGTGAGGTTCGAGCCCGCTAGTGGGGATGGAAAGCGCATAAAACCATGGGACAAGATAATACAGACACAGGAAAACGATAATGACGTCGTGCTAAAGGCAGGCGTCCCAGGGGAGTATGTTGTCACTGGCATCAGAGGCAAGGTAGGTGGTGCACAGCTCCTTTTCATGACGATTCTAACCAAGTAACAGTATTGCGATGGCGATGTGCTTGCTCCTGAAACCTGCAAGGTCGTTGAGAAGGCGATGCCCACTGCAGAAATCGAGTGGAAGAGGATTCATGAATGGTATGTGCCCTCTTTCTGGCAAACCTTCCTTTCTAAAGTCTACTCAGTTCTGGCGACACAGGTGTTTCTGCATCCCTTGTCATGCACGGCACACCTCCATTCCAGGTCTACTACCGCACACAACGTGATGCAGAGCCCCCACGTGATCTTTTCAAGACATTCACGTCATCGCGTGGCGAGCTCACTCTACAGCCGGAAAACAGCGGTCACTACTATTACACCTTTGTACAGCTCAGTGACGCCTACTACAAAAAAGTCGCGCTTGATGGCCCGAGCATTGATCAAATCGTACATCCTTTAGCAGCAGCAGACTTTGTTGGCGGTCGCGGAAAGAGGGTCATGAGCAGTTGTGAGGGTGTGACAGTGGGCATTGAGGTCGATTTAAGGGTGGGTAGTCTTGTTGGTTTAAATATGCTGATGCTGACGCGTGTCCATAGGGCACACCTCCTTGGAACTTGGAGTTGCAGGTTGTAGGTCCACGTAGTACAGATGCACTGACAATAACCGACATCAAAACGTCGCCCACGAGGATATTAGTGCCCATACCCAGCGTTATTGACAAGGAAGGTGGAACATTCGACGTTGAATTAGGTAGGATCAAAGGTTGTTCGATGAAGCGAAGTTAATCCGTTCACTTAGTGAGCGTCGTGGATAGCTACGGATGCAGACGATCGATATCAGTTCCTGGCGTCTCTGTGAATGTCAGGAGAGTGAAGGCAAGTAATTATGACTGTGATATATGGGTCAAGTTTTGACTGTGTGTCCAGCCAACCGTCAAGTTCTACGGCAAGCATGGCCAACGGGAGATCACTATTCTAGAAGATGATGGTGCTGATCTGCCACTTCGGCTGACAGGCGACGGGGTAAGCCAGATCACTGAACCCTACCGAGCAGAACTCACGTCCGCCTACCTTAGCCGTGGAAAGTCAAATACCGTCACATGAGCAATCCAGATCGGCTGTTCACTGCTGCGCTCAAGTCGCCTAATGATTATATCCATGTCACACAAAAGGGTGTCTACGAGATTCTCGAGGTAGCGGTCTATCGCATGGTTATGGGACATCTTATTCACATAACATGTTTATTCTAGGTTACAGATTCCCAATGCCCTGGATCCGTGATCGAAAGTGAGAACACTTATACCGTTGACTGGGTGCCACGACCATCTGCTCGACTGGATCCTGCAACCGTTTGCACCTTTGAACCGTATAATAGATCACACATCCTTCCTCCGATTTGCAAAGGCCAGGATGCCCATGTCGATCTCGAGCTCACGGGTGTGTCCTCTCAAATGAAGTTCATTGCATCGGCTAACGTTTGCAAGGTCGACCTCCCTTCCAGATTATGTACAACATTGCGCGCAACGACGAAGCAGGGGGTACAATAGTCCTCGACCAACCAACGTTCAGCAGCATCCAGCCTCACACGCGTTTCCAGCTACACACGTCTATCATCGGGCGCAAGTATTATGAAGTCAAGCAAATCGGGGATAGTGCATATCCTCTTGCAAAGCACAAGAACGCTGTCATCCCTCGTTCAGACCGTCTTCTTTTCGAGCAAGAGGTCATGGCAAGGTCGTCAGCGAAGTTCAAGAACGACAACAGAATTCTTTTCTGCCTGAATGATGCACTTACCTCTCGTGAAGCTATCTCAAATGATGGTGGTGTTATTCAGCTAGACGGGACTCCGCCTTTCCAGCTTGCGCTGTCCATCAGGAACCTTGCCGCGAGCCAAGTGCACAAGGAAACAATTGAAGTGCATGATAGGACCTGGATACTTGATCTTCCTTCTTATCACTTCACATCCATTGGCCCACATCAAATCACGATTGAGTCCGTCCAGGACTCGTCGCACTGCGAACAGAAAGAGCTTCATCCCTTGCATCGCTCTATATGGGTTGACGTTGCAGAATCCGCTGCGATCACCCCCGTCGACAAGAGAGTAGATTTCTGCGTCGGTGATGTGGCTCAGTTCCAGCTCGAAGGCACTCCGCCTTGGTCTATCGGGTGCGTTCGGTGACCAGTCACATTTTGGTTTGCTGACAGCAACGACGCTATAGTTACCGCATCAACGGCAAGTCTTACACCCAAGAAGCCAAGAAGTCCCCATTTTCCCTCATGCATCAACAAGCGGGGGAATTTACAGTCACATCCGTGTCGCAGCAGCAGAAGCTATGCAAAGCTACAGTCACTGACTTACAGTTTAGCGTCCATCCTCTCCCAGCTGCCCAGGTTGGTCACGGAAAACGGATATTCCAGGACATTCATGAAGGTAATTGCGGTCTCGATATATGATGATTGCACTGTGCTGACGTATGTGTAGGTGACCAAGCAGAAATAGTCTTCACGCTGATAGGAGAACCACCATTCACGTTCACTTATCAACGAGCCGAGCCAATTCCCAAGAAAGGAGGCAAGCCAGGAAAAGTCCTGGAGACCCATACCGTGTCGGGTGTCACCACGCACGAATACTCTATATTCTCCGCACTTGAAGGTTTGTTTTTACTTGATCACAACGACCCTAGACACAGCTAACGTGCGTGTTGTTGCAGGGACATGGACAGTAACATCCATCTCTGATCGATACTGCCGATACCCTACACAGTCAGATGGTGTAGTAGAGAAGATACGACACTAGGCTTTGAGATACGAATGCCATCTGATTTTAGTATATCTCATGCCAGTAGCCACTGTAGCTTTAGACTAATGACATACGCACCACTATTTTTCTTGACAGGTCAGGAGCATTCCCTGCCTCAATGCTCGTATACGCTCATCCGAGTCGTGACACGATGAGCGCGATATCAGTGAGGTTTGTCCTATGGGTCTGCAACTTGAAGGTGTTGCCAGGTGATCCCACAATATCTGATTCCATCATCGATATCTAGCTGGCTCGCATTGTGTTTCTGCATCTTCTCGCAAAACTGTGTCAGCCCTTATAATTATGCTCTCTTGATGTTGAAATTGTGTCGACTGCAGCCTGCCTGCAACATCTTGTTTTTCCAGACTCACTTTTAGCCCTCCCGCTTGTCACTGCACCATTATATATTTGCACTCCTCTCGTGTCCTCTTATTACTGTTGCTGGACGGTGCGCCTGTTTCGTGAACTGTGTTTGCTGCATACCTATTCAAGACACAGACGGTCAATATTGGAGATATAGTCACTCATTAGCTACTGGAATGATGTCGCGGTAATAACGCTGTAATACACGCCGGATGCTGGACTCGTGTTTCGCTCTGCATCGGCTACATATCTGAGAACGTTAAGGAAGAAACTGCACTCTCCACTGATATTTTATATCATCTCGATTTCATCAAGTTCTCCATGGCCTACACTTCCTCGTTGTACTGTGTTTGCTGCCTCTTCCGCTGCCACTTGTTCTTTTGGCATAAGTCTTATTTTATTGTTCCATCAGTGCACAGATTTAAATGATTGCATTGCAGTGCTAGGAATTCTGCACTCAGTTAATTCTTGTCAATGCCTGTGACTTTTCCGATGGAACTAGTGCTTTTGCAGTTATCGGAATCATGCATACCATTCCTCTCGCTCATCATATAACAACTTCAAACGGTCTGCAAAATGAACTGCCCCCTTCGTATGTGGAAATGCCTCTGCGCTATCTTAGCGTCCTTGCCTACGAGGAGCGGTCCACAATGGGTGCGCCATATTCATCTCACCGAAGTTGCCCAACGGTTGAGAACTGGCTAATCATCACAGGGGTAGTCGCCAAGATATGTAAACATCTTTGATTGTCGGTATAGCGCTCGGGAAGAGCATTTTGGAAAGCAAATATATTTGTGAACGGGGCTACAAAGTGCAGAGTACGGCAGCTAAGAGAATGGGCGAAAGCACGAAGCACTATCCAAGCGCAAAGACAAATAGCAAGTTCCCACGAAAGGCGTCTGGACTGTGGGTGTTCTTATATGGCGCTATATCTGCACATTTATTATTTGCGCGTTCCGCGGCTTGCGCGCTGCGCGTTTTCGTCAATCCAGAGTGGGCGTGTTTTAATCAAGAGGTTCCGCATTCCCGCACTGCGCGTTTGCTTGTTCAAGTCTCTACTAACCGAGTCATTCAAGTTGTGCGGAGCTAACTTAGCGGCTCACGCAGTATTATAGTTTTTCTTCTTCAAATACATACTGTTTTGATGGACCCACAAAATGAGATGAGGATGAGGATGAGATAATGGTATGTACTGCAACGCACGAGAAATGACAAAAACTAGTACCAAATTAGCATGCCTGTCATCAACAAATACTAGACCCGGTCACTTGTCAAACATTGTTTGGGAAACGGTAACCGACCCTCCTAACATGAGCTGGAGGTTAGCGGGCTTCATGGAATAGCGAGAATCCCAGGGATTGATCTGCTCCGGTGCAAAAGGGTCGTCAACGTGTGATCGACTGCGACACAAGACATCCGCCTCGCTGACTGACATGAATTCGGGTGGGGATGATAATGCACTCTTCGACTTTAGGAATTGAATGGCAGTACCAGCTGGCACTCCGAGTGGACTGCTACGAAACGATGCCGTTTCTGGCAACAACAGCACAGGTTAAATTTTAAACAAGTAGCACGAATGGAAAACTCACTGAGGCTATTGGACTGAGCAAGTTGAGTCAATGGAAATGGCTGAGAGCCTGTCGATGGCCCAGATTCCGTCAAAAACAAGGGAATGGCAGCTTGCCCACTCCTCGTCTGAACCATCATGCGAGTCTGATGATGAATCTTCTGCCTCCTCAGCGTCTGAGTCTTGGGGCAGTGTCGACTCAAATGCTAGTGAAAAGGTCAGTGCATGCTTTCGAACTGACACTTATATTGACGTACCGAGAGCGTCTTTGACGAAGGCTAGAAATGCAGCCTGCACCACATCAAAATTGGCGTAAGTCTGATCAAACTGTGCCCCACTCTCAAGTTCGCCAACGTGATAGCTTCATAATATTAGGTAAGCGCACTTCCTCATCAACTTGATCACGCATCACTCACTTGAACACAGACACCTCACGGCGCTTATTCAGCTTTGGCCCGCGGTCAGTAACATTCTGTACTCTGATTTCGGCGTCTGCAGTGTCCTTGACTTTTTCTCCATAGTATTCATAGGAGTAAATGTCTATTTTTTGCGGTGCCCGGGTCCCCTTAAGTTCTATACCACCAGCTAACACAGTGTCGAACTTCAAAGCTCCTTTAACACCACTCGTGCGGCCCAGGCGAGCAGGGTTTTTCCACCAACGGTACCATGTAGTTAGTTGCTAATCAAAATGAGTTGGTACGTGTGTTTCGCATGCTCACAGATGGTAGTGCTTACCTGTTCACGACTTTCCACAGTGTTTGCCAGATCTTGCACTGAGTGTCAAGACCCAACTGGTTGCAACGAGGACTGGCACGCAATTTGGTGGAATGGTATGGGCCGGTTTCTTCTTGATGGTAGGAATCCACAGCCGTATGACGACGCCGTCAAACACTTCAAGGAACTGCAGTTTGGACGTGTCAGTGAAGGATGCAAAGACCTCATGTTCAAGATTCTCGATCAGGGAGCGGCATTCAAGCACGCCGAACAATTTCTTTCTGAGACTTGCAGCTTCCTAGTAGAGAAACTGGTTTTCGAGCCTGAGCCTCCTTCGCCATAGTCTTACTAGTACTCATGTTAGTTTTACTCATGTTCAACCACAAGGACTTCATCCATCGTACGACGTAGACTCGTCGTGTTCAATTGTATAGAGTGATGTTTGTACCAGTACAAATACTATACTGCAGTGGTCCGAGTCTCAAATTGCTTGAAGGAAAGTAGAGATCATAATTATCATGGCGGAAACTTCAAGTTGAGTTTTGAGTCCAATCAAAACGCGCCAGCTCTGGATTGGCGAAAACGCGCAGTGCGGGAATGCGGAACCTCTTGATTAAAACGCGCCCACTCTGGATTGACAAAAACGCGCAGCGCGCAAGCCGCGGAACGCGCAAATAATAAGTGTGCAGATATAGCGCCATATTCTTAAGCACCAGCTGACATTGAGCGCATCCCGAAATTGGATTGACGCGCCCAAAGAATGAATGCATCTAAGAGTAGATGTCCTGGTGATGTTTTGGACTGTGGACAAGTGGGTGTTTGTGTACACAAAGAAGGAATCACAGCTCCGCGTCGAAAAGCGGAGATGTAGAGGGAGAATCTCTTGCGCGTCACATGGGCTTTTGGACATGGATAATTGGATATGCTCCTGAGCTTCCTCGCATGGGTCGAACCGGGTCATACCCGGGTGCTACTTGTGGGCAAATTGAGAAATAGGGTTATGATTGTATTTGTCCCGGGGTCAAGTGTACTAGTGCAGGTACGCGTCGACCCGTGGGGGGTACCTGCGAGTGTGCGGATAAATGATACATCCACCCATTAACTATAGCAATAGTGAAATTGGGTGTGCTCATAGTGCGTACATACCCGATTTGTGAGATGAAGATATTCTGGAGGACCAGAGCAGCATCCCTACTCGATGGTAGGACATCGAATAAGTCCAGGTGACCGGGGGAAGTTATGGGTAGAGAAACTTGTCGATACATATTTGAAAAAATGTATAATGTTGTTTGGAAGTTTTGTGCTAATCAGATGATGGGGTAAACAATCATATGCCTTACCTATAGAGCGCATGATGGAGACAGCGAGTTCGAAGTGTTTGATTACATCTCTTCGAGTATGGGAACAAGAACAATGAACAGTTGTATTGCATAATTGTGCGGAAATGAATTTGTGTCTTGGAAATATCCGAGCCCCATAAGCACCGTCTGGGCGAGAACACGCCGCGAACCAGGAGTCCTTCGCCTTCCATATCCCCTGAGTTAGAAATACCGAACCAGGATACCTCACTTACTTACTAGGGGAGCTCGTTCAACGCCTAACGCCCAATTCGTGACGTATACCTAGAGTAAATACAAAGTAAACCCTACCACACATCATCGTGATGCTGAAGGATGCTTCGTAACATCATGTACAGGATGTAGTCTTGTAGATATTGGTGGTGTAGACTTGTACGAGCCATGGCTATCGATAAGATTTGCTTATATAAGTTCATTTATTTAGGGTTTACTTTCTGTTTACTTCTATTTATTCTAGGTATACTCATTTTGGTCACGAGTCGGGCGTTGGGCTCAACTTTGAGCTCCACTGACAGTCTTTATGTGAATCTTGTTAATATGCATATGCATGTACGAAAAACTCGACAGAAAACAATGGCGAAACCAAAGTCAAGGAGATGAAGTTTACAAAGGTCATTTTTCACATCCGACTCCACGACCAGTTACCTTGACTTCCTCACAACTATGCTTCCTCAGCATTTTATAAGGTTACTGAGAAGAAAAGGTACATCTTCAACTACCTTTCTGGTGCTTCGCGCAGGTATGTCGGTCCTTGGATTATCTGATACCACAGCAACGATCGGATCCCACTTATTTAGGTGATTGAGTTCATAGATGTGGCACATCATTCCTCAGGCCTCATTGGTAGATGGTGGGACAGTGAACCCATCCCTTGCGAGATGCATGGTGTCCTGAACGCGTGACTGCCTGTTGTAGGTCTCATGACGGAAGCTGACAGTGGTCCCGGTTTTCATACTCAAGGTCATCCATAATCCTGGCACTCCCTGTTCTGCTTACAGTTCGCTTCCTTCTGTGTGTTTTAGAACATGTGCCCCATCTTCCATTCTGCCCATCATGAACTTCTTCGCGAAGATTGAATGAATGGTGATCGTGATCCATGTCAATGGCGCGGGCCTCTTTTGCACCGGTCTGTTGAGTTTCATTCCTCCCGGGAGTTGCTCGGGAATCGGGTACTAGCAGACCGTCCAACAGAAGTTATGTTCTAGATTTTACAGATCCTTGCGCACACCCAGGTGGGGCTAATACGATCCCTATCGATTAATCGCGTTCATGATCTACCCATGTTTAGTGAATGCATGATCATCGTTGTACTCCTATCCAGCTTCTGTTGCCGTACTGGTGGCCTCCAGAAAATTTCCTAGCATACTATTATCTTTGGGACTCAATGTTATTATGGTGCACGTATGCCATCTATTCTACGTTTGGACCCATTGCCTCGCATATATAAGGACCTTCAAGTCGCTCCTGCTACTCCATCTCGAAGTTGCATCCTCTCTTGTGAGTCCAAAATCATCCTGTTCGACAACAGGGTTGACAGTAGCCCCCAGTGCAATGACTTCTTCCACTGTACTTTGCGGCTATGGCGGGTGGCTTCCAAAGCATCCTGCAATCTACAAGGCCTTCATTGATCATCTGGTTCAGCGCGCTCTGCGCCGTTCCGCTGATTCCACCTTACATGAACCTGCTGTTGCAGCTTTCGGGGAAGCGATCCAAGGGGATCCCGTCATGAAGTCTCTGTTCGACCAAGTATTCCTGCAAGTTGATAGGCGGAACCAGGTATGAGGCAGTAGCCAGTAAGCCTTGTGACAACGACTCATTCTCTTGCACAGGTAACGGACTTCGAACACTTGTTGTCCTTCCTCGACTGTATCATCGTGACAGCGCCCAAGTATGAGGTAGCAATAGACGATAACGGCAATGTGATTGGCGAGCCTATCGGGGTGCCTATTTACCTCATTTTCGATTTGCTTAGCAACACAGCTGCAGCCTATGACCTGTTTCGCATGAAGGAGTTCAACCGTGCGCTCAAAGCCTTGTTGGAGAACTGGGGAAAATTCCTCATGGAACCTGGATCGAATTTAACGCTCAATACGACTGACCAAGGCTGGTTTGGTGAGGCTGGAATTACCAGTCTCGAGACGCATCTGGGGAAATATAGCTTCGAGCAGACGTACAAGTGTCCTGACGCGGCAGCTGATAACCGTGGGTTTACAACCTGGGATGCCTTCTTCACTCGAGCGTTCCATGATGGTGTGCGCCCCATCGTAACCATTGATAATCATCCCGTTACATATCCAGGTGGACTCCATACTCGGGCTGTTGTAGAGCCGACTCTCATCTATAGCGCCTGCGAGTCCACCGTTCTACGCATTCGCAGGGACGTGAAGCAACATGATCAGTTTTGGCTCAAAGGCCAGCAATACTCCCTCTATAACATGTTGAACCGCAGCGATTACTACGCCAAGTTGTTCGAGGGCGGGACTGTTTATCAAGCATTCCTCAGTCCCCTCGACTATCACCGCTGGCACAGCCCCATCAAGGGCACAGTCACGGATATTGTCGTGGTTGACGGAACATATTATGCCGTGCTTCCAGATGCCGGGGCAGACAAGGGCGACCCTGATCTCCCAGAGGGTGACCCTCATGGTGCATTGATTCGCTCCCAACCCTTCCTCACCATCGAGGCCGCTCGTGTGCTGATTTACATCAAGTCAGAAGACATCAACATCGGCACAATGTGCTTCGTGGGCGTGGGGATGGCGGAGGTGTCGACTTGTCAGGTGACAGTGAAGAAAGGCCAAGCGGTGGAGCCGGGGACGGAACTTGGAATGTTCCACTTTGGCGGGTCCTCACACGCCCTCGTATTTTCCAAGGAGACCGAATTTCACGAGGGAGATGAGATCAAAGAGGGCAAACACGTCTGGGTCAATTCGGTTATAGGTGTAGCTACTCACAAGCAAAACTCGGAGTGATGGCATAGGGCAGTTACTCAAACATCCTTTATCGAAGAGTACCCTGATACTATAAGCGTTAGGAAAAGATTTATGCATACACTTTTTACGACCTTGTACTATTAGCAGTTTGACTATACCGATGTCATGTTCAGTTTGTTCAACCTTGTTGGTCACAATCATTGCGCCACTTTGCGATGAAGCCTGAAGCTAGCTTGTGTGAAGGCCTTCACGTTGCTGCAATGTTGCTAGTGCAGTCTGCATCAAGAAGGCTGATGCTTGAAGGCGTCATACGTCCCTGCTTTAGCTTCTCATGAATGGAGATCCTTTTTGGCCGCTAAAGCCTTCTTCCCCCCTTTCCGGCTCTTCGTAGCTTCTAGTTTGGAAATCGCGGCTTCTCTCTCTCTGATGTGTGTAACACTTGTTCCTTCGATCATTTTGAGATTCAGCGATATTAAAAAATTGGTACTTCGTGGCTAGTCTCGTCGCCTGCCACCTAAGTTCGGCGAGAGCTGATTTGCCTTGTACAATTTACATGCCACTTGGCAAAGAATTGAAGGATATTTAGTCGTCACAAATCCAAGTACATCGATTATACATTTACTTCTCTGTCCATCCTCTAAACCTGGACGGATGAGATGTAGAACCACTTTGAGACTATGGGACAGAGAAGTTATACTATGCAGGACGAAGGGGAGGAACAAGTACTCACTGGAAGGATCGATAAGTGCAGGAGGTTGCCTGGAGTCGGGTGGAAGGTTAGCGTACGTGGCGTCGTTACGTGTAACGAGACCTGGCGAGTTTGGATTGGTGAGGTTGCGGCTGCATAATTTGTTATTTTTCAACAACTAGAACAAAACAAGGAAAGTCGACGGACACAGCGATCTCATAGGTAGGGGTTTTAGCGGGGCTGTCACCGGTAATGAGACGGCGCCATGCCTCGTTACACTCGTGGATGATCTCTGTAGCATATTTCTTGTTCTTGGCCTCACCAGAGAAAGCAAAGGCGTTCTCGCCCTTGCCATCGGGAATCTTGTAGATCCTAATGGACGCTATAGCTCCTTCTTAGGCTGATAAGATGTAGCACATACCTGAACCACTCATTGGTGGCCCTGATCAACCCAGGAAGGTGGCGCTCCACGTCCTCGATGTCGTTAAGCTTCGATGCAAGGGGGTCGTGCACATCAACGACGATGACTTTCCAATCGGTCTCGCCCTCATCGAGCAGAGCCATGATACCGAGAACCTTAACCTGCTTAACCTGACCGACGTAGCCGACCTGTTCACCGATCTCACAGACATCCAATGGATCGTTGTCACCCTTGGCCTTAGTCTCGGGGTGGAGAGCAGCCGGATCCTCCCAAGTCTTACGATAATCGATCGATCGCGATCAGCCAACCGAACAAGAGCGAGAAGCGAAATAAAGCTTACCTGAGGGAAAGCACCGTAGTTCCAGATGTACCCATGATGGGGGAAGCAGTTACGGACGAAGCGCAAGCGACCCTTTTTGATGTCCTGTTTGATGGGGTTGAAGGGCTCCTCCTTGGAGATCTCCATCTTCGCGTTAGTCCAACGAGGAACCTCGACGATCATGTTGAGGATGCCATTGCTCTGGTCGGCAAAGAGAGGAACGTCGTGAAAAGAGGACACGACGGAGCCATTATGTTCGATGAATACTCGGTGTTCTGATGATGTGCGAGCTGATCAGCCGGTACGATGATTGTGGTATGATCGCACTTACCGAGGGTGTTAGGCGCGCCAATGAGGCGAGTACCAAATGCTAGAGGCGTGTTAGTAAAAATTGCAAGGTTTTTTGACGACGAAACACACTGGAGACCATTGATGAACGTGATGAAGAAAGTAGTCTAACTTGTTGGGAGAGACGACGCACTGCTATCGATCCTCCGGTCATGTGTCCACTTATTACCTGCTTTATTCGAGTAAAAGTAAAAGTTTGTATTAATTACGAAATAAATCTTTCGTGGGAGTAGGGTCTGACCCGATCCACAGTAGTCAACAGCACAGGAAGATGGCTTATAGATTATCTGATCAGGTAGGTTGTCGAGGCTGCCAGCAATACGCCAGCGGAGGTTTGGATGGAATCGGAGACTTATGATCTTAGCGCCCACGAATTCGAAGTGCATAATTTTAACAATTACAAATATTAAATACTTATACCACCTTCCCAATATTGGGTTTGTTCGCTGGCACTAGCTCTGGGCTTCGAAAATGCCCCATTGAAGTCCAACCGAAGCAACAGCCTTTCGACATGCCGGCGGACTTCTCCTTCTCCCTCAAAACCCTTGGACCCCTTTCCTCGGATGGACGTGCGCTGTAATGTTGATGCATTTGCCACGCTAGCGTTCATCAAGATAGACTTTGAGGCATCGCCAGTGGCCATGAAGGGCTGCTGAGAAGTCGAGAGTGATAGCTGCTCGTAGAACGAATTAAACAGTTTATGAAGGCTCTGTTATATGAGACGGTCAGAATTAATAGCTAATGTTGAGAACGGAATGTAGTACCTCATTGATCTCTGACACCACTTGGAACCGTTCCTGTACCATAGCACCCACTTTATCATCCCCACCAGGTGCCAAACTCCCTTCAAACAACAACGCAGGTAGGACGTCTCCGCCCCATCGTTCGACCTGCGCAACAAATCGTTCGCACACCTCAAAAATCGGCCGAAGGATCGCAGTAAGAGCAGGATTAGACAGCAAGCACCCCGTCAGCAGCCGCTCGAGATACGTCGTATGGATATTTCGCAGCGTGGTAAAATCAAGGTAAGTTGAGGGATCTGCATTGGCCTGGCCGGCAATGTTCTGTGAACTGAGGTGCTTGCTCACGCTTTCTGCACGTCCCCGGCTCGGGTTTCCCAAGAGATCCTTCAGTCTTCTGAACTCGACGTCTACGACGTCGACCATGACATAACCGAGAAGGGTGTCAAGGAACCATCCCATATCCCTTACGACACCCCACCCACAGCGTAACAGTTCTCTACGCGCTTCGAGGTCTTCAGCAGTACCACCTTCGCCAAGGCCTGTCCACCGCCGTCGCGCACGTTGTGCGTTGGAGAGCGAAGTCCAGCAAGTGTGAATTTGAGTGTGGGTTTTGCGCAAAGAAGAGAGGTAGTTGAAAAGAGCTGCGTATATCTGAAGATCCGAAAGGTGCAGAAACAGATCCAGAGGCCAGGTGACATTGTACGACAGTATGAGATTTGTGCCTAAAAGGAGATCATCAAAGGATGTGACCTCGGATGAATTACTAGCGACAGATGAAGATAGTGTTTTGGAATTTGCCAATGAGGGCTGGAGGTGTCTGAGGGGCCCGGCAGGAAGCTCAAAATGGAGATGTAGAAGCGACGGATCATGTTGAGCGGTTGTACCAAGAGACGCTCGGAGGAGCGCCAGATTTAAATCTTGTTCTCGAATCACTGACGCCACTCCTGATCGTGTCGTGAGCCGTGATATCTTCAAGCGCTCGATCTCACGGATAAGCGCTAAGCTGAATTCGCCATTGCGCAGCAGGAAGTAACTTGCCCTACCGGTCAATTGTTAGCCTGCCAGATTCAAATAAAAATTACAAAGTAAAAAGTAAAAAAGGAGGCTCGGAAGGATCACGTACAATGATATAACGGCGTCTTCTACGTCATTCCGCGTTAGAACGTTGAGCCATAGCCATTCGCTGACATTTATCCTGATCTGTGAGATCACGAGGTCGAATTTGTATTGATCCTCGGGTAAGACGGTCTCCAGCAGATTAGCATATTCAACCGCCTGCTCGCGCGGCAGTTGATTCTGCCACTTCTTAGCTTTTATGGTCGCAATGGCCCGACCAACATAAATGATGGATTCTTTTGTTTGAGGAGAGATGCAAGAGGGCATAGTGCCATCTAAAAGCGTGAAATCTGCCGATGCTAAGGGATCGGAGGAAGCAAGGGACCCGTGAACTAGGAAAGCAGACAACTGGCACCGCCAGACACGTTGGACAGCGACAGAAAGACGTGATATGATATCGGCAATCCGATAAACACCAGTCTTTGAACGTGCGAGTAACATGTCAATTAGGGGACCGGGTTGCCAGTGTTTCTGAGCTTGTAGTTGATTCATCAAGGTCTCTAGCGCTGTGAGGGGAGAGTCCCATTCTGCAAAAGTCGCTCGTAAAGCTGAAAGCGGTACGAAAGACTTGTTGGAAACGAGATCAGGATCGCGTTTCAAGATCTTGGCTTCTGTATCAACCACAAGTTTTTCGTACTCGTCCTTTAGGATCTGGTTTAACGTCGCGCAGAGCGCGCAGACATAACGCGACTTGGACCGGGAGAGGGTCGCACACGCCTTCTTTATATTGCGGTATCTGGAAGCTATGTGTCCGAGGGCTTCAAGACATTGCTCTTCGCCTGGATGCAGTAATGGTCTGAAAGCAGGATGTAGATTGTGATCTGTTGGGAACAACGACGAAGAGTGGCCTGCGAGTACTAGTAACACCTCTGCAATCATGTCAAGACAGTCCTACATGTCAGTTTGGCTAAGAGATGAATACATAAAGAAAGCAAAACTCACTTGAACGAAGACCTAAAATTTGAGACTTCGAACTCGGTTGACCGTTGAGGTGACTGTTATGATATTAATTGGAGGCTATTTCTGGATGAGTAAATCAGACCACAACACTACTGGAGGCAGGCATCTGTAATTTTTGAAACGTATCCATACCACCATGGCAGACAACGAGCACGAAATCGTAGAACGTCAAGTAGGCAAAGGATTCGAGGCCCGCTTCGACCTCGACGATGCATTCTCAGACGGTGAGGATGCTGATTATAACCTCGAGTTCAGCTCCGCAGCTATCAGGAAACATCTCGCCGAGAACCCGAGTTGGGCCGGAAATCATGACGGAGAAGATGACGGGGAGACGGAGTATAGCTCTGCGCGCGATCATGACACGTCGATATCAACTTTTTGTCTCGATGGGAGTTCAAACTCATATTCAGAGACTAGATCTTCTTCCTCGTCACCACCACCGCTGACTGCAGAAGAACAACCTGATGAGCAGCAGGTTCCTCAGGACTTCTCTGATATCACACTGTCAGAAGAACCGAATGCAAACGGACACTCGATCAGCCATAAAGATACTCAAGAGGAGGATGCCTCCGCTCCACGGGATACCTCCCCTTCGCGGGATACGTCATATCCCGTCGTTCACATTGACGTCAGTAGATCACCGCCAAGTCGCGTAATGATGAGTACGGGACCAGAAAGCAATGGCGAGGATCATCAGGAAGACGAAACGGTACATCCGGTCTCGAATGTATCTTCTTCCTACCTCCCTCCGCCTAGTCATGATGGTCCACCACTACCTCCATCCCCATCTTCCCCGTTACCAAAAAGCCCAACAACTCCAATCGTCACAAGTCAAAGAAGACAAACGTACTCGGCGGGACCGAGCGCCTTCCAGAAAGTAATGAGCAAGACGCGCCCTCATTTCCTCCCTCCGAAGAACCGTCAAGAAGACCAGAAACATATGGCGGACTGGCAGGCCATGATGAAACAAAGTCGCGCTGCAGGTTATTTTCTAGTCACATAAATCGTGGTTATATGTTGACTTGATAACAGAGGAAAAACGGCGGAAAGCACTACAAGAACGACGTTCAGCTCGCGAGCTCAAGATTGAGCAGTCTATGTACAAATGGGAGAAGGAGATACTTTCTGATTGGCGAGTTGTTTATAAGAATCCCAATCTCCGCAGACTTTGGTGGAACGGTATACCCACGAAACTACGAGCTTCTATGTGGCAGCAAGCTGTCGGTAACGCACTCGCTCTGAGCAAAGGTAAGCGTCGATATATGTGCACATATTTTCTGTCTACGTGGCCTTCATCGTATTTCAAGATAACTACAGGAACTGTTTCAGTCGAGCTACCCGCGCACTTTCGACCGGTTCATTTCCTGCCGAAACACTACAAACCCTCGAGCAAGACATCTTGTCCACCCTTCCCTCCCTACACATATTCCACCCCGAAACTGGGCCCCTCTACCAAGATCTTAAGGATATGTTATGCGCATGGGTCGTCTCTCGTGCAGACGAGGGTTTGGGATATGTGCACGGGACCGCTAAGATCGCCGGGATGATATTACTCAACATGAAGCCACAGCAAGGTTTCATCGTGATGAGAAATCTCTTGGAGAGACATTGCATGAGGTCACTATATGGCAGCGTTGCTGCCAAGGATGACGTGAGTGCTACAGATTGGCTTGGATCAGAGTCTGACTGAATCGTAGTGCTTTAGGTTGAAGCCTATTATCGGTGAGCACAAGGACATGAGTGAAGGCATCTGTGTTTATGCTGCTTTTCAGGATATTCGACACGCTCTTAGCTGACTGCATGCCAAAAAGTAAGATTGCATATACCATATTCCACCCGTTCGACTTAGTTCATTTTTCTCTAGTATACTTCAATTTCAAGCAACACCAGATATCGCCTGGTGCTTATCTCCCTGACTGGCTCATCCCGCTATTCTTGGACCACCTGCCCTTCGAAGCATGCGCACGTCTATGGGACATTCTCCTACTAGAAGGGGACTCTTTTCTTTTTCGCGCTGCTCTCGCTGTTCTTGCCGTCCTTGAACCTCGATTATTCTTCCCCGACCGACAAGAGCTTCTAGACCTCCTCCGGTGGGTAACTCCTCAATTCTGTTATTGCACTGCTCAAATTCAACGTTACCATTACAGAGGTGAAAATAAGGCTGCACTAGAAGTAGCCAAAAGGGAAGGACGTTTACTAGATGGTGCAAAATATGACATCTACGGCGTAGACGAAGAAACGCTTTGGGAACGTATCGATAGTATGGAGGACTGGTGGAAGGAGTCTACATGGAGACGTCTAACGCAACGAGAACTGCCAGATTTGTGAATTAAAGATGTAGTACATTCGCAAAAACATCACGTTCGGGTCATCTTGGAGAATGAATCGTCATTGTACTACAAGGTTGTGCAAAGTAGGCCACTCGAATCGCAAACACAGGTAATGCAGATATCAAACAGGCGTTTCCAACTGACTGCGAGGTTAACTGATTATTTGTAGTCGATTCATCGGCTAAGCAGCGGGAACTGCAGCTTTATCGAAGATAGTGCATTCGTAACGCAACATCCAAGCGTTACATGTATCGTATGAATCTATCCAGCACTATCCTCATCCTCATCATCTTCCACCGCATTCTTGTAGAACGTGTACATTCTCCGTCGATTTGCATCCCGAGTGTCTGTTTCGCTTGCCACATCGAATATTTTTTGCAATATCGACTTGCGCACAGCATCTACATCCATTGCTCGATTACTATTTGAGCTAGAGGTGCAGGCGTTGACCAGTAGTTTCGAGTAATCAGGAGATAGTGTGCGCGCCTTCTTGCGGCTTGGAGGACCCGACGATGACTTCAGCAAATTATGCAATGGCTCAAACAATGACGATTGAATGTGTCTGTAAGTCGTGTTCGTGGGCGTTCGTGCGGCGAGGACGATAAATGGCGACAACAGCGTGGACAACGGGACTGGAGTTGGTGATTCCGAGTTTGTGAGCGCTTTTTCGAGCTCATCGATATATATCTCCGATAAGTGGAATGCAAGACTGGTTGGCACACGTATATCGTTGGGACTGCAAGAATAGCTATAGTCTGCTTTCCGATATCTGTAGGAGGACATCTCACCATAGTGGTCCGTTAGGGCCAGATAATATTAAGTTGTACTCCTCAACGGTGGCACTATCCCATTGTGTCCGCACAAGAAATCGGAAGCTCGCATTCACGAACTTCCTAATGAGCATATAATACTTGTCCATCCTTAAGGCCAATATTAGTATCTGAAACATCACGGTATAAAATCACCGCACGCACCGAAGACGATCAATCCCATTCCACTCCCTGACTGTCATTGTCCAAAACCCCCGCAGAAAATTGAGTGACGAAGGTACGTCAGTGATCGCAAGTATGAGCTCCGCTAGCTCCCCCGCTAATGCCTGCTGTACGAGTGGTTTATCTGACATCCAGAAACCTGGAATATGACATCAGATATGACGTAGACGATCGAGGATGAGTGTGGAGACACACAGTAGAAGATGCCCTTCCATAGCTTAGCCATTTCAAGATCAGGCAATACATTTTCGGAGTCACTGGACAGGAAAACAGCAAGGTTTTTTACGGCTTTGTCCCGTGTTTTCTTTTCTGCATCCTGTCAGCGAAGAAGAGTCAATACTAATAATCTTAGCCTACCTGAGGATGCAAGATATTTTCCCAGAGGCGGAACAGCAGGAGTGGACACAGCAGACATGAATATTCGATGTCACAAAATCTTGACAAGTCAGATTGCTTGAGGGAGCACGTGATTTCGCGCCAAAAAGGAGTACCCAATTCTGAGGCCGACAGGGGATTGAGGAACAGATCATCGATCTTCAATCACACTCCCGGCGTGACGGCGGCGACGGGCAGGGGCATTTCTCAGCATTTTGGAGCTCTTTCACGTGGCTTTCAAAGCTCCAAGACAACATATAAAGGGCCATACAGACGGCAGGATTCCCACTAATACTCGTCATTATGTCAAAGGGACCCATCACATGCCATGGTGAGCAACTTGTGTCGAAAAGATATTGCTAGTGATCATTGACTCCCTGAAGTCCTTGATGTCTCTCTTGGAAGACCAGCAGAGGGGGTGGAAGTCAACATTCAGATCCATCATAAAGGACAGAGAAATGTCGACATCTTCAGTCCATTTGCACATGGGTAAGTCGATCATCTTGAATACCCATTTACCGGCAGACAATCGTACTTTTGCAGCGTCACAGATGCCGATGGGCGATGCTTGAACTTGTTGCCTCCACGAGGGTCCGATGAGGCTAGGTTGCAGAATACACAAGTGGGTGCTGGGACTTATAAGATCGTCTTCAAGCCGAAGGAATATTTTGAGAAGACAGGCAGAAAATGTTTTTATCCCTGGGTGGAGGTAAGATTTGTTTGCTAGCCAGGGAAAACTTGTTCTATGACATCTTACTCATGTGCACAGATCACTTTCGAGATTGAAAACCCGGAAGAACATTACCACATCCCACTTTTGATTAGCCCGTATTCTTTTACCACTTACAGAGGAAGTTGAGTGCATATGGAATGAAACGCTTGAGGAAATCTGCGATCCAGCAAGACAATGTATTACCTTGTTGTAATAATGATCCCCCGCAATGACCAAATATCTCGACGATCTTCGAATACAAAACAATGCCAGTGGAAAACAAGGATCAAGGTGAACAGATGGGAACGTCTACGCGCGTCTAATAAACATCATATAAGGACCTTGTTATATGTCACACCCTTGATAATACCACCGCGCATGGATGTCTTAACATTGTACAGGAATTGTTCACGATTCTTTCGTAGTTCTTCTGCTGCCTCTGTCAAACGTAGTCAGACAAGCTCATTCATTTAGAAGCAAATCAAGCGAACCTTTGTTCAATGGATCATCTGCATTAGGCTCCAAGAAAAGGTATTGTAAGCCGACCATGACCGAGTTCAAATTTAAGACAGGTTTCCAGTCTTCTCGGAGAATATTCAAACACACGTTTCCCTCGAGGTCAACGTTTGGATGGTATATCTATATCAAGCAGATTTACATAACGTAGCTTTTGAGGTAGAGGAAACACACTGTTTGCATGCACTTGACCTTGGGTGGTTCGTGTGGATAGTTGGTGTTGATGGTGAATGAGAAAGTGAAAGCACCACCCTTGTACATGCCTGACAAGTTTGGTCAGTAAGGCAGGTGTTTTCAGTATCCAACAGAAACACCTTCATCAGGGGTGATGGTGAGAGTGAAGTTCAGGAGGTCGGTAGGGTCCGGGAAGTCCGTCTTCATGGTGGGAGGGAGGTCAAGTTCGGTGAGATCTGACATCGCGTACGTTAAATCCATGAATTCATGAAACACAACAGGAAAGCAGGTACATACCTTTCTGCACTCGTATCTGTGCAGCACTTGTTTTCGGTCGCTTCTTGGTTGCAGCGTCCTCGTTCTTCTTCATGCTCCATATCTAAGCTCATTAGGACCGTGCACTTAATGCATGAAGTTCTGGTGCGATGTACAGACCTTGATCATGATGACAGTCTAAAGGGAGTGTACAAGTGATAGTTGTTGCGAAAGGTGCCTACTTACAATGATGGGAGGTAGATGGGGGAACAGGGTAAACCAGTGCGGAATGTGCCGAAATAGCGGCTGCCTTCAATGATGCAAGCATGCTTGCAAGTCTCCTCGAGGCCTTCGATGTGCATTTTGACGGCTTCCGCCGTGTTCGAGCGGTAGAAATGTCATCAGAGTATATTGCCTCTCACTGATCAAGGAGAGTTTTACTTCCAGATTCACGTCGCCTTGCTCGGAAACAGTTCAGCCCACCAGACTATTTACAATAAAAATCAGCTACAGATAGTATACTAATATAGCCTTTAGGGAGCAACGCGTGGCTTGAGTCGGGGATGGCCTTGGATGGACGAAGGTATCCTTTGATAGGTCCTACCTTAAAGTTCCTCCTCTCGGCAACAGCTTAGACTCTAGAGCAAGAGCCCCGGGCCAGCAGTCTACTATTAGTACAACCTGTGACTCGCATTTATAACTTAAGAACTGGTCACCATTACGTTCACTGATTTCCACCATGTCTGAGTCAGCGCTATCAGAAACCCTCCCAGTCATTGACCTTGATGTCTTCTTGTCTCAACCCACGCAATCAATCAGAGTGCAAGAGGAATGCAATAAGGTCCGCCTCTTACCACCTGTGATCTAGGTGGTTCTAATCACTCAACTCACAGGCCGCAGATGCATTGATCACATACGGGGCACTCCTTGTACATGATTCTCGCGTATCAGAGGAGGACAATGACGCTTTTCTCGATCTCATCGAGGACTATTTCGCGCAGCCTGTCGAGGACTTAAAGAAGGATGAACGGCCAGAGATTCATTATCAGGTTGGCGTGACCCTCGAGAACACAGAGAAGCCCAAATGTGCCGTGGATGTGCCGTGCTTGGATATCATCGCCAACCTGGACCCAGCCGAACGGCCATTAGATATCTCCGGGCACCATCCTGACCCCAAGTGCAGGTTCTTCTGGAAAATGGGAACCCCCCCTCCATATGAGACCGAGTATCCGGCGCTTAATGCTCCAAATGTCGTGCCCCAGGCACCTAGAATCAGTGAGAAGTGGGAATCCACTATGGAGAAATGGGGGCATTCCATGAAGAATGCGTGAGTCTTGAAGACGTATTATTTGTAGGCTGTTACTAACGCAAACAATAGTGTCGAGAATATTGCTGAAATGACAGCGATCGGTCTCGGACTTCCTCGAGAATTTATCAAGGACGCAGGCAAATATGGGTCAGTATTTCATCTATCATCCTATGGGATATTGCATTGATGCGGCAGATAGCCCTCATCTACTTGGCCCAACGGCTTCTGATTTGGTGAAGTATGGGCAAAAGGATACCATACTTGCCGGCTTTCATACAGATCTCAACTGTTTAACGATCCACGGTCGTTCAAGGTATCCAGGACTCAACATCTGGGCACGTAATACTGGGAAGCGCATCCCCGTTAGATTCCCACCCACTGGCCGTTATCTACTCGTGCAAGCAGGGAAACAGATCGAACATTTAACCGGAGGCCTCATCAAAGCTGGGTTCCATGAGGTAGTCGTGAACGAGGCTACGCTGCAGGTCATACACTATCGAATTCTATGGTGCAGGTGAAGAGCTGACTGTGCTTTTCTAGACTGTCGAGCGGCGCAAAGAGACTCACTCTGACCGGCCTAATATCCGCATATCATCAACATTTTTCTGGCACCTCTCGTCCGATTATGAGCTTGTTCCGATCCATAAACTATCCGAACGTGCAAATGCGTTCAATTTGAGTCAGACAGTGGATCAGCATACGGTTTATGAACGGATGAAAGTTGGACAGCAGGTTCAGAAGTGAGTGCCAAAAGTTCCTGGCACCCTCGAAACCAAATCTTACTAATATCTGGCAGTGCACTCAAACATATTGGTCTCATGGCCTAAACTAGATATGTTTAGGGTATGTCCGTGAGTGTATGCACAACAAGGTATCTGCAGGACACAGCTCATCCATACCGGGGGACATGCGTGCTCAGTATATATCCAGCCATGTATGTATAGTATCTCTGACTTCACCTATCATACTTGGTAGTTCTTTTTCCCTCTGTTACGAGACACGGGACTACGATATCGTCCATGTAAGGTCGTCCCTCCGAAGTGATGTCCAATGTCTGAAGCTTCCCCTTCTTTTTGGTCGGAATGAAAGTAGCGAGAATCGGAGGATTCTGCAACGTTCCGAACTTAGTACACTGAACGGACATCACCTATACACCAAGAACATCTTTGAGCAAATTGCTCATTTACATAATGGCAGGAAGTCGCACTTTGTTTTCCGCACAATTCGTTTGCCACATGAGATGCATGTCCTTTTTAAAACGCCACTCAAATTGCATCAGTCGGTTCCAGGGATAACAAGGTACAAAAGTCATAATGATCGGACGAGGCAACGACTTACCTTTCGGCGGTCCCTGGACCGTTGCAAATGTACACCGTCAAGATAAGCTATCTTATGCCGCCTTGGCCATCTGTATTCAACAGTCCCGCAATATCCATCTTCGTGTGATATCGACCGTGAACGGACGATGGATGTCATGAAGGATTAGTAGAAGATCGTCGAGGGAAATTCGGAAAACCAAACTGAATTTCTGCGATTATCTGACCTTGCTCTGTTCCTTTGCGAATGGTTGTGGTGCATATCTGAGGTCTGAAGCAGTCGTTCGAGACAGATATGTGATATAAAGGACGTGAATTTGAAGAGAGCGCATGAGGCAAAAGCAGCATAGCGTTTGGACCAAAGGGTGAAAATGTGAATGGCCCTCTTGTTTCTACGTTAGCTGAATGGTCTCTGTTGAAATGTAAGACTAAGTTGGTGACGAGGAATACTCAATAAGACCTTGCGGTGGCTCCAACGAGGGTATCAGTCGATGAATTGGCCTGGGGCGCTAACACCACCAGCCTTGGTCCTTCCGGTACAACTCTTGGGGGTTCTTCTTCCTGCATTGAATGTTGAAGTGCAACACTGTAACTAGAAACCAATGGTCAGGATTGTAGCAACTTGAAGAACCAATTGAATGAAATGATACAAACCTTGGAGGTGCACTGCGTGTGGTTCTGATGAAGACAGCGTCCGACATGATGTCTTATAGCGAAGTTGAAAGCAAAGGCCACAGGACCTGCGTAAGCCCGAGCTGTTTATCCGTCCAGTGCCCAGACAGTGGAGTGGGGCACCCCCTAGGGAGGGGCTGAGGGAGGCCGAGGTTTGCGAGGGTCTACAGAACAATGGTCGGCTCGCCCAAAATAAGTCCCCTGCAACTAAAGATGGAGCACCCACCCATACGCGTGGGCTAACAGGCTTCTTCGGCGACGACCAGAGTTTTAGATTTACGACCAACCCGACTTGATGTCGAAGGAAGATAGAAGACTACGTGCAATGCAAACTCACCCACGAAACCAATCGTGACTGGTTCTTCAGCTGCTGAAAAAAGGTGGTGAAGTTGAATTCAGTTAGTGTATAAGACGATTAAGTAGGTAGCCGTTGAAATAACATAAGTCTCCACTAATGCCCACGAGGAACAGCCGCGCCAAAAACGCGCAGGACCGACTGAAGTTTTGCCAACATCTCATCCCACTCTGCATCAGGATCGGACAGCGCAGTGATGGCTCCTCCAGCGCCAATCACCCATTGCTCCGGCTCGTGAACGCCAGGGTAGAAATCGGGATTATTGAATTCCGTCCACGAATGAGCATCGCATTCGTATCGATCATCGTATTTGAAGCAACTTCGGATGGTAACAGACCAGTCTCCACCACCTCCAGCGCACCAGTAACCAAAAACACCAGAATAAACATTGCGTTCCTCGTCTTCCAATGTTTGTAGGATCTCAACACTGCGCTTCTTCGGGGCTCCAGTCATGCTACCTGTGAAGTATATTAGTGACAGTTGAATCAAGAACAGCTCTACAAAACATACCCGGGGGTAAGCTGCGTCTGAGAACCTCCCACCCCAGTGCGCCATTAGCATAGTGGCTGGCAGTTTTATCGGCACCTCCTGCTGACTGGCCTTCGATGACGCTAACAAGCTGCCACACCGTCTTGCACTCCTCTACAGTGCAGAATTGTTTGACTTCTACATTCTCCCCAACAGCTCCATGCATATCATGCCGAATAAGATCGACAATCATGAGGTTTTCGGCAACCTCCTTCTGGCTGCCCCTGAGCGCTTGCTCAGCAACAGCACGGGTGATATGAGGGCCCTTGCGTAAGGTACCCTTGACGGGACATAGTTTATATGTAGTTCCAGGTGGACGAGTATATGAGAGGAACCGCTCTGGTGACGAGGCTAGTAAGGTTGTTGGATGCAACCGAAGGTACGCAGCGTGAGGGGCGGGGTTGAGCTCGCGAAGATGTTTATAACGCTGCCAGGATGGGGAGTATGTCGATGAAGCCTTGGGTGCCAACGGGTCGTTCAAAGTGATGTGAGTATTAGCTGTAAGACACAGCTCATAGGATTCTCCGGCGAAGAGATGCTCTTTCGCAAGATTAATGCGGGATCTATAGAGGTCCCGGTCTGGTAAAATGACAGTAGACGTATTTGGCCGCGCCTTGGTTGAATAAGGACGTAGTATTATACGAAGAATATGTTGAATAATTACGGGCGGCAGAGTGAAGCTGTTCGGCCATTTCCTGTCAGCCATTCGTTGTCGTCTTCTGTGATAGATTGGACATAAATGTGTCCAGAAGTTGAGTCGAGAATTATGCTACGCTCTACGAACACGAGATTGACATCAGGGTGTCGTGTCTGGCTAGATACCCGATCTGCTGATACTCTGAGAGAGTCGGTACCGAGTTCGTAACTGAGATAGCCAACGAGGCCACCCCAGAATGGTACTTCCGATGAACCGCCAGAGACCTTCCGCTTGTTCATAAAAGAGGTAAGCCAGGACCACACGTCGTGAGATCCCAGATCTATTTGATTGCACGACTCCCCATTCGCCAAATGAACGAAACTATTTCCAATGGTGTATGTGACTCGGAGGGACGTCGAAGTCAAACAGCCGATGATAGTGAAGCGGCCTGGGTGTGCAGCAGATTCTAGCATAACGAAGGGAGACGAGTCATCGTCGACGCCCAAGACCTCACATATGTCAGGAGCAGACAGGTCCGGGATGCTCAATCTTATCGTAGAAGCGGATAGTGGCGTATTGACACGAGGGGCGCTTGGCAATGGGCGGACGTATGGCCACGGAACGCCAAAGATTGCATCTGCTGTCTGATCCCATGGGCGTGTGACTCGCCCACGAGAAAAAGTCCAAGTCCGCGCTAAACGCCAGAAGTTTAACATGACTTCAATACCTCCACCCCGCGTGAGAACTGATTCAGGATGATACTGAACAGCCCAGAAGGGTCGAGTGCGATGTCTAAGGGCCATTACTACCCTCCCATTCCCTTCATCATGTGTGGATGCAAGTTCTTCAATATCCTTCGCACCACTCAGCTCGACGTGGAGGGAGTGGTAACGAACGGCATCCACGGGGCCGACGCCCTTGAATATATCTGTGCCATTATGCTCGACGGTAGACACATGACCATGCTTGACGACAGAGAGCCTGCGTAAATTGGCCCCGTTTTCAAGAGCTAAACTCTGAAGGCCCAGGCAAACGCCAAAAACTGGCAAAAGATGTGCGTCGTCAATCTTCCATAGGTCTTTGACGAGACCAATGTCCTCTGGAATATCTGGGGATCCTGGGCCGGGGCCGACGATGACACCGGAGAAATAGGGCAGATATGATGATAGATCTTTAAGTTCTATGTCATCATTCTTGATGATGTGCACGTAGCAGTTTGGGATAGCCTTCCGACACAACGCTGCTAAGCTATTGAAAATGGTTGAGTGGCATTCCTCAGTAAGAGTAAGAGGACTTACTTGTACGTGAAAGAGTCATATGAGTCGACCAGCAAAATCCTTTGGGGTTCAGGACTCATTGAAAACAGAGGAACAGGAAGGAAGGTGGAGAAAATGGAGAGAAGCTGAGCCTAAGTCTTAAGATAAGAAGAGAAAGTCGAAGAGATACTCATGAGTAGATAAATTGGTATGTGGTAGATACCCATGACTCGGATTTGAAGTGAAACTCTCGGAGTTTCGGAGTCAATAATAATAGATCCCACAGCTGAGACTGGTCATTGTCAGCGAACGCTGATGAAGGCTAATGAACACACAACTCAACGATAGTCTATCACAACAATGGTTCACAAAGGTGCGTGCAACACAGTCCATATCCTTGCCTGACTGTATTGATCATCGATCTAGTTCAAATACATATGCGTACCGCTACTGGAGAAGTCACAGTTATCTGCAGGGACCGTAGCAAATATATTGCTTCTGCTGTCCAATCTTGAAAGCACACTGCTTGATGCGGGTGGAACTGGATTCACCCTATCTCAGTCCTTGGTGTCATACATATTTTTCCCATTATCCACAATCCTCCGCCGGAATGACTTGTCTGTCATCCCGGACCAAATTCTGGAGAAGATATTTGGTGTTCTTGCCATTCTATGTGAAACATGGTGGTGGTACTGCGACATACAGATATGGGACCAGATATTCAAGTTATCCAGCTCGATCATCGGGGGTGTCGAAGGCAAGGGCAAGGGCAAAGTCAGGGATGATGAAACTAAAGAAGCAGCCGCACGATGTCTGTGGGCTATCCTTCGGGAACGTCGCGTAGAAGAAGCGCCACAAGAATCTCCCGAGGAACTATTGCACACGCGTGTTTCACAGTTTCAAGTTCATTCACAGAGCCTGCAATTCATGCCTATCCTCGGACAGACCATCAATACGCTCCTTCTCCCCGCAAAGTCTCCTCATCTCAAATTGCAACGCATTTCGCTGAAGATTCTGCGTGCACTCATCAGCGTATATGCTTCAGAGCAATTTTTGCCTTCCATCTTACCCGGTGTCGTGAGCAGCATGACCAGAATCGCTCTTGGGATGTCGAGCAAGAAGGGATGGGTCAATGGAGATATCGTTGCTTTGAGTCTTGGGACCCTGGAGCCTGTGATCGTGAAGTCGTTAGGAGATGATGTATCCATCCGAGAGGGTGTCGTTCGGAGTGTCGTGGACCTGGAAGACTTCATCAACCTCACAGGCGCCCCTGCGGTGGATCCGAAACCACCTGAGTTACCTCCCTACTTGACTCCACGTACTTCGAGTTGGTTGCGTGCGTCGGCATCCCAACTGCACATCGCGATAAATTCTCTAACACCGCTCGTGAATCATCCGACACCGCTCGCTTTGGTTGCCTTGTCGTCTTTCTCACGGACCATCCTTGCCTCCACATATTTGACTCTTTCCCAATCTCGACCTCTTCTATTGTCTTGGCTCTTGTCACTATCAAACTGTGCTTTCACAGAGGTTTCGCAAGCCGCCCATCAAGCCCTATCGGAACTCCTAACAGCCGCTTCAGATGTGAGACTACCGCTACTCCAAGCACTTCTTGAAATATCGAAAGAGAACCTCAGTTCTTTGCCTCGATCCATCGTTTCCCAGGATGACACCAAGGTGGAACATATCGCAGGCCAGATAGAGGCAATCTGCCGGTTGGCTACGTCCAGTAACATGTCTTCTACAGGCCTCGGTCTGACGTCAATCTCCTTGGGTATCGATACGCTATTGGGGCCAACTGGCGGAATCGAAAAGTGGGGTTTTACTCTACTTTCTGTCTTGGAGTTCACAAGTCCACAAATGAGTGTCAGCCAGGGCCCCGTCGCTCAACTCTTATTAGAGGACAATGCAGACAACCTGGACACAGTTAATTTCCCTGAGGTGATGTTAAAAAACGCTCTCGCAAGGTCCACGCACGATGCTCTGGCTCGCATGCTACGCGCTTTGGGGAGAAGCAGCGGCGAAAATAGCATCTACGCTGTTGAATGGTTCATCAGTATAGGGCGGTATTCACGAGCCAACAATGCCATTGCAGCATTATGGTGTGCTGCTCGCATCCTTGAAGGGATCAGCGGCTTTGGTCTGGACGAAGGTGGCATGGCTATTTCGAATAGGCCCCACAGCAGGAAACTGGAGCGGTTTGCAAGAGGCTTAGCCCGTGACCTCGCTGAGTCATGGGACGAAGAGCCAGATCTCAGCAGCCAGACTGATATTCCCCGCACGGATCGTCAGACGGATGACTCGTTGCTGGAGGTGGGGTTCACAAAGGGCTTCAAGACTATCCGTGCCACCCTGCAGGTTGCGGAGCCAAGAGCTACACTGCCCACTCTGTCTCAAGATCAACCCATGCTGCATCAGATATTTCGCTTGCAGTTGCTTTCAATCAGCGCGGGAATCTTGCAGGCTCGCTATACCTCCGTTCTTATCCAGGTCCTGTATCCGGTTTTACATTCGATCGTATCGCCCACACCCCATCTTTCGTTGACCGGGCTTGCGACACTGCATTTTATGTCAGCAGCCATGTCATACGCCTCTCCAGCCAATCTCCTACTGTCGAACTTTGACTATGCATTGGACTCTGTTTCCCGCCGCCTTAGCCGCAGATGGCTTGACATTGATGCGACGAAAGTGATGGCCGTGCTTGTTCGCCTCGTAGGGGCTGATGTGGTGCAGAAGGCTGGTGATGTCGTTGAAGAATGCTTTGATCGTTTGGATGAGTATCATGGGTACGAAGTTATTGTCCAAGGCTTGGTGGGCGTATTGGGAGAAGTGATCAAGGTCATCGAGGCTGAAGAGCCTCTCACCCAAAAGGAATATCAGGACGACACGCAGTCGTCAATGATAACCAGTTCATTGGAGCCACTCTTTGAATGGCTTTCTCATCGGAAGGATCTTCCGCCTCATGAAGACGCTACTGACCACGGTCCTGCCCCTCATAAGGCATGGGGTACTACCAAGACAGATGAAGAATCTGCTGAAAAACAGTCAGATAGTCCTGCCACACAACCGAAAGTTGCCGAAGATACCGAGCCTGCGCCCACACCGGGACAAGCCTCAACCAAGCAGATGGTTTCACGATCTATCTATTTTCTTACACACGCTTCACCCGTCATTCGCGCTCGGATCCTGACCTTGCTAAGTTCCGCCACTCCGGTCCTCCCTGAGTCAGCCCTGTTACCATCTATTCATCTCGCTTGGCCATTCATCTTGAATCGTCTTAATGACGCTGAGCCATTTGTAGTCAGCGCGGCTGCTGGTCTTGTGGAATCGCTCGTGACCCATGTTGGCAGTTTCATGGGCAGGCGAGTGTGGGACGATGTCTGGCCCCGTTTTGGCAACATTTTGAAAAAGCTAGATGCATCCGACAATCAGAATGCCCTTGCACGCCGTGGTTATGGAGCAGTAGGAACGGAATCAGCATACACCCATTCTCATCGCTTATATCGCTCCATTCTGCGGACGATGACGGCTGCCGTAGCTGGTGTCCATATGCAAGATGCATCCGGTTGGCAGGTCATACTCGCATTCAGGCGCTTCTTGCACAAACAGGCACACGAGGAACTGCAGGCCTATGCAAGAGAGTTGTATGTCGCGCTCGGCAGGGGTAATGAAGATGCCGTATGGCTGGCGCTTATGGCGACGTGTGGACATTTGACTGGTGAAGTCGCTTACTTGAGAGAATACAGGTGGGATATACAAGACAATGTACGCGTAATCCTCAATGCGTAAATGATGTTATCGTGATATCGTATCTTACTATCAATCTTCCAATCTTATGGTTCAGGGGGTGGAACGTGTCGGAAGATGTCTACGCCAGCTTCCTGGAACAATCGTGCAGAAGCGTCATCTCTGTGGTAATTTGAGACAAATACTGCGTAATATGTCGACACACTTACACCTTATAGCTCAAATTGTAGACCACTCTTTTAACACCACTCTGGATGATCTTGATGGTACATTTCAAACACGGACATCTAGGCCCAGAATGAAACCCAACAGTGAAGTTGTAATGTTGTACCCACGTATTGCAATACATAGTAGCATTCGCGCCAACCCGATCTCTTCCTGCTTCCAAAAGCGCATTTTCTTCGGCATGTAGGCAGAGACATTCGGTACCATTAGTCGCCGATGTGCGATTGCAATGTCCGCATCCCCCTGCATTTTTATCAGCAAGTGACCGGGGGGAGGGAAAGATAAATACCGTCATTGCAGTTTTTAACACCACGAGGAGTACCGTTATATCTGTGGGCCGAGATAACAGCTTCGATATCCGAAGTACAACTTAGACATACCCTGTGGAAACGATGCGGTTTTCACGGACAAGTATGGCGCCCACGCGGCGCTTCATACAGTTGGAACGTTGCGAAGCAAGATCTGCGAGCGTCTGAAGCCCATCTAATCCATCTGAATCCATCGATGATGTAGAACGTTCATACCATGAAATAGGTATCCCATTGAGGTCTAAGTCGATTGGTATTCGTAATATCTAAAGAATCCAGTTGATGATAGAGTTCTGTGATGGAATCGAAGGAATTGACGATTTTGAGTTTGACCTGTGGGCTGGCGCGGCGGAGCAGTGAAAACCCTCCGGGAGAGTGTGGCCCTATACTGTCTCCAAACACTTCGCGGTCGTGTGCCTGCACAAAGTCTTCGAGAGTTGCTATGTTTATTAGACTAAGTTGTGCCTCAGCTAAACGTTCAGCATCAGCTGACGAGATAAATACCGATGGCAGCGGTGATAACGTTGCAAGATGGGTGCATCTATGCTAATTAGCATGAAGAACGGGCGCCTGATGAAGTAGTTCACTAGTCTGTCTGAGTTGAGGTCAGTCGTAACAAAATTTGAGCGCCAATGCTGTGTGACGTGATCCAGCAACAGGGCTGGTGAGGCAAAGGAAAGAGTTTTCACGTTTGAGTTTTGAGAGGAAGATAGTGATATGGGCGGGTCCAAAAGGCGTTTGTGCTCATCGCCAATGGTATTGGGCCGCAGCGGAAGCAGGGGCAACATTGGCGAGACGACCGGATTTTGGATGCTTGCTGAGATCTGAGGGGACCATTGTTGGTCTTTTGAATTCAGAGAACAGGGTGTTTAGCAGGACCTGCCTCTGCATCCTTGTCGTACAAGCGGACAGACGTAAAGCCTTTGGTGGCTAGGTAGTTTTCGACAGTGGACTTCCCCGAAAAACGCAAACCAATTATAGCAATAAACATCGAGGCGTGATACACACGAAAGACAAAGTAGCACTGGGTCGAGGCGAATGTTGCGAATATCAAGAAGTCACGTGATTTATTATAATAAATAAAATAAACAAGTGACATCATTCGTCTGATTGGAGGGCTGCTAATACCTCAAATTTTCAAAGCTTCACTAAGGGTGTAGAACGTAACGTTGCCTATCAAGGGTTGGTCATGTGTCTGGTGTCTTTTTAGCCGCAGCTATTGCCTTTTCCTTTCGTTTCTTCCGGATATTTCAGTGGGTGGTGGGCGGCTAATTGGAATTAAGGATATCGAAATATTCGGCCAGGCTGTCCCGGAGCGGGTACTGATGGGCCAGGCACAAATTGAGTCAATGCGGGACATTCATCTTGATCGATATTTGAGAGTATCATAGCTCACTGGAAGTATAAATCCTGGTGTTTACATGAATACCGCAGCCTCTGGTCTGGGGCCAACTTGAAGACTCTCGGCAAGTGTGGGCTCAGCCGAGCCCTTCAAGTTTAGTAAGAAGATTTGTATCAGGCGCTACTTACTCGAAGCTCCTTGAAAGTCGGATCTAGTAGGGCGATGTGCGGCGACAGACGGTGAGGGATGTGGGTAAGGTCAGAAGATTGGCATCGGATCGGCACGATAATATTACAAAAACGACAGCTATAGAAGAGTTGTCAACTTACTTGAGACGCAGTGCCATCGAAGAACCTTGGAGTCTCCTTTCCGTTGATTAAGGCGGTTTGACGCCTTGATCTGACGTGGTACGATGAATGAGTGATAGCCGAGGAGTCCGATAACACTGGGTTTCAAGTCTCTTGTTGATGGCCCGGTGGCCATGTGGTTGAGAAGGCAGTACAGAATGACCAGTGACGGCAAAGAAGCAGAATCCCGGAATATGCAGAAGTTTCTTGGCTATTCTGTCAAGTCTAGATAAGGGACGCAAGTGAAGTATAGCGCCTGCCTTGACACTATCTTCCGCGCTTTCCGAATGGTCATGCTAAAGTCATATGTTGCACATTTGAGGGCCCAGCTTAAGAAGTTGGGTGCGTCAGTTGGGAGCAGATCAGATCAGATCGTTCCGTTCTAATAGAACGGAAAGTATATTTGGACCATGTTTGGTGTTGTTTGCATCACAGGGCCGGTAAACAAGTTCAACAAGTTTTGTCGTGAATATTAAGTAAAAGCTGGAAGCTTAGCTTAAAGGTTTACAATTCACACCGACAGGCTTTGAACACAACCCAGGCTGGCAGATTCGATGATGATATGGCAGACAAAATCATATTGTTTTCCTCCCAGGAACCACGCATGTTGAATGAAAAAAAAATTACAACATGCTGTACGAGCGCTAGGAGTAATCAGGCAGGCATAGCGACATTTTCACTCCCCACTGGCAGGCATGCATGTCATCCGGTCGATCGGTCTCCCAATTACAGCTTATCTGCAGTGTACACAGACTCTCATGGGCTTCGCATACCGTTTACGCACCGTTCTGCCGCAAGTCAATCAGATGCATTCCGGCGCATAGCCTCGAGGATTCGAATTTTATTCATTTTTGGTCTGTGGGATTTCATATTGCTACCTGGTACCAGTAACGTATAAAGAGGTACGCCATTGTCAGCTGCTAAATTTTTGTCAACGGCGCCTCGACTGCCGTTCCATCTATTTACGATGATCGAAATCCAGGATGTAGCTGCCCGAAAACGAAAAGAGCGCGAGGCAAAGCTATCCGCATATCGCAAAGGGCGCATTTATGTTCCAAGGGATGCCATCGATCTTTCGCAGTACCCGCTCAGCAAGCTCACAGAGACGGAGCGTATCATCGTCCATTGTGATGCGACAGCGATCGTAGATTTGATCCGCAAACGAGTCTATACTGCGCAGGAAGTTCTGCGGGCCTTCGTCAAAGTAGCGGTGGCTGCCCAAGATGTCACCAACTGTCTTTCAGAAGTTTTGCTTGATGAAGCATTCCACCAAGCCAGCAAGCTTGACCAATATCTGGAAAACACTGGAAATGTCATAGGACCACTGCACGGTTTACCAGTATCCATCAAAGATCACATCAAAATAAAAGGTCTGGACACTTCGTCAGGATATCTCGGTGAGTACTATATGTTCGGCCCAAACCAGTCGTTTATCACTCTTTTTATATCAAGGCTGGGCATATAAAACTGTTGCGGATAGCGACGCACTGCTGGTAGAAATTCTACGCAACGCCGGTGCGATTCTATACGTCAAAACACAGACTCCACAAACTTTGCTTGTCAGTGATGTTGTGTACGTCTTTGTGCATTCGCTTACCTGGTTTTAGTCACTTGAGACAGACAACAACGTGTTCGGCAAGACTATTAACCCGTTTAATCGCAATTTAACCCCAGGAGGAAGCAGTGGCGGCGAAGGGGCGCTAATAGCATGTCATGGTAGCCCTATGGGCGTTGGAACCGATATCGGCGGGAGCATTCGGATCCCTGCAGCCCATTGTGGTTTGTATGGCCTGAAAGGATCAGTGGCACGTCTGCCACATTCTGGTCTCTTGGGCTCTCATGACGGGATGGATGCAATCGTGGGTTGTGTCGGACCGTTGACAAGGTCTGCAAGGGACCTCGAGTTATTCTGTCGAGTAATGCTCGATGCAGAGCCGTGGCTCAGTGAACCTGCACTCCTAGAAATGCCATGGAAAAGAGGTGTGGCAAACGGGGAAGGTTTACCGGACAAACTTGCAATTGCTATCCTTTTTGATGATGGCGTTGTTACACCGCATCCTCCAATTACGCAGGCCCTGAACAAATACAAACACGCCTTAGCACGTGCTGGTCACGACGTGATCGAATGGCAAGCGGTGGATCATCAGAACGGGTGGGACCTCATTGTAAGATACCTTTGATTTCCGGTATTAAATCTAATGGGTTATAGGCGAAGCTGTATTTACTGGATGGCGGAGCGGAGTACTACGAAACCATTAGAGCAGGTGGAGAGTCCGAGGTACCTCAAACCGAATGGATCCTCAAACACGCACAGGGACGAGATCCGTATACCCCTGCGGATATATTCAAGCTCAACTTGGAACGGGAAGCGTTCCGTTCGAAAGCATTGGCACACTGGAATGCTACGCAACAACGTACTGTTAGTGGACGTCCTGTGGACGCCATTCTCTGTCCGGTTGCGCCTACATTGGCTCCGCCACATAACACGACCAGTTGGTGGGGTTATACCTCTCATTGGAATCTGTTAGACTTGCCAGGCGCTGTCTTTCCCGTTGATCGGTTCACTGCCACAGCATCTGCCACCTACCCACCTCTTCCGCATTCAAGGAATGATCTTGAAAATTTTATTCATAGTCAATGGAACCCAACTACATATGATAATACTCCCATATGTCTACAGCTCGTGGGTCGGAGGCACAACGAGGAAAAGTTGTTGGCTATGCTAAACGTTTTGGAAAAGGTGTTTAAAGAGAATGCCTTGTAAACAGAGAGGTGTTCGAATATTCGTATAAGTAGTATCTAGTGTTACATAACATCTCCGTAGAATGCAAATACACTCCATATACGATGGACAACGTTCCTTGTAAAATTTATTGCATGGCCTCATGACCATCGTACGACCTCCGACCACGATGTGCATTACGGCATAGCTGACCCTTTTTTTTGGTCAAATTACCAGGGACCTTGAAACGTTTTCACGAGCGCTCCTTGGGCGCTCCCACCTATCTTGAACAGTTTTTGAACGTGGAATTACTACCACTGCCTATTCCTCCTTTGTATACAAGGTCGGAGTACGTGGAGAACGTCGCCGATACGTTGCATGTGGTTCACAACGTACCTCCCATGTGACTCCGCGCTGGCCTCCGCAATGCCACCACAGGATGGCACTTGCAAACTACTACTGGCAGGCTGAGGCCTGTGCTTGGACCGTTCGTCAGCATATACTGTCTCACGAAAAGACAACAGACTCTTTGATGCTGTATCCTTAAAGTGATCGCCGGAGCGGTGAGTGTCATCAACCGATTACTTGATGGTGGAAGATTCACCGTCCAAGTCGTCCATCCTGTGGCCATAGATGATTAAGGTACTCGCCTGGCAGGCGACTCCATTATCTGTGCCACAACGTTCAATTTATTGTATTTTCCTATCCTTGTATAGTTATTCTCCACGTTTTCACGTTCGTAGACGTTGAAACTCTTATCCAGCCTGTGCTTTCTATGAGTATCGGAACGTTTAGGTTAGATTCTTGAGAAAAAAGGTAGTTCCACAGGTGCTGTAGCTGCAGAGATGGCCTACTATAAAGCAAAAGCGGGCTCGAGGATCCAACTATACTCATACCAGTCTTCTAACCTCCTAGCCTTTTAACCTTCTAGCCTTCTGACCTTCCAATCCTCACATAAAGCATGCCTGGCTTACTACTCTCCTCTATTCAACGCTTTGACCTCTCCACGGGCATCTCAGAGGCTGGATGGAACGCTCTACACTCTAATGCTGCTCGTGCCAATCTTGTTCTTCCCCATGCAGAGAAAGTTTTTGGCCGCCAAAAGTTCACGCCCAAAATCGATGCTACTGAACAGCTTTGGTTGGCATACTCGCAGCCTGGAACTTCCAAAATCTCCCTCGTGCTTTCCTGCACAGAGGGACCGCTAGGCAAATACCCCCTGTTCATCATTCCCACAATCCCCATTGCGGATTTTACCCCCGAGCTCATTGAAAGCTCCACGGAGGCGTTGTGCAGCGCACTTCTGGACGAGCCCGGCTTCAGGAAGGAGCGAGTCTTTTCCATTTTCTCCGTTGAGATCATCACAGAGGCCTTCGCTCTGACATGGGAAAGACTCACAGGGATTGGTCGCATCAAGAAACCGTATTACAGCGCATTTTTCTCGGTGTGTACCGAAAGCACATTGATCCGCCAACAGCGACCTCCTCGTCCATCAGAGGATGTGATTCTCGAGCCGCGTCTTGCTGTAGAACAGGACGCTGACGAGATTGCTAAACTGTGCCGCGATTTTGCGGCACCTCCGGTATGTCTACTGCATCCTTTTTCCAAAAGTCAAAACGTTTATAAATGAATCTCTTCAGGACCCGTTCACCCTCAGTGAGGAGAAAGCCGGCAAAGAAGCTAGGCTTTTGATTGCCAACAAATCAGTTTGGGTCCTCGAGATCAAAAAGCGCAAAGAAGAACCCGAAAATGAAAAACCCGAAATTGCCACTATTGTTGCCGCGACGCGGAAGTCAGAAGGCATTGCTACCATCTCCAAGGTCTACACCCCAAAGAAATGGAGGGGTAAAGGCTGTGCTGAGATATTAGTTCGACATGCATGCATCGAGTACGTACTAGCTAGCGGCTATAATATTGCAACATGAAACTCACTTCTTTCTGAACAGGTTGCTGGAGAAGTATAAGGAAATCGTCTTATACGTCGGTGTTGAGTTGGGGTCCGCCAAGACAGTGTATGGCCGCGTGGGTTTCCAGGGTCTTGATGATGAGTCTCCCTTGTCCGAGCGATGGCTCGAGATTGGTTTCGATCAAGATAAAGTCGAACTCGGTCATTGGTAGAGTTTTGAGCATATTTCTGGGTCGCTTTGGTTTCTCTGCTTTGCGTTGCTCTGCATGGTCGTTCATACGTCCCTCTAACATCCCACTTCTTGTCTGTAGCATTATCATTCTCTATTGCTTAACTGTATCATAGCATGTGTGCTTGTGTATTTCTTGATCCCTTGTATGATTCGACTACACGTTGTACTTGTGTATTTCTTCTTGATCCTTTGGACTACCCGATACCAATAGATGTATAATCAATCCTCTCCCTGTCTGAGCCACCGATCACCAAAGGCTTCGTCATCAGGATACGCTGCATTCAGTTCTGGGCTCAACAGAAACCTTGCTCTCCCTTCAACTTGGGTCAAGTCCTCGAAGTACATCCCTGCCCGCGGTGCGTCTGTAAAAATTCTGTGAACATCAGCTGGTTCTAGACATGTCGCTCTAATGTTATCCTCTGCAACATCTGTGGCATCGCATAAACATCAGCCCTGGCATTGAGATATAGGGAGTACACTTACAGCGCAAGGAGCCACTCTGATCTAGAGCGTGATAAAATGGTTGATGACGCCCTCGGGAGAGCAAATCAACACCCATCTCACGGATCCAGTCCTCGTCCGCTGCACAGGAGGGCTAACACAAAAACAAATACAATGAGTTGATATGTGAAAACACCATGTCCTCAACACCCACATCCCAGCCGTATACATATCCTACATATCCATGGGCTGCGTGCTTGAAAACCATGCCAACGAAGAATTTCACCTCCCGTGTGAGTGCAGAACGAGGATGAGAGGTAGCAGCCGCCTCCTTCTCGTCCTCCATGATAGCGTTGCAATGCGTCATGAGCTGCTCTTGGAGGTATGGGTGTAAAAGAGGAGTCAATGAATCGACGAGCACTGGCAGCAGATCAAGGAGGAACCGATTGATATGTTTCATTATATTCAAGAGATACCTGCGGTCGTTCATAAAGATGGCATTGATCATAAGGCTGGCATAGATTGCTGTGTGCAGCTCAACTTCGGGAACTGCTGCTCCTGCGGGAAAGTTGTTGACGGACGCTAAGACATTCCGGGATGCCCGCAGTAGCATGGAGGTGGAGGAAGCACTGCTGATCCATGGGAGTATTGTATTGGTGTGGATTCCGGCTTGAATAAGGAAGCGTGGAATATCGTCATGGAGCGTTAGAATGGCTTGTGTTCGTGAGCCAAAAACGTCGACAAAAAATTCTAAGACATCTGGGTGGGGAGAAGATACGACAGCCAGAACTCTGCTAGGAAAGTCGGTAGGTGCTGCCGTGACGCCCATCTTGCGTGCAATGCACACGAAAATGTATACAAGTGATATGGGTATGGTTGCCTGGTGCGTGGTTAAGAAAAGGTGAGGAAACCGATTTTGCAACATGTGAAACCGCTCTCCTGAATTGTCGTTGTTGAAAAATAGAATGTTATATCTAAGGAGAGCTCACCATCCGCGGCTTCAAAGCCACAGCTCCACAAAAAATCGCAGATTGACGAACAGACGAGTCTGAGCTTCGCAGAATCACTGGTGAATTCAGCAGGATCAATGGGCATTTGGTGCTTGATGAAGTAGATTTTGCAGAGAGTCGCAAGTTCTTCGAGTTGGGACAAGACCTCGAAGGAGTTCAGCAACCGTTAAGAGTGAACCAACTGAAGCTACGAACCTTCATGGGAGGGTAAACGAAAAAGCTGGACATACAAGCGAATGAAAGCTCAAGCGATTGGGGTGTGTCATTAGAGATAAGTTTCCCCCAGGTGCAAACAGCATCACTTCTAGCAATAGCACCAAGAAGCATTTGAGCCCAAAAGCGAAGGGGAACTGCATGAGGGGGAATGGGCCTCAGATCTAAAACTCCTGGCTCGCGGAATGTGTCCGGAAGCGGACAATTTGCGGCCATCTCGAGGACATTCCATGCGTCAAACGAGAACTTGGTATTGACCTCTCGCGCTCTTTCCAGTCTTCCATCACCCCGTTCCATGACGATCTTGAACAATATCTCCAATGTCTCGAGGTCTATGCGTCGCCTCTCAAAATACATCAGTCGCCAGTCGCCACCTGTAGATCGCTTTCGCGATTGCTCTTTCGCGGGGTCACATATTGTGTATCGGGCATGGTAATGTGGCTCCCATAGTCTTGAAACAGATGCAGCTGCTCGAAGTAAAGTGCTTGTCTTCAAGCAAGATATGAGCACAATAATACTCTCGTCAGAACCTGTCAATGGTGTTAACTGCTCCAGAATCTGTACATAGAGGTCAAAGGGAAGTTCCCGTATCGTCATCGCCGCAGTGGTAGGCTTCTATGATCTTGCACATGACAAATCACCCATACTAACTAGGTCACGTGAACAATTTTTGAAAGGCTTGCGAAATTCGAATGTTGGCTTGGAGATACCGAAATTCTGCGTGTAACGTGGTATTTCTAATGGGTACAGTTTAGATCGATCGTAATCGATTGATCAAACGCAATTTGCCGGGCACGAGGTCGAGGAAGTCGGATATCCATTTGACCAAGACCTAACTACGTGGGAGTAGAAGAAAGATTGTAAGCGAAGATGATGTCCACAACTATAGATAGTGAGAGAAAACGTCTGATTATACGTAGACTTAACTAGTCCTTGGAGTAAATTCGCACAGTTCGGTTCCCCTTCGCTTCGAAGTCTGCCATGCTACAATTAGTATTGGTACCATTTCAAAGCAATTCGTCCATCGTCTGCAGCATGTTCTCCCAGAACTGCTCCACCATTACCTTATCAAAGCCATTTTTATCATATCCGAGGCTGACCCACAACTTGCCAGCGAACGTGTACCCAAATAGTAGCATGCCTCCGGACCGCTGCCGCGAACCAGTCGTTAGTGTGTGGAGCTTGATAGTAGGGAACGTTCCATGTTTGTATATGCCATCGAGGTTTCCTAGAAGGGACAAGCCAATTAATGCGGTAGAAGGCGTGCGTGGTGCGGTGTCCACGGCCGGGACAGGAGGAGGGGGGACAAATGTTCCACGTTCCCTTTCATCGTCTTCTTTAGCCCAGATACAAGCCCGTTTCCCCCTCTCTTCAGTCATCAAGAGACTACGTGACACGATCATCTGGTTTTTGGCAGCTTGAATGCTCTGCTCCTTTGCAACCCGGGCCCGATGCCAGAATACCGAGGACAAGTCGATCGACCGAGGTATAAAAGTTGGAAGAATCACGTTGAAATAGCCGATCGCAAGAAACCAGTACGAATCATTTGCTGGCTTCACCGTGAAATATGGGCGCAGGTTTAGAGCCGAGTACATCATCCTGCGCAAATGTTGGATATGGAAGGCACAATCGAAATGTCTTGACTTACATTGACAAGTCTTGTTTCTCAGAGCACATCTTTGCCCAAGCAATGTTACATGCGGCAAACATAGCTGCGGAGACGGAAACACCATGCGTTTTGCATCTCTTCAGAATGCTTTTCGTCCGCTCAGTGTCATACGAAACAGTCGGAACAATGGTATGCCTAGGCTGCTTTGTTTGTCGCCGGAACGAATGGCCGCCCTACCGAGTTGTCAACAGACCACCCGTCAAGAAAAGGCACAATATTCACCACAAATCTTCTCTGACTTAACTGGAAGTCGACCTTTTCGGCTGCCCTGCGCAGTCTACTAGGACTGACCGTAAAGTTGTCTTCCAAGGCATTCGGTAATACGGCGTTCTGGAGTCGTTACTCAGCTAAATTTGAGACCGCATAAGAGATGCATACCGTAGAGTCTGCGTCCCATCGGGAGCTGAGCTCCTCCTTCAGCTGAGCCTCAAGTTCAACAATGGTTTTATCACCACCGAGCAGTCCAAAAAAGTCGTTTGCAAATTGGTGCAACGCCATGCCATCCCCCAAAAAGTGAGCGGCACAAATCATGATGTCATGATTGTATGAAGGATATTCGGGTTCGTCAAACGGTGACGTAGAGCGAGGCGTTAGAGGGGGGCTAGGTAAAGATGTGCCTCCTTGAGACACAACAAGATAGGACAAGCGGTCATTCGATAATGTTCGTGCTCCATTTAGATATGAATCGATGAGCTCTAGGACTGACATGAATTTCAAGAAATCGTGACATCAACGTGGACGTACCATCCTTGGTTGAAGATCTGTATTCCAAATTGCTATCTGCATCAACCAAAGCATCTTCAGGAGATTGCGGGGGGTTGAACCTGGGCATAGTAAAGCCATGTGGTTACAACATCAAGTTAGAAGCTGAACTTACACAAATCTGACGTCGTCATAATCTTGCATAACGACCTTTGAAGCCAAGAGTGGATGGCGGATACGAAGGATTGCCCAGACCGTAAGAACACGGGCCCGGCGAACGACATGCTCTGGAGCAACGAAGCCCAAGTGAAGGTACCTACGAGGTGATACCACCTATCATGAATGCCCGTATATTGAAGAGATGGCTTGGAAAGCTTACATGTCATTAACGCCATCCGCGCGAGAGGGAAGAAAGTAAGATAGTTCATTGTTGCCCAGTGGGCGTTCCACCTTCCATGTATCTTTCAGAGACGAGCAATCATAGCTTCTATGAGGTTTCACCTCCGAGTCCGAGTCGGAGACGCTGTACGAGGCATCCAACAGCACTGGAGGTGAGGTATCCATATCCTCTTGGTCGCTTAGGGGAAATGTGAGGGCATCTTATACCAATACCATTTCATTTTGCTTGCCCTGGTCTAGTGCTAATGGGACTGAAGCCGATCAAATCGATCTCGACCTGGTTCGTTGAAGTTCGGTTTGCAATGAGTGGTTCAAACTTTATTATTATAATTTCACGAAGTTCGTGTCAAGAGCAGAGCGAAAGAATGATAGATCCCTGAAGTTCACTGCCAGTGTCATCTGTCGTCACGGGACAGCTGGATGTTATAAAAGTTGGGCGGTCGACAAATGGGGATACGTGGCATTTGATTGATGGAAGGCACACAGGTGACTGCGCGTGTCATGGTTCACATGCACACGCCTGACTGCTGCACTTGTACTAACTTTTATCCACCAGGAACTCATTTCAAGAACTTCTACATGATGTAATTCCTTGGCCAGGTTATCGATAGCCGACCGGCGACCCGACGGGCTAATGCCGTCACTGGAGTATGATAACAACTCGACTCGGAAGACTCATCGTGCGAGAGTAATCGCGTCGACGATGGCCCGGGAGTTCGAATGAGTCCCAACATGATCAAGGCTGTGTCATCCACGACGACTCCGAACATCACTCGGACTTAGAAGTATCCGACGGATGCAAACTACATTGCGCAATTGATCATGACATCGACTTAGCTTCGTCGTCCCTGTCGGTGTCATCGGCCTGATTGTAGGCACGCCAAACACGACATATGTAACTAATGACTTGCAAGTGCGTAGTATGATTGTTCGTAAATGCCAGATGGTAAGTAAGAGTCTGTAAGAGTCGTACTAATAACAATTGTCTCGGGTAGCAATATACCTGCTGTGATGATCACTCACGACAAATTTCGTGCCTATTATAAGGACACGAGTGTCGACGGTTTCTTACACCTTCTCATCCTCCTCCGATACTCCGAAAACCTACCGTAGCTTCGCCATCATCAGAATCTTCGCGTTTTCTATTTCCTATAGCCTCGAGGTCAACATCCTTGCGCGGCGGAGGTGCGGTTTCCAACGATTTGATCCAGGTGTAATAACTAATTACCAGGAACGAATGTGCCATCAGTACTCCTGCAGAATCGAGACTTCAACAATACAGGCACGTACACGGTGCCTATCATGATAACCAGAATAGAACTTGCGCGATTGCTGTGCGAAGATAGAGTTCATCTCGAAGACCTTATGGATCAGAATCGAGTACATACACCGTCATGATGTCCTTGAATATCCAGACACCCAGCAGGGTTTGAATAACAGATCTTAAGGCCTGCGGCAATAAGATAGTCCCATCAATATTCTGTATACAGTGAAGATGACTTACGCTAGAGAACATATGTGTGATAGGACTTGTAACCTTGATGCTGAGCAGGCCAGCGATACAAAGTAAGAAACCGAAAATGCCAGTCACGACACTCCCCCATAGGAATACTTGTCCGTCCCAATTCGAATCGTGGATAAGGTCCTCAAGGATAAAAATTTCTCTGTGAAGCAAGACGAAAGGGAGAAGGAAGATTGCAGAGCCCAAGTTAGTCCAGTATGCAAGTTGAATGGTTGAGTTGTTGCAATAAGGGAGGGAGGACTTGATAAGAACAGCATGGAAAGCGATAAAAAGCGACGAGAGGAGACCATATAACAGGGAAAGACTTGAAGGTGCAACGTGGGAGGGAACTGCTGCAGACGGTGCTACGCCGAAGCAAGAAACCTATGGTAACTGACCCGGCAGCAATTCCAACTCGAATAGAAGGCACAGTGCGAGTGTGTGCAGAGAACACAACGATGGTCAGAGGTAGGACAAGGCCACGCGCAATCTGTGGAGTTAAACGGCGATCTTTACATTGGTAGGAGACCACACACTTGGAAGAAAGAGGCTTCGACATCACGAAGGCAGAGCGTATTAAAAATGAGTCCGATAATGTTGACAAGGACCACAGGTGTGAGCTTCTTCGCGGTTCCAAGCTCGAGCTTGGGTATCTCGACACGTGTAATGAACATAGCCGCCACGTGGAGAAGCAAGACTGCGATGAGAAGCTGCAGGAGGAGGAATAGCAGCGGTAAATCCGGTGAACTATTAAGAACAGCTTTGTTCCTGCACTCGGAGATTGAGTCAATGTCCACACTCTAGTTAGATCATCTTACACAAAAACCATCTACCAGTGTGTTTGTTAGGGGCTGGAGTCACATTATGCGTGGCATAGGCTACTCACCACCAGTGCGGCGGACATGTAGAACCCCACGACCGCCGCTACCTTCGGTGTGTTCGCGTCAAAATACCTGTTATTCATGCTTTCCAGAATGGGGGGACTGGAAGAACACAGGGATCAACTTGTGGTTTTAATGTGGGACAGATTATGCCTAGGTCATTTTCATACAGCCGAAACGAGCTGGTTCAGAACGTTCATCGTTCGGGTGAGCTGAGAAACCGGAATTCTCAAAATGGCAGGTGTAGATCAGGGGTGGAGCTGCTAGTTGGTGTCATGCGCTTTCCCACGACAACGCGTCACAGCTTCACCGGAACGTGATTATATCGGTACTCCCCTCCTAGGGCCTAGCTCATACAAATGCTGATGTGAATGATCGATATGAACCTTGCTCCCACCCTCGTCTAGACGTGTCATGGATAGAAGATCAGACGAGTTTCTGCTAGCAGAAAGCCCAACCCGAGAGGCGGCATACGACGACCCGGAGAGCCCTTTTATTCCTACATTCCGCACCAAGCCAATGGCATCCGTTAAGGGCAGAAATAGACCTCTCAGGACAATCTGCATAGTTCTGGTGGCCGTTTCCTTGCTCAGCTTTGGAGTTGTTCTGCTCAAGCCCTTGAGCTATCTGGACATTGACATTGAAAAGGCGGCTGTGTATCCCGCTACCTTCAACTCGCAGTCGTACGTCCAAGGCCCACCCACCCAACGTTTTCGAGGTCAGTCAATTCGTTTAAGACATTCCTCTCGAATTTCACAACACTGGTCCCAGATAACCTTCGAAACGACACAAAATACATTACATCGTGGATTTCTGCAGGATGGAGTACGTCAGCCACAGCCCACTGCTATTCGCGCTACTGACCGCAGTTGCTTGTTAGCGAATGACGTGATGACCTATGTGAGTCATTGATCCGCTTCCATTCTCGCTTGCTCACGGAAACTAGGGAAATTTGATTTACCTCGCACTCATAACAGAGCGTATACCCATAATTGCGAAGTTCATTCCTTCTCATGTTGACAACAGTGCACCTCCATTTGCTTTTGGCGAAGTGTTTGACGTCCCTCGGCTCAGCCAAGCCATAAAGAGTCCCATAATTGAATGGCATGAAGTGAAGGACTCGGCAAGCGAGGTTCTCGACGACCTTGGTTGTTGGAGTCTTTGGGAAAGCGTCCAAAAGACCCAATCCCATCCTCGGGGAAGTTTTTCCCTTAATTGGCTCAAGCTCGGTGAGACAAATTCAGACACCCCTATCTGGTGTTTAACTGGGCGGCGATCACAGATGTCTCGTGGACACGAACCCCAGATTGGGTCAAGCTGACTCCTCCCGGCGTAACAGACAGCCACGCTTCGTTTTGGTCCCTTGCCACATTGGGATTTCCGGAGGCTCGCGCCAACAATTTGCAATCAACCAATTATCCCTCCCCTCAACATCAGGTTTCCCTTCCCCCGGATGATCAGCTACTATGCTTCGATTACTTGTACTACATGGGTGCCCAGAATGCATGGGAATGGGAATCAGACTATGGTCCTGCATGGAGATTTGTGGGCCAACATATGCGCTGGAATGCAAGCCTCGAAAATCTTGCTAACGAGCATGCCCGGCGCGCTATGAATGTGCCAGTAAATGAGCCAATACCACCCGTGAGTGACAGCTTCAGGTCCAGGGTTGTTCCATGCTAACTGTTGATAGTATATATCTATCCACATACGGCATGGTGACTTCCGCAATTACTGTAATGATATACCTCTGGACCAGTGCTTTGCCTCGTTGCCTGTCATTGCGCGCAGGGTGGCCGAGGTGCAAGAAGAGCTGCGCACACAAAAAGGTATCGAGGTCACACAAGTTATCATGACGAGCGACGAGCGTGACCCAGAATGGTGGTCTGGGGTCAGGGCATTGGGCTGGACGTGGGTTGATTATACAACCGAGCGGACAGAGGAGATCTATGGAAAGTGGTGAGCCGAATAGATGCCGTCTTTTCCTTCTGATGCTAGAAGCTGTGGTTGTCAGGTATCCGGTGTTCATTGACGCTGTCATCCAATCGAATGGAGCTGGCTTCGTTGGCACTGACGGCTCCACGATGACCACCCTAGCTCGTCGGAGAGTGGAATCGTGGCATGATGGACCAACTCGAGTCGTCAAATGGGGCTCCCCGAACGCTGATGATCACTGATATAATTGGATTGATGGAATGGAAGTGAACTTTGCGCCGTAAATATTATTAGTCGAACGGACATTTATCGTCACATTTTTAGACTTGCATCTAGGTCGTTCACATGGACACGCCTCATGTACCAGTCATTTATAATACACACATCGTACCGAGTCCAGACGTGATTGACATGCCTTGATCAATGAGAATATCTTGATTGTAGGGACTTCTATCCTCGGATGCCACGGTAGGTCGGAGCCGTCAAACTGTCTGGCGATGCAGCGTTTGTACCGACTTGATAGCTTGTCGGGGACCCTTGTCCACCGTCGGCTGGGTATATACACAAATGACTCAACCTATTCGTGCGGAAATAAGTAAACATGTAGATGAGAGAATAGAATTAGACTCACTCAAAATACTCGAGTCTAAAACGTCTGATCGATGGGTATCGAGCACCGCATCTTGACCAATTGAACAAGGGCCCTATTGACTGGCATAGGAATATTATATTGTTCCCCTAGCCTGACTAAGTAGCCGTTTAGGAAGTCGATTTCCGTTGGGTTGTTCTTCCTGACGTCGGAGAGCATAGATGACATGTTGCCTCTTGTTACGTGTGTTACGCGCAGGACTTCGCGTTCAAGAGCATCTGCTCCCAGTTCTTTTGGGACACGCCCTACCGGCACCTGGCTCTTATCCACGCTGGGAGGTAGAGAATCGAGCCATGATTGCGTGTCCGCTTCAATCTGTGCACGGAAAGCAGTAGCGGCTTCTTCGCAGACGCTGCGCATCATATTCTGTGACGAGTCGTCCTTGAATAGACCGCCATTCCGGCAGCCTAGAACGGCCGTCAGCGGATTCACGATGGCGTTCACGACGAGTTTCCTGCGCATCGCGAGTTGGACGTCTGCAATAGGACTCCATTTGCACCCAAGAGCATCGAGAGATTGTAGTACGGCTACTGTGTGTCGTAGGCTGCGGTACTGGTCGAATGAAGGATCATCCGGACGTGTGATGTCGTCCAAACTGAGTGATCTCTCATACACCGGCTTGCTTTCATCTGCCATGGTTGCTTCAAAATCGCGCTTGCGGCTATCCGGGACGATCCCAAATGTGATGTCTCCGATTCCCGCGTGAACTACATGGAAGGCTGACTTGAGCCACGCCCCGTGGGTATTTGATGCCAAGATAAAGTGCGGTCTGCTTTCCGGGTTGCGGAATATTCGCTCGACGAGGTCTTCATATAATCCCATGCCATTTTGTAAGAGCACGATGGTACTACCAGAGGTGAGGCGTGGAGCTAGACGTGACAGTGCAGGCGCAGTGCTATGTGCTTTGGTGGTTATGAATAATGTTTCGATGGGTTCTGTGCGTAAATCTTCATGGCTGGGGGTGAACCCGGCACTCTGTTCCTTTGAAAGCTTGGGGTTGAAGCGCACTCCACCACCTGCTCCGCTATGCTTGTCGAACACCTCGATATCGAAACCGTCTGTGGACTGCCGGATTCCTTGATTTTCAATTGTTATTTTTGCAGCTGCATTCTGCGGTGTCCACGCCTGCTTGGCAGTCTTTTGGATGAGAGTGACTGGGTGCGTGCGTGGAAGAACTGATCGCAAGTTGTGTGCGAGGAGGCAGCCGATGGGCCCGAGCCCGAGGACGTAGAAACGCATGTCACTGGTACTATTCGATTCCTCAGGTGCCAAGCTGGACATTCACGCTGACGGTAAAAGGTTTATGTGACATTCGTAATAAAATAACGAAGATTGGACGCACTCGACGGGAGAAGAAGTTCGTGGTCACGGTGTGAACAGCTCCTACACGACAAATTATTGTACTCAATGAGTCACACACATGTGTGGTTGGTTTGAAGAGAACGGTTTTCGTCGTCGTCGTCGCCTGCCACGTTGACAGGATAAATGTCGGGGAAACCCCAGTTTTATTCTCGCGAGTTCACGTGCCGTACTAGTACTGGAGCCAGTCGCAACAGCGGCCCGACTGGCCTTTGGCGCTCACGATCGTGAGCTTGGAGAGCATGGCCCAACTTAATTGGAGCCTCATGAGGACACCAATGCGTCAGACGTCTCCAATCTTCTATCACGGGGAATTTTCGGACCGTGAAATCGAAATTTAAAGGTCTTTCGGCCAGCCCAAATCGATCCCATCGTTACTCTGATACTCCCACTTCATTTTGTGCTCACCAGTCATGGCCTCAATTGTTTTGAAGAGAACTCAACAGAAGGTCAGTGACGCATCACTTGTCTATATCAAATGCTCATCATATATACTCCATTAAATTCTCATAAAGATGCCCGTGGTTGGGTACGTGCTGATTTTCGATTGCACGCAGTGTCAGAACCCATTGACCCCAATTTACTTGCAGCTTCGGGCTCTGGAAGGCAAGTCTGTTCATACTAATTTGGACACCTGAGCTGAACTGCTGTCCAGGTAACAAAGTCCACATGCGCTGACGTGAGTTCTAGATCCTTGAAAGTGATCAGGCGTTCTTATCGTGTTTCTAGACTGTATACAACGCGATAAAAGCGGGCTACCGTCTTCTTGATGGTGCCGGTGACTACGGAAACGAGAAAGAGGCAGGTGATGGTGTGCGCCGGGCTATCGCGGACGGCCTCGTCAAGCGGGAGGACCTATGTGAGTGTTTCTCGCCCTTGAACCAGCTCACGAGTTAATTCGCTTTTCATGAGTCAGTCATTACGTCCAAGGCAAGATACCTTCTCACACATATTGCACTATCACAATAGCTCAGTGTATCGTTGTTTCATAGCTATGGAACACTTTCCATGCTCATGATCATGTCAGTTATTTCGAGCAATGCGTGATCCAGCTGATTTCTGACTGATGAATCAGGTTAAACAAATCACCAAGATGCAACTTAAACTCTGGGGAATTGACTACTTCGACTTGTTCCTCGTCCACTTCCCCGTCGCACTGAAGTATGTCGATCCCAGCCACCGCTATCCCCCGGAGTGGTTCGGTGATGATGGCAAGGTCTACACTCGTAAGTTATGGGTTATGAGCGAGCGACGTATCTCAGGATGACATCATACCTCAGAAAACACCCCGATGCACGAGACTTGGGGTGCAATGGAGGAGCTCGTTGATGAGAAGCTGGCGAAAAATATTGGCCTGAGGTGATTATTGCGAATTAGGTTATACAGTGCGTTTCGGTGAACACCCTCCAGTAACTGCCAGGGGTCTTTAATCCTCGACGTTCTCCGTTATGCCAAGTACGAGCCCCAGGTATTGCAGGTTGAGCTGCACCCATACCTCGCCCAAGAAGCCCTTGTCAAACTTTGCAAGACGTTCAGCATTGCCGTGACTGCCTACTCGTCGTTTGGGCCCCAATCCTACGTCGAACTTGGTGTTGATAAAGGTGCTCCTTCGCTCCTCAAACACGACGTGACCTCCGCTGCAGCCAAGACGCACGGAAAAAGTGGGCGTACAATATCATTTATCTGTGACGGAACCTGACGTAAGATGATTCACAGCCGAAGCTCAGGTTTTGCTGCGTTGGGCTACGCAGAGAGGGATTGCTGTCATTCCAAAGTCCAATGATCTTGGCAGATTGTCTGCAAACTTGGACTGCAACTCTTTCGACCTCTCGGAATCCGAGCTTGCAGCCTTGAGTGCACTGAATATTAACCTCAGGGTGCGTGTGTACTCAAGGTGCTTGCATAACAACTGATCTAGATTCGCTCCACAGTTGAATGACCCCGCTGACATCGATGGTCGCTTGGCCATCTTCGCATAGGGGTGTGATGGATAGAAGTGTAGAACAAGTGTAGAATGCTCGAGAACTGAGAAGACGGATCATACTACATGGATGGTGACCTTGTAATTCGCTTGCTGCGGGCGCAGGGTGCCGCAGTGCTGTCGGAGTTTCAATGCGGCTTTATCTCCTGATAGTTAGTAACATTGCACAATTAGCGCCTTCCTTTCATCCCCCATGGCTACAATTGCACAGTTCAAGCTTTCGAAACAAGGCGGGCTCACTCGTCGCCTGACATTTCCTACTCATCCTAGTTGGGCCGTTCTATCCTCAAAGATCAATGAAACGTTCGGTATTACAACCGATAATATTGGGGTGTCCTACCTTGACCAAGATTTGGACGAAGTAACTTTCAGCTCTGAAGAGGAGTTGCAGGACTACTATAGTACCCTCGGTGACGCCAAATTCAAACTCATCAGACTTTCGGTACAAGACCTCAGCTCCCTTAGGTCCACTGATGTAGCGCCCTCCCGCCACCACACCGCACCCCCACAGCAATCTCACTTCCGGAACACATTCGGAGAACAGGAGTCGCTACCTTTCATTTGGGAGGTTGATGACGAATGGCAGCGTCTCCCTGGTAGCCTTGGTAGTCTTTTCTTGTCTAGTGACTCTCCGGAGAGCCCACACGCGTTCGTGGAGGTCCTCGAGAGTGACGTCAGTGTCTCCAAGAAGTCTAATAACACAGACGAAGAATCCGCCATCGGAGGTACTACCCGCTCAAACGAGACGTTTACTATGCCTACTTCCCGCGCAGACAAGGGCAAGTCCCGCGTCGCGATGCAGCCTACAGTTGAAGACGATGCTTTGTCCACCGATTCAATTTTCGGCGATGATGCATTACTGCAGCCACAGACCCGTGTTTATGACTCTGATCAAGCTTCCACGTTTGGCGGTGATGTCAAGTCTGTCTCGGTCGATGGGACAGCGACTCCCGCCCAGGCTCAGAGTACCCCCGTCATTTCTGGGCAGGTTCTTCCCGAGGCTGTGCTGAAATCCACCGAAGATTCCAACACAGCCATTATTGACGACCCTGCCCTCCCCACTTTGGGCGCCACAGGAGCATCAACTCTCACTCATGACGTAGCTACCTTCTTGAAGGCAGTTTCCGGTATCATTTCCTCCCACCCAGAATTATCAGAGGGTCTTCGTAACATCGTTTCCAATGCTACAAATGGGACATACTGGACTGCGCATCGTGATGCACTCTCTCGCGCTGCCGAGCGTATTCAGCAGGAAACTGGTCGGACCGTGGAAGAGATTCAGAATGCGGAAGAGGAGGCTAGCGCCAGGGTTGCAGATGCCCTTGGTGGAATTTTCCGTGTCGTCGGCGAAGCCGTCCAAACTGCTAGGACAACGACTGAGCCATTCCGGCCACCTCCCGCTGAAGATGTACCCACAGCTCCGGAATCTGCTCCTGAGCCTCAGTGCTCTCGTCCTCGCGAATTTCCCACATATCCGGGTCCTCCTCCTCCAGGTCATTTCCACCCTCATCCTCATCATCACTGGGGCGCTCCCCCGCCGCCGCCGCCTGGTCGCCGTCATGTGTGGCCTCGTCCGCCTCCATCCGCTCGGGGTTCTTTCGACGAGCCCCAGGAGGAGGATAGTTCACATCCGCCTCAAAACTTTTGGGGTACTTTTAGGGGGCCCAAGGAAGTTGGTTCGCATCGTCCGCATGTGGATCATCACAATGCAATTCGTGCAAGGACAAGTGACATCCGCACCACATTGGCAGAAGCACGCAACCGGCGTCTGGGAAATTTAGGGCTGGCCATACCGGCCATCCCTCCTCCCATTCCTGGCGCACCCCCTGCGCCACCTGCACCCATTGTACCACCCCCTCCTGCACTTCAGGGCGGATTATCTGGCTCCAGCATATTCGGAAGCACTCCACCCACTCAAGAGGAGCTCAGGGCTGATGTTGAACGCGCCAAGGCCGACTATAAGATGCGCAAAGAGAGGTATCGTCAAGCTAAGGCCAGCAGGAAATCTGCAGAGCAACGCGAACAAGGACAGGAATCTAGTGGAAGGTAATTCGTTTCTCTTCTTCATAGTGATCAGGAGGATATTAAATCGCATCTGTAGCAATGATGTCTCCGGGCTACCTGCCGTTTTCGATGTGCCGGAGGATCCCAATGTGAGTGGTGCAGATACATCTGTGTCTCAAGGGCCTCCTGCGGCAACCCCGGTCCATGAGCAGATGTCAGTACCTCCATCCACAGCCGTGCCTGCGCCCTCTCAGCCTGTCACACCTGCTGCACCTCAGGTTCATATCGTAAGCAATGCTAGGGGCTTGTACCCCCAACTCGAGATGTTCAGTGTCCCTAGGCGCAGCCACACCATCGGACACACTGCACGCCGCGGCCTCGAGGACCGTTCCAGGCAGCGCATCATGAAGAAATTGTCTGAGGTATTCCTCTTACTATTTTCTGTCTCTTCGATAGCTTACGAAGGATTTGTAGATGGGTTTTACTGAAGGCACATATCCGAAACTGAACGCCAAGGTGTCGGAGCAGATGGTCGCCCATCCTCCCACTACTAAAGATATCGAAGATGACATTGTGACTAACTTGATTGAGGAGCTTATTCCTTCCTCTTTTGCACCTCGGGCTAGCAGCTCCAGGGAGCCCATCCCTGGTGCTTGGGCCTAGATGTGATGTGATGTTGTACGATGTATGATGCGGACTCTTGATTGTATTCTTGGGTTTTAGTCTGATTTTCTGACTGTTGTATTACGAGTTCTTACATCCTGATTAGTTATGCCAAAGTTATATCGTCGGTACAGTACTGTAAATTCAATGTGTTTGTGTAACGTTTGTGACTCTATTGTCTTGATGTCCTCGGAGGCCATAAATTTTTATCGACTTCAATCATTGTCTTTGGTCGGATCTTACACAGATGATGATAAGAAAATCACAAGACCATTAAACCTAAGGCGCTGCAATCGGACAATAGCGGGTCGCTGGGTGCTCGTGGACAATGCACACGGGGTGAGGAACACTAGGCTGCACCTCGTGCACCGTGATGAAAGACCGCGATGAGACTAAACAAACCATTGGGCTTGCAAAGAATAAATTGTTGGTTAATATTGGGGATGTTAAATTCAATCGTGCGCCATGTCGAGCCCAAGACATAAAACTGGTATTTTCAAAGAAATCTTGTATGAAAATATGTGAATACAGAAAGCATGATTTCTGATGAGACAGATTCAAGTTACCTGATATTGGAGACAGTTTTTTTGGTTTCCTGGAAAGTGACGAGCAAGCACAAAGCAAGAGTCATCAGCAATTTGTTTCCCGCCACGGCAAAAATTGCTTCCGGAGAACAATTCATGTCCGCAATATCAGGTAACTTGTGCTTCACTTCAAGGAGGCGACCCATACATGTACTCACGCTGCTTTGTGCTGACCAGCTCGTCCGTGTCCGAAGGAAATGTTTTTTGTTTTCGGAATGCGCCATGGTGGAACGTTCCGTGACGAGCATGCGTCCTTTCCCCTTTCTGTGATTACAGGCACCTATAGAAGAGCGGTATCGGCTTTGCCCATAACATTGTGTCAACCTGCTATGTTATGGAGGTGCTCACTGGAAACTTGCGAACGTACGAATGATCCTTTATTATCGTGGTACTTTGAACGAATATAGGTCGCGTCTTCCTGGTATCCGATACGCATTGCGCTCTTTGAAACGCGCTGCGTGACCGGCAAGTGCAGCTCTTTCCAAGCTCTTTTTCTGCGTAATGATCTTCTAGACTGAAAGGCATAATCCGCTGCTTTCCCAGCACAAATAACGTGAATTTCGGGCGCCCACAAGGACAAACAACACGCTTTGCCTGTGAAACAGGCCACCAACAGGTCACCTATCGATTGCCAATGATACCAGAAAATCGACGTGCCACTGTGGACCGTATAAAGCCACATTGTCTGTGTCTTCTCGTCCTTCAGCCGCTACATTATCAGAAACTAAAATTGTTACTCTGCTCGTTTTCCCTCAATCTTTTATCCATCCCAACTATCTTACAATAATCCGCACTTCATCATGTCATTTTACCCCAAACCAACCGAAAAGACAGTTGACGCCGTTATGTCAGACCTCAACCCGGTTCGACCGGCTCCGTTGGTATGTAACTTCATCTCGTCTTTCTGTGAATTGCTCACGAAGTGTGCAAACAGCATCCTGTGCTTGATGCCGTCGAAATGCATATGACCGTGCCTCTGAATCGGTGGCCCAAACATGCTATCATGGGCACAGCAGATTACAAGAAACGGCAGGAATTTCTCATGTCAGACCACCTGAAGAAGCTTCCTCCGCCTGGAACAATAGACACCTCTGCCAAGGATATGTTGCTTTCTACAATGTTCATGCACAAGATGGCGCAAATGCAGCGCGTCATACAACGTCAGGGCTCGGCCGCGAGTGATGATCCCCGTTACATTTACCTTTATGACGACATGCGCTTCAAACGTAACATCTTTTACTGGCGCAATTTTCGTATGAATGACTTGCCACCCGAAATCATTACGCACATCTTTCGTATCGCTGCTTGGTCAACCAGTACCCCAGATGAAGGCACGCGCATTCGCATATTACTCACTTCGGTATGTGCCAAATGGCGCAGGTTGATGATTGAAGACTGCACCCTTTGGAGTGCTATCTGGTTTCGCGATCCTCCTCCGTATGAACGGTCGATGGAGTGGTTCAGGAGGGCAGGTGGTGCACCGTTGGACATCCGCATCAACGAGCATGACGCCGACTGGAAGTCCAAAGATGATGATTGGAAGTACAAGGAGGACGATCATCGATTTACTACCGAACAGATGAAAGAGCTCATGGACAAACTCCTTGTCAAAGTCTCTCAGATTCGCATGCTTGTGCTTGTTGTTGACAACTGGCCTCCTGCACTCGTAGTTTTGAACAAGTTGCAAGAAGCGGCTTATGCTGGGAAGGCTATCAACATGGAACGTTTAGAAATTCATAGGATGGGACAACCTATGGTATGGCTCGGGCCAGGGCATACACCTACTGTTCTTTTCGGTGGCCAGACTCGGGCCTTGAAATATCTCTGCCTCCGCGGCGTTCATATTGACTGGAACGCGACCCCACTTAGCAACCTATCTACCATCGACCTCAGGAAAATTGCGATGAATGTTGCGCCAACATTGAATCGGTTTCGCGAGGTTCTCCTCGCTTGCCCTCGCTTGCAGAAGTTGTCTTTGGACGGCGCAGGCCCGCAACCCAGCGCTAGAATGCCCGATCACATTCCAATTAACCTTCCCTATCTGAAGGTTCTCATTATAGGCGGCTTCAGCATGGTGTACTCGTGCTACATTTTATCTCAGTTCAAGGCACCCAACGTTCGCGATCTGACGTTAATGAACCTGACAGGCGAAGATTATACGACAATGATTGCTGCCATAACTGCTCGGTACAGGGAGCTGCGACTCCTGACGCTCTACACAGTCAATATTAGTCCCACAGAGAAGGGGACGAAGGCGATGGTGAGGTTCCTATACGCGATACCTTACCTGAGCTATCTACGGATCGCCTCCATGAACTGGCATGTCATAGAGGCATTTAACGAGGACCCTCGAGAATATGGACTTGGGAAAGACGGAGACACTCAGCCGTTCCCGCAGAACCGTCAAGTTCTGTGTCCGAAACTTCAGACGTTAGAATTCCAGCAATTGTCTGGAACGAAGATAGCGGAGTGGGTGGCTAGGAGGAAGGAGCTGGGCGCCCCACTGAGGAGGGCCTATGTGAATTCTCCGTACGTCAACAACGTAACTGCGGAGGAAGCGGACATGATACAACAGGTCGTGGGTCTGTTCATCGCGCCTCTGGGATCCACTACCCCTGAGGAGAGGGCGTTGGCGACTTGCGACCGTTATGGAGAGACGATCTAGAGGGGAAATTATTTATTGGAATGATATATTCTGTAGCAACATACATAGGAAAACATTTGTACACCATTGCAATCTATCACCTCATTCGTGCACTTATGTCTGAATTTATCATTGAAGCGACACGTGACCTCAGTGTTTAGGTCACGTGGTCACGTGTCTTATTTGAACCATGTCGCGTAACGCGTATTGAACAGATCAAACCTTATGACCCTACTTCACACTGTCACCACCACCAGCACACAGCAAACGTATGTGCTAAGTACATAATCACACATCGTACATTTCCATTTCTTGTATCACCATGCCCCCACTTCAACGGTCTGCCTCTTCCTCAACGATCTCGACTGTAACTCATTCCAATACGTCTATTGCTGATACGTCGATCTCAGAAGCAAATCCTCCTGTTAGTACACATGTACCCTATATCAGACGACGCAATACCCCCCAGCAACTCAAGGCTCTCCAGCAACTACTCGAACTGTCTCACCATCCAACTCGGGAGCAGCGCCTCGCTTTGGCTATGGAGTTCGGGATGTACGTTGATACGATACAAGTTGTAATAGACCTTGAACTGACATGTACTTTAGGGAACTCAAATCTGTGACCAACTGGTTCCAAAACAAACGCCAGACAGAGAAGCGAAAATCCCTTATCTGGAATGAGAATAATCCTCCAAAAATTCACGCACCTCAATCGCGTCATCTGAAACAGCACCGTCCTAATAAATCCATATCTTCCTTCTCTGTCTCGCTTGATAAAATCGCTCAGTTATCTGAGAGACCATCACCGTCATTACTCCTATCCACCAATCAAGCACCTCCCACTCCTCTCACTCCACGGACTACTAACGTCCGTGCTCAATCGTCTTCAAGTCCTTCGGAGTTATGGAAACACATCCCATCATCCCCCATCGTCCCGCAGTCCTCCCCAGGTGCTGAGGAAGCTAGACTGGCTGGCCTTCCCTCACGATCAAAAACCTGGCGTTCGTTAGAATGGGCCTGTCTCAAAGCGAGGCGAGACAAGCGGGTTGACGATGGAGAAGAGGAAGACGACCTCCCTTATCTCCCCTCTTTGAGTCACGGCGGTGGCTCAGATGACGGGTCATATGAAGCCCTCACCCCTGATTCTAGTGTCCGATGCATCGACCTCTCTCCCCAGAGCAGTTCTCCCTCGCACTTTAGTGGAGAGGAGAACAACAAAGGCCTGTTTTCTGACTTGAAGAAGTCCCCTCAATCAGAGGATGTCGAAGCTGCCTTGACGCTCCTTGGTTTTATGGCGCGTCGTTGATATTTTACCATCAGTAATTCTATACCTTTCTCTTCGTGTGCAATACCTACTAAGGAAGCTGTTGTATTTCAGTCATTATTCGGTTTTTATTTGATACCTACGAGATGTTTGCTTTACTGCATCATACTTTGGCGTCCATGGCATGTATAAAATTATTTATATCTATTGCACCTATTCTTTTCCAGTCAGCATGAGCTATAGAATGAAACCTTTCTACATAGTGGAAAAATCTAGATGGGTCGGTTGGTTGATTTTGCCCACGTGACCACGACGCGTTGGACTCGTTAGCCGCTGGGTCGTGTTCAATTGCTATTGCACATTTCTTCGGACCATCATTCTACTCTCGCATCTCCCTCACAGCCTATATTACTTTTAATAACGCACATATCTATGACATCTACTACCCGTGCCACTCGTTCAACGCGACGATCCAAGACCCCGACTTCTAATCAACACAAAGAGAACATGATACCCGCTCCGCAGCCCGACGTCAGTCAGCCATCACCAGAAGCAGAAGCAGAAGCAGAAATACGGATCGATTCTCCGAGGAAGAGGCACCGCATGTCACCCACACAGCTTATGCGTCTGGAATCGCTCTATCAAAAAGACACGCATCCGTCAAGGCACAGGAAGAATCAACTTGCAGGCGAGCTTGGCATGTATGAGGCTGTCAGCAAAGTTTCTCGCCACACAAACCACTTACCTCGGTAAACAGGGACTACAAAACCATCACGATCTGGTTTCAAAACAAGCGCCAAATGGCAAAACGTAGTCAACCGAGCGCGCCTTGCTTACCGCTTCAGATACGGAATTCCGTTTCCCAAACCCTGGATCACCAGCTTTCTGTGCAATCTCTATCAGTGCTCCGACGCGTCTCTTCGCCATCGGTAAACGATACTTTACAGCCCATGAGTCCGCCATCTGTTCGTTCTGAGAAGTCACGCATAACCGTGACACCATCCCTGCAAGAACAAGAGAGCGATGTCAATCATGATCTACCGAAGAAATCACTGCAGGTCAAACCTCTCCTAAACTCCTTGGGTTCATTGATGTCTTCGAAATCACCCAAGGCTTTGCACGAAGCACGACCGACAGCGGGAAGTACAACAGGCGTCCAGGAACTGTGGCAACACCTTCCTTCATCACCAACAGCTCCAAGTTCAGTGTCCGACAGAAGAGGTGAAGTTCGTAGCCCTACCCGCGATAAAAAGGACGTACGATATAGCAAGAGAGGCCTGACGCTCGAGTGGGCTTGCGACAGACAGACGAAACGTAGACGGGCAGGAAGAGACAATGGTAGCGCCGCCGCCGGCTTGAGCAGGCTCTGGCCGCCATTTGGGTCATCGAATCCGCGCACCAGTTCAGCACTTTCGTTACTCTCACTTGCCGCGGGAAAGGTCAGCACGTCTTTGTCCATCGGTCCTACCCCTTCACAGGACGTGATCCACGGAGCTTCGCTCCTGTTGAGCTTCAAACATTCCTTGAGAGGACGCGACGCTGGGAAGTAGGTGTGGTACTAGTTGAGAAGGCAATAATTCTTACAACACGAGCGTGAAATGACACACAACACAACATTCCTTATATCAACAACAGTATAGAAACTTGGCTACATCGGCAACATGCGAAGCGTGAGGGTAAAATGCAACAACGGCTTAAAAATAAAATGCGATGTGCTGAAACAACAATCTCGATGAGGAGTCCACGCGGCTGGATGAATTACACCTTGTGCCCGATAATAGATATTTTATATTCAAACTAGAGAATGTCTACTTCTTTTTTTGCCAGTCTTGGCTGGCACAGATGGCGTGGAAGCTTGCTTTTTTGGGGATACATTAGGGTTCGGCTTTTGGGAAGCAACTGTTCGGGGTGCAGGTTTCGCATGATGGGAAGATGGAGTGGTTGGGAGTGTCAATGCGACCGGACGAGTGTCGGAATGGAACGGGTAATCAGGCAGACCTTTGGATAAATCCGTTGAGTAGCCATTCACAAGAGATGCCTGAGTGAGAATGATTTACCTGTGATGTCCTTGAAGAATGGTATAAATGTGTCAAGGACGTCATCCTTCGATACTTTGCCCATCTCTATAAAAGCAGGTTCTTCGATGTCCATAGGTTCAGCAGTCATTTCATCAGCAACACCCTGAATGCCACTCTGATGCTCTTCATCCACATTTTCCTTTAGCCGCAGCTTGAGGAAGCCGTTGATCAACGGCTCGAACAAACTTTCCATCGGCGGCATGAGGTAAGCAGGGGCAACGAAGACACTTCCCGTCTCACTGCTTTTCCAGGGAAGGGAGGTATCGATTGTCGACGCTACAGCATTATGAGAGACATCGGTAAGAGCCGGTACACCAAACATCTCCTCAAAGAGAGACCCCTTGGGCACCGCCAGCCCATTTTGGAGTGCTTTCGTTGACACACTTGCCTCATCGGTTATGTTGATGTCGTGTCCTAGAAGCACGACACCGAAAGCATGCGTAACTCCCACAAGAGAAAACTTCCGGCTGCGAGCGAAACGATTTGGAACGGGGTACCAAACTAAATTCCGTATCCCGAACGGTAACATCTGTGAAAGCAGGGGAGTCGACGACGAGATGGAGTAGACCATGAGCTCAATAGTCGTGTCTGAAGGTGACCGATGAATCGTTACGAAGGTATCTTGGTAAGGATGAGGTACAAGAGTGACATAAGGGTGGTTGTGCCGACGATGCCAACGTACTAAAGTATGTTCAATCTTCAATTTGATGCAGATCGTTAATCAAGTGAAGAGACGTACCAGAGCGGTTGATAATATCACAGACAACAAGATTGGGGCCGCCAAGAACCGCAATATACTGGCCATGATGCCCAATGAAGCGTAGGGACGATATTTTTGGGCATTCTGAACACACTATTGTGAAGTGAAGTGCATTCGATATTGAATCATACAATGCCACAGAGCCGTCGAGCGCAACAGCCAGAAGAGAGCCATCCGGAGACCAAGCCGAGTCTCTGGGCATCTCAAGACGGAAGCCAAAAGATGATCTTGAGGTCCAGGAAACTAAAAGGCCGTCACAAACTACAGGTCCACATGAACATCTACACATACCTTCCACATTGCCCTTCTTATCCTTCGTACTCCGTATTCTCCAAGTTTTGACGTTTCTATCCTCACCAGTAGTCACCAGCCAATTTTCATCGGACGGACTAAAAGACATAGATGTGACCTCATTCAAGCCGTGTGGCCGGTCGACTCTGGTATTCAATATCCAAAAAGCAGATTTCTTGTCCCACCACCATATCTTGAGGTATATCTCGCCACGGAATGACTCATCTCCTTCCCGCCGATCGACAGTCGCCATCCACTCTCCTGACGACGAGATAACCACACGTTCTACTCGTGAGGGCTCTAACATCTTTTCTTCTTGTCTTGACACTCGATTTGAAGGCGACACCTCCAGCTCTGCGACGAGTGTGGATGACGAGGGAGAATAAGTTTGCAGTGAAGAAGGATGGGAAGAGGGGAGAACGAGTGTCGATGATAGCGAGTGGACTGCAAGTGGTGTGGCAGAGGACGAGGACGCCCAGGCACTTGACGTAGCAGAGTCTGAGTTTACAATGTAATTGAGCAGGTTCATATGACATATAGAAGGACGCACCTAGTTTTATGCGAGAAAAAACTCGCGATAACTTGAGCGTGGCAGAACTGATGAATGCAAAACTTGCATCCGCCAGCCCGAGAAGGTATTCTTCTTCAGCAGCAGAACTGCGTGAGACCACAACATTTTTGATGGGAGAGCCAACTCGGGGCACGAACTCTTTCTTGCCAGAGTGCAGCTGCCATATGACGAGAGTAGCTTCTTCACCACCAGATAACAAATACGCCCCGTTCGTCGTAAACGCAACAGATGAAACTGCATGGGCGTGCCAATGAAGCTCAGACGTTTGCGATCGCTTTTCTACGTTAGCAACTACTGGCCTGGCCTGGTTCAAGCAGTACCATAATCGCACGACACCCTTTGCGTCCCCCGTCGCAAAATAGTCCTCTAATGGATGGACCGCCAAACATGTCAATGCATCGGGTGAAACGTATTTTGTAAATCCAGACTTCAGTGCAGACATTTGTGCAACGTATGCCTTGTGACCAGCGACCGCAATCAACCATTCACCACTTGCAGATACAGCAAGCCCAGCCGTATACCTGGTCTTGCCAACTGGCGTGATCTGAGATGACTTGTGCCATTTCGCACCTGAAGCAGGATTTTGAGGCTTGAGCGACACACGCAAGATAATACAGCTCTCTTCGGAAGAAGCCTTTGCAGACCGGTTTGATTTTGGTTGTTCTGCACCGCAAATAAAAAACTTATTGTACGTTATAGACCATAGCACTCACCGTTACCATCACTGCTTCCCTTCTTCTTCGCTTTTGCAGTGGCGACAAAAACGTAATCTTTTATCTTTTCATGCCCGCACACGTGATGGATAGGCTGTTCGAGATTGATTGTGTGCAACAATATGCCTTCGAGAAAATCCCAGACTTTGATGGTGCCGTCCAGAGATACGGTGATGAGCTGAAATGCATTGTTTGCACTTAGTATAGCAGATGTGATGATATCCTGGTGACCATCATCCTGTGGTCCTGGTAATGTAGAAATGACCTTGCCAGATGATGTAGAATGTATCTTGATTCTTTCCCTGGCAATAGAAAAGAAGTGGCTGATCAAAACAAGCAGATTAATTACATCGGATATGTCGTATGTCCATGAAATCTACGCACCTCCCGTCTTTCGTGAATATTGGTGGATGTGAATTGGAGTTCGAATCAGTCAGGGATGCCCATGTCAGAGGCTTCAGCGGCTCTGGTTGTGGCATCTCGCTTTCGTGTTGTTCATTCGCATTCCCTCTCTCTTGCTCTCCTTGCCTCCTTATCTCCTGCACGCCTTCCTTAACTTTCTCCTTCTCCTTCGTTTTGCTCTTTCTCGATTTCTTCTTCACCGGGGGTGGTGGACTTGTCGAGTCTGCAGGACTTGGTGGGAGTGGGACATCCTTTGGTAGACGGGGAACGAAAGGAGTGTGATTTATGACCTTGACCGCGGCCATGAGCGTTCTGAGATTTCGAGCGATCGCGAAGCATTCACAGGACTTTTGCAAAAAATGTCACCGCCACTTCGGCGGCGTTTGCCGGTGTATGTTCCAGAAAGGAAATCGATCACAATTTCACTCTATGCAAAACCACTTGTCATTATAGCAGAACACGGTGCCGCTACAAACCTCGTGTACATATCGCTACAAAGTCAACCTTTTTAATATGTACAGCGCATCATCCTCGAAAGAGAGTCTCGACGCTCCAAGAGGAATATACATAAACACCAAAGCAAATAACATGAATAAGAATGGAAACATCAGGAAGCAGTGAAATCACTGTATATCCTTGTAACCCACGAATATCCGCACAGACCGGCAGGGTGTGTACAGGTCTTCCTCAGAGGCAAACCGTCGCGCTTTAAGCATAGCCTGATAGAGTCTCTCCTCCTCCACAAGTTCTGCCTTCGACATTGCCTCCCGCGGAGGAACAGACCATCCCAGTTCAGCAAGTGAACACCACAAGGATATTCGCGCCTGCATATCGCTACGCAACTGGTTCAGCAATTATAAGCATGCATCAGAGAAAGTGGTACTCGCCGCTCATAGCGATCTACCAGTATCTCGAACTTCGTCCGACTCTCAAGTTCGGATAGCTCCAGATCGGTATCCCACCCACACTCTGTTAATTGCCCTGTACGATTCCTCGTGCGATCCAAGAGCTCCTCGTACATAGCCTCTTGGCACCCCAGTACACTTTGATATGACCAATATAGTTGCATAGCGAGTGAACGTTCGCTAAGCTTGTCGATCTCATCGAGAGGAATCAGGGACTGTGAAGCAGCAACGCCCATAGATGTACTCTCGGCCGCTGAACTATCAACGATATAGAGCGGTTTTTTCATGACATGAGCTGTTTCTGTTTCAGAACTCAGGGTGTTGGTTGTATCGCACGAGAGTGCTAGTGAATGTGGCGAGCAATCCGCGGGACTCGTTGTTGGGCATGAAAGCGTGGAACTCTCCATATGGCTGAATAACGACGATTCCCCCGATGACGCTGATTTACTTGTAGCAGAGGAGTTAGTAGACGAGAATGAGACGGCGAAGGGACGAGGCGTGACAGGAGTGAGAGGCGCATGAGGTTGTGAGGTGGTTTCAGATCTGTCCGAGGATAATGAAGCTTCCATGAGGAGCGCATTTGGTGGTAACGGTTGTGGTAATGCTTGTAAAGGGGGTAATGCAGGCATGCGGAAATGGACAATAGGTGCAGATATTACGCGACGGAAATTCGAGGTGAAATATATTGGGAGAATAGCTAATGCACGTCAGATGCAATTGAGATCACACACATACAGTACAACATACCTGTTGGACGTAAGTTGATAAATCGGTTCTCAAATACAGCATAATACAAGCTTTCGAGTAGTGCATGATCATGAGGTAGGGGAGGGATGTCTGGTTGTGACGAGGGTGGTTTGTCAATGCGATTATGCGAGCCGTTGGGATAGTGAACAGAATCTGAACGCTTATTGCGTGCTCGCAAAGGCGCCGTGAACCAGGTAGGCAGTGTGGGGAATAGGATATCTGGGATTAGTCAGAAGGGAAACGTGAAGGCAATATAATGATGTACCATGTTCGAGGACTTCAACAACCCCACCCGGTCGTAGGACACGGTTCACTTCCTTGGGAGACAATCAAGATACAGCTGCAAAGGAGGAGAATGATCTCACCTCAAAGAGAACACCCCACTGGAGCCAGCATATTCAGAATGTGTCCATTAATACAGTATGAGTATATGCTAACATACCTTGTTCTCAGGGATACCCCGGCCTAAGCCGTGCATGTGAACATGATCGAATTCGTCATCGTCGAATGGGAGTTTCGTCGTCAAACTCATCAAGGGATTCCTTAGACCGGTTTACACGTTGGTTCAAACGTATTACTCACAAATTACCGTGGACCCACGAGATGCGATTCGCAACATCTGGCTCGAGTAATGATGTCGGGACTTGTACATCCACGAGGTCAAACCCGACCTTTGTGGCGTCTGTAAACTCCATTCTGATATCAAGAATGGAAGTACTCACGAATTTGCAATCTGGCCATTCCTTCGCAGCATCAAGTATCCACGTCCCCCCCTATGAAACACACAAGTATTGTCACGTAACTGAAAGAAGATGTGATGTAAGACGTGACTTACCCCACAGCCAAGATCGAGAGAGCGTTTTGGAGAGTCGTGATCTGGAAATTGGACGACCGAAACTGATTTCTCGACGTGCATGACGAAGCTGTGATCCATGTTCTCCCTATAACGGGCTTAGCCGCCGGTCAGGCACAGTAACGGACAAACTCACAGCTCTAGGACTTGTCTATCGTAACTTAGAGGATACGGAGCTTTCTCTGGGTCATAGGAATGATGACGGTGACCATGTTTATTGAGAAAGTCCCTGTTTCGAGGAACACGCCTGCCGCTGGAAGAATCAAGTGCCATTGTTGTGGCTGTGCTTGGACGTGGTGGGGGCATGATGGAAGGAGCAACAAAGAGAGAGTTGTACTTGTACTCCTGAAATAAGTCCTAGTCCTCAGGCTGGCGCGAATCGTGTAATGAAAAACGGAACGTGTGTTTTGAGAAGGGCTATGATATTATTGCGAGGGAGTCGGCGTGGGACAGGCTATCATTAAATCTAACGTTAGTAGGCAGAGAACAACAGACTAGCACTGACCTTCCTCTTTATGGTCATCAAAGCTGCTCTCAAGCAGTGTTCGAGCTGGCAAATCATCTGATACAACTCGTAACAAAATACCTGGACAACTTGATCGGCTATCGAGCCTTCGACGCCGAATTACATCCGCAGACCCTCACACCTGCTTAACAGGCCGTTTTGATATCAAGGCTGATGACGGTCCATTATTGTGGGTTCATTAGATCACCCTGCATTTTTTCACAGATGGCCTGGACTCGTAATGACTAGAATGCAATTATAGAAAACATAAAAGAGGTACGATACACCCGTAAAAGCTAAGTAGAAGGTATGCAGCTATCCAAGGTCCAACGAACACTTCCTAACACAATCAGTAACCGAGATCCTTCCTGAAGTGTGGGACCATGAAATGTCTCGACTTGACCAGCCAGGCAAACCAATCACCCAAGGTAAATCCTCCCAAGAACCCGAAGTAGCCCATGCCGCCTTTCTATAACGAATCATGTCAGGGTCAAGCCACAATAACTCCCCTGGCTTCTGACTCACCTTTCCATTCGTGATCACAATGATCTCAGGTGCACCCGCGTATTTCTTTGTCGGTGCGACTCCATTCAAGAAGCTCACTACATTCGCCACGATAACGGGAACATGCCACATGAGCTTGGCTATCTGCTTCTGCTCAGTCCAGTCGATGATATCCCCCACAGCGAAGATGGATGGGTGATTGAGCAGTTGCATGGTTGGCTTGATCTTAACGAAGCCATGGCCGTTCACAGTGTCTTCACCAAGGGAAGTCACGTACTCAGTGTTGGGGCGGCCCCCACGAGCAGATACCTGTATGTGCCGGTGAGCTGGTTAGATGTGCACATACAACAGTGCACGTACCACTAAGTCGGCGTCTGAAATTAGCTTTCCACTGCGAGTAGTGACACCAACGACACCCGGCTCTGGAATGTCATCGATGTATTCATTGAACATGAATTCAACACCGCGAGCATGAAGGCGTTTCTCCAGTCCCTTTCGGAGCGAGTTGCCATAGGTAGCGTTGATAAGCTGATTACCACCGTGGACAATGGTAACTTTCTTTGTCTGTATTGCGTAATTCGTCAGAACTGCCGTGGCCTGACAAAATTTGAAAAAAGAAATTCACCGGGTAAAGATCTTTGACTTCACCAGCCAACTCTGAGACGTATTGCATTAGTAACGACACGATGATACCTTGCGCATACTCACCGATACCAACGGCACCCCCGCCAATGAGCACAACGTGGTTTGCTTTGGCGAACTTTTGGCGCCATGCGTTAACAAATGGCAGGACATCATCCTCGTTTTCTGGGATAGCACAGGGACCACTGGATGTCGAGCCAGTGGCCAAAATAAGCACTGCATATGAAATGCGCTCCCCGTTGGCAAGGACGACGGCACCCCCCGGGACGCCAGGCTGTGCCTCAATGCTGGTCACAACACCGACTTTTGTCTCGCCATTGCCATTCGCGTAGATCCTGTCAAGCTTGACGAATGCGGTTTCTTCCAACTTAGACTCTGCGTCGACGACAAGACGAACGGCCGCAGGAAGGGCAACGGCATAAGAGCGGGAGTTAATAAGAATGAGGTTGTATCTTCTCGGGTCCAATTTTTTGCTGAGCAGTTTAGCAACTTGGAACCCAGCGTATCCGCCGCCAACAATGACAACGTTCTGTTCTGCCTTGCCGGCCATTTTCTAATGATGGGTGGGTGGTGGTGGTAGTAAGGAAGGAAGATTAAGGAATTGTAAAATGATGGTATGTACTGTCGGCATGATTCAGCGCGTTCTTTTATACGCCGCTTCGGTGATGTTGTTCGAGATTCAGACGTGCCCGAACCTATCGCAAGAAGCAAGTTCTGCCGAACAAGGCAGTGGGCTGCGTCAGCACATAAGTATTACGCGGAATGCTTACATAGCCATTAATCCTACGCGCTTATCCACGTCGTGCATTCTCCAGGAATTCGGTGATTGTACAAGTCCGCAGTAAATTGCGGGCTGCGGTGATGATATCCTTCGAGAACTGCAAGTGCCTTGAAAGTTATTAATTAGGTACTATCCAGGCCTAGGTACGCTGTACACGCGTGAGACTCTGTGAGACTCCGAGGCCAATTTTGTCTTTTCGGCTTTCCCCAGAAAGCTCAAAACCGCCAAGCTAACCGCAATCTGCTCTGAACGTTGAACTTTGTGTCAAATGCGCAGATCGGGTAAGCAACGCAAGGCCGAGCTGCAGCTGAAGCGTGCCGTCAAACGTGGTGACGTAGCCCCACCTGAAGCACAACCGCGCAGGAAGAATTTCAGGAGACCTCCGAAACTCGGCCATTCACTTGACGCTAGGCTTTTAGCAGATGACGCATCTAGGGCCGCAAGGAAGCTTCAATCACAATTCGTCAAGATTGATCCTGTCTTCCTGGAGACCACGAAGCACTTGGCTGCTACCTTGCCCTTGACGAGGCCTATATCTGCTGATGTATGCCTCCTCGGTGTTGATCATGCACAGTTTGGCACCGATCCCGTAAACGATCAGCTTAATGTCCCGAGGAGACCGAAGTGGAAGTACACCATGTCAAAAGATGACGTAGATGCCAATGAGCAAGGCTGTTTTCGCAGATGGATGACTCAAACAGACGCCATGGTGGAACGTTGGCACAATCAAAACAATCAGCCAGATGCATCGGGCACTGATCTAGCGTCGGCTGGCCCAAGTATTCCTGATACTACTGTTCAAGAAAGAATGCCTTGTCCTCCCACCCATTTCGAGCGCAATCTCGAAGTTTGGAGACAACTGTAAATACTAAATTTATACGCATCTGATTTCTGGTCTCACAAGTTAGTGTGCAGCTGGCGAGTAACAGAAATATCTCAAATCCTTCTTTGTCTTTTGGACTCTAGATGTCCACCGCTCCACTTCCCGCCTTCGCTCGAGTCCTATTTAACCTCTCGAAGAGCGAAAGTCATTCTCGTTCTCACAAAAGTCGATATCGCAGGTCCAGAAAGAGCTGAGGCATGGACTGCATATCTTCGGAAGCGGCACCCAGGACTACCCATCGTCCAAGTTGAGGCGTATCAGCAAAAAGTTGGCGAGCAAGGACGTCCAGTCTATGAATCGCACCTCCCCCTTCCCTTCAGAGAACGTTTGGTTAGCGCCATGCGTCAAGTGCATGAAGAAATGTTCATCCCCCCTGAACGGGTGCGCTCGGATGAGGCCAAGCTTAAGCGCTGGAATCCTCCAGTCAAGCGCGAGATTGATTGGAATGGCTTGCTGCATGCCCATGGCAAGAAAGTAGGGAGTGTCGTCGGAGGCGCAGCTATGCCAAAGGGAAAAGGCAAAGAGGATACCGCAGATGACGCCCAAGAACCAGAACAGGAAGCTAGTGATAGTGAAGGACAATTAGAATGGCAAGAGCCAGAATTTCTGACTGTCGGTTTGATCGGTACATTTTTCTTGTGCTTTCACATATTTGAAAATTGACAGCTCATCCCAGGTCAACCGAACGTTGGCAAGTCATCCCTTCTCAATGCACTGTTCGGAATACATAAAGTTCGAGCATCACGGACCCCCGGAAAGGTAAACCACAGTCCTAATCCATAAGATACAGAGCTTCGTCTTACATACTCGACCAGACAAAGCATTTTCAAACTCTTTTCTGGAGCCCTGATGTCCGTCTCGTTGATTGCCCAGGGCTTGTGATGCCCGCCTTCACACCGATGGACACTCAGGTTCTCTGCGGAATATTACCCATATCCCGTGTCTCCGCCATCCCATTTTGCATCCACCAAATTGGGCAACTTCTCCCTCTCGAGACTATCCTGGGTCTCACACACCCTTCAACGAACAGCGCACCCGTTGAGGACAAGCGCACCTGGCGCGATGGTAAACAACCTTCAGCGAAGGACAAGATGCACTGGACAGCGACGGAGATCATGACCGCATATGCGAACAAAAAAGGCTGGGTTACTGCAAAGGCAGGCAGGCCAGATATCCACCGTGCAGGCAACGCCAGTGAGTATCTTTTATTTGTTTAGGATCTTCGATAATAATCATTAATAGTACTGAGACTCGTCGCGGAGGGCAGGATAGCGTGGGCTTTCTGGCCTCCGGGAACCGACTTAGCGACTGTTAGATCCAGTGGGGGCAACGGAATCTGGCTCATTCGCAATGCAGACCAGCACGCCCAAGAATTAGATGAAGATGATGAGGGAGGATCAGGCTATGAAACTGACGAGGTCGAAAGTCCTGATGAAGGCAGTGAAGATAGCGATGAAGATAAACATGCGACCGACGAAGAAGAATACCAGGATGCGGACTTCAAGCCTGTTACTGTTGGTCGCTTCGGTGTGCTAGCGATAGATGATTGATTGAAGGTTGTTTATCACACTGCAATCAACTATCCTACCAGCACTGCAACAACGTTGCAATTGATGATCAACAGTGGCACCATCACCCTTCAAACTATCAGTGAAGTAATTTGGCTAAATTTAACGACCGGAATGCGATGTGCCATCACAGCGAGCATATGGAGTTCTCGTATCATACCGATATTAGACATCAACACGTTGCAGCACATCAGGCTATGTCAAGCTTCTAGTCTTAGATCAAACAGCCTCTGACTTCAATTTGAAAGTCCGTAACTTAGTGCATATTCGTACTCGGTCTGTCCTTGGTCTTCGGATATGGTAACAGTGTTGCACAAGCGTGGATTGAACTCAAGTGTATCCATGTTTTCGCTACTATAATGCCAAGGCCCACTGTACAGGCCCTTGGCGAGTCGCGAAGGCATTGCAACTGCGGTATCCTGTTGTTTAGGCGCCCTGTTTACCCCTTCCACCGGCAAGCTTCTTCGACAGTAAGTCCAACAATCGAGGAGCATCAAGATGAGCGTCCTCCTTAATAGCAAGTACTCTCATGTCGACTCGTCCTGGGTGCAAATGTGACCTCGAGTACATTCAAGTATTTAGTGCCGCTTCAGTACTGCCATAGGTTCGACCTTATTCGGATCTGGAGCATAGTGCTCGATGGAGTTTCCGAGGGGAATACTATCTGAAAGTTGTGCGAGTGCTGTTCGAAGGTGACTCAATTGTGTCGTTGCGCTCGACATCGTTGAAGAAGTTCATCAAGGTTGCAATTATTGAAATGTCATTATATTAGTTAATTGATCATATCTTGACTAGTTGTTCGGGATTTTCGGGTGTTCAGCTTATATATCTTAGAGAGAGTTGACAGGCTATGTTCCTGGGACACATATTTGAGTTTTCGACACCTGTTATCACTCGGAGTGGTACGTAACAGGTCACTACATACACCCCTGCCCTGAGTTTTTAACCAGTTATGTAATCACATGTTATGTAATTACATGTTATGTAACTAGGGGTCGGCGTTGCCGACGTGGACCTTGCTCACATTCCGTCTTTTTCTAGCTCTATCGTGCTCGTTTAGTCTGGCTTCGTCCCAGGATTTCTTCTGACATCACTATATAGCTACTACTACATTGTTTCTTTCAGTGTACTGCACTATGGTACCTTGTTTTCTGTCAGACTGTCTGTCCTCGAGAAACGCTTTTTCGTTTCCTCCGCGAGTCGCTCAATCCTGTTATCTTCTATCCGAAGGTCTTCGTTTGGATGTTGAATGAATAGATCATTGTCGAAGTCTCTGAGAAGACGTATGCATTCTTGGCCGTGACTTCTGGATAGTGCGACGTATGCATTGAAGGGAGATAGGCGAAAACATGTCGTTCTTCCAATGTCCACTAAAACGTGATCAATTGTCTGTCCTTGTGCTTTAAAGTCAGTAAATGCGTAAGCTGGTGTTACAGGGAGTTGACGCCGCGTGATTCTTGTAGAAGGACCTGTGCCCATGGAAAATTTAATTTCGCAAGGTAACACTGGTATGTGCTGAGGCAGAAGTCCGTGCAATGGCGGTAAATCGCAGAAGTCGAGGTGAATGATAACAAATGCAGGGGGATAACGCAAGAATGCTCTCTTTGCTTCCACAGCGTTGCTCCCAATCTTTGGCTCTCTGGGATCCAGAACGATATCAGTAATTCTCAGTCTATACTCACTGAAAATGAAAGCACATTGATTGTCTGAGGTACTTAGCAGTTCAAATACACTAGGTTGCATGGTGTTTCGATAGATAGATAGTAAATACGATGTTTAGGGGTGCGGCGTAAAATTATAGGATTAATTTTTATTTATTCATCACATTATTACCAACATATTAACAAAAAAGGGAGTTGTCCGAAAACGACGAATATTGGAAGGGAAGCGCGCTAGCTTCGCCCTGTGGGCGGAGCTCTGGGCGCGAGGGAGTTGCACGGTCTAAGTTATTACTTTGTTATTCAGAAAACGACAAGTATTGGAAGGGAAATCGGAGGTAGGTGATAAGTTCGCATCATCGTATCACGTTGTATGGCGTCACTGTATTTACTATTATTTGGAAATCACATAAAATGATCCATGTGAACCTGACCTTGCTTCGCAAGGTAATAACGTGTCAAAAACTCAAGACTTGGGGAGTTTTTCACGGAATCCCTACTCACTGTGGTCACCGCTCGAGACACTATTACTCTTACTCCCAACATCAGATTAGTACAAACTCAACTGCATTGTCTTGAGCGATGATCCTCGCCGTGTATTTGAGATCAAGATTGCACCAACAGAGAGTGTCAGCGCCCTCCAAAAGATTATCAGGGACATGAAGAAGCCACATCTTGACCTGTTGACGCTGACGATCTCGAGCTACGGCAGGTGAGTGATCAATGCCCGAGGTCTAATTCTGACGATCTGATCATTTGGAAGGTCAAGATCAATTCGAACGACCTACACTCACTCGACGCGATCGGAAACCAAGGCGTGGAGTTGAAGCCGTTAACCGAACTGTCCGAAGTGTTCACGAATGGTGTAGAGCGTGGATGTATTCATGTCGTCATACGACATCCTGCCGTTGCACGGCACATTAATCCACTTGTTGCTCTACGACTCGCTTATCTCAAGAATGGCGCAGGTACGGCATCCCTCGAACCCAAATATTCATATCTAGGATGTCCTCATCCTCGGAGTTATACCAATTCAACCGGTCACATTCAGGAATTCTCGTAGTGTCTGACGAACAAGATGCGTATCAAGTTCGTCAGGCACTACTCCCCTGAGGCCCACAAATTCTATGCCAGGAAAGGGGCACGCTCCCAAACTTATTGCCTACAATCCTTTACCCGGCGGCTGGAATATGGTGATTATGGATGCCCTTGATATTGATAATGGTTGCTTCCCGCAACGGCCTGGCTCATATCGACTGCTCAGTGAGATAGCTGTTTTGGACTGCCAACCGCTGAAGGAGGCCATCACCTCTCTCATCCGGGAGTTACACGATTACAATGACGGCTACGTTCATGGCGACCTTCAGGATACCAATTTCATCGTGGGAGACAACAAACACTTCATGCTGCTCGATTTCGATTGGGCTGGACCGATACATAAGACCCATTATCCTGTGCATGTTAATTGGAAGGATATTCGTTGTCCTGATGGTGTGTCGGATGGGGAGAAGATTGTGGCGGAGCATGATGAATTATCTATTTCATCCTGAGCAAGATCGTCGGGATCGTCGGGAGCCAGCTGCAAAGCGCCGCCGTGTGTCTGGTGAAGGGCCACCAATGGCCATTTGATTCATTCATAATTCGTTGTATCACCGAAAGTCCAACGTAGATTAGTATCTGCTGTATCGTAGTGAGCCAAATCGATTATTACCGATGCGCGTGCCATCGGTGTATCTGAGATTTCCGAGTAAAATTGTACCCATGCACAACCTCTGATCTCAGCAGTCGATCCCTCGTACTGTGTGTGTTCTTGTTAACTCTCCCTCTATTGATTACTTTCTTCGGGTCCACCACCGCTAGTTAATAACATCATGATGCTAATTAGCAAGCGGCTAATAAGCAAGCAGTTTTATCCCGAACCCTATATCCCTGGCCATTACGCATGTTGCATTCTTCAGAGCTGAGTTTCAAGAGGCAGAGTTTGGAGGAAACCGCACTGATTGTGCAATACCCTACAACACATAACAGCGTGTTTTTGTCAAACGTACTACTCGGTATCAGTGGCCAAGAGCATGCTCTCCTCATGGCTAAGCAAAAAGTCCAACAACACCCAAGCTCTCAGCCAACCAGATCAAATATCTAAAGCTTCCCGCTCGACAGTGGAACTAACAGGACATTCATCACAATCTGCAATTCCCATCACAGACGATGATCACAACGATGTCCACGAACACATCTGGGATCCCAGCACATACTCTACTCAAACTGAACAGGACGTTCTCAGACCAAATCCATCGGCTACTAGTACATCAAGCGACGTGAAGTCGTTGGGACAATCAACCGAGCCAGCAAAGTTTCTGACACCGCATGATGACATTCTCGCCGAACTCCAGGGATACTTGCCCTCGAGTGGTCCTCAGGCTGCAGAGCGGTCATCTCTACGACCGGATGCTCCCCAAGGATCTTCCCTCAATCTTAGCTCAAACGCTGCCGAGAACTCATTGTTCACATCCGACTCTTCGCCCAATCATGAACCAGCCAGGGAGGTCATGTATGAACCGTTCACCGGTCAGAAATTATCTGACTATGTGCCAATGCCGGTGCGGTCGGGTGCTGACGATGAACTATGGTCCCATCTATCGCATATTCTGGAGCTCCAGAGCGAGATTTCAAAGATGCATGTCGATATGGAGAATGTCGGTTTGCGGACTACGCGGGGTCATAATGTACCTGAGCGCGGTGGAAAGGCAGGCACCACCAGGAAGGAGACCGGGAAGAATAGGAGAAGTGATACACTCGGAGAAGAGGAAGATGACAGTGAGAGCGATGAAGCGACCGAAGGAGAGGATTCGGATGACAACGACGAGGTGTTTGGGAAGAGGAAACGGGATGAAGAATTCACAAGACTGGCGGAGCGGTTTGCGGAGAGAAAGGTTTCCATCGACGCTGTCATGAATAAGGTATATGCGTCTCGTAGTTCACCGTCCATGTCTGATCTTACTACTTCCAGCTGGGCGACCTTTCGAGCACGCTCAAGGCCTTTCATGCGTTACCCATTCCAGTACTCGATATTGTATCCACTCGTACCAACACCATGTCTTCCGATGCTTCACTAAGCACCGATCGCGGCACTGGTATGACCTCTGCGCTTACCTCGACGACATCAGCTCCCCCTCGTATGTCAGTACAAGTAACGACGATCATAGATGACTCGCAACACGTGGATAGCCCAGTGGACGTACATTTCGCACAATCCATTGATCGCAATGTTGGGAAGAAGTAAGCTTCTGGATGTATCATATAGTTCGGGAACAAGTTTTACGATACAAATAAAGTTGAGATAGTTGATACTGGCTATAGCTAGCACACTACATTAAAATCACAGGTAGATGAAGAAAAAACACGAGTCTTCCAGGCAGAAAGCCTGCTTCCTCAGGAAGGAGACCAGCTCCCACACTGGATAGCATGACCAATCGACACCAATGCATCAATTCAACCTCCGAGGAGAGCCAGCGCAGCCCTGAGTTCCTTTCTCGCTTGTTCAGCATCCTCGTAATCAAGCGAGGAAATAGCAAAGCGACAGTGCTTCTGTGCTTTGGCAATGATAGTGGGTGTAAGTTGGAAATTATTCAGTGGTAAAGGGGCGGGAACTGGAGGCGGAGGCACCATGCGAGGAGGTGAAGAAGGTGCAAATATTGTGGGCATTGGCGGGGGAGGAATCATGGGCGGAGGTACTGGACTTGAGGGTACAAATCCAAGCGGAAGTTCTTGAGACGATATTGAAGGACCGCGAACACGGGTTCGCGGTGGCGAGCCTCTCGGTGGAGAGATTGAAGGAAGGAAGGAAGGATGCGGAGGAGTGGGGGAAACATGATCTCTGGTTGTCGGTGCATATATAACAGGTCGCTCTTTGGGTGGGGATGAGGACTCGAATACGGACGGCCGAGACTCGCTAGCAAATGGCAAGAACGGAACCTGACTAGGCGATGATCCGTTAAGCAACGGATCTCGGACTAGCTCTTCATCGCTAGTCGTGCCCTCCACGTCGGTGCTAATCCAGGCTTTACGAAGTTGACTCCCTCTGCCATTGAGAGGGGTTTCGTGCCAGTTGTTTGCCTGGTCCAAACTGACACTGCTGTTATCCTGAGCAAGGTCAAATCCTGGAGTTGCCGTCGTACTCCAACACCCGGGGCTCAGCGATTCATCGTCATGGCGAGGGGAATGCAAGCGATTGGCACGAGTGATATCATCTGGACTCATCCTTGGAGATGGTGTCTGTCGATAATGCGACGTTTGAGGCAATGTGGGGGATTGGCTCGTTGCTGAAGAGGAGGTCTGGGGATCTTCAACTCGCGAAGGTAGCTCCGAAGCACCAGAAGTAGCAGGGAGGGGTTCTAGGTCAAACTGAGACCCGGCAGGACCTGGTGTGGGCTTCCTACCCTCCCGATATGCCTTTGCAATATCAGCTGCCTTCCATTTAGCATATTTAATCTTGCCATCTATCTGTGAATGTACGTTAGACAAATGTCGTCCGACTGCATGATACCACGACGACTTACTGTATCGGAGATATCCGTCGTTGGAAATACTTTCAAGACCTCGAAGAAATTTGCTGCGGCAAGAAACTTCTTCGCAGTTGATCTAATTAGATGTGAGCCAATCTACCGGAAATTAAAACAATGATAGCTGAATACCTTGTTGCATGACCTTCGCGATCTTCATCATCGGCGATGCGGAAGATCTTTAGGGCAAAGTTCTCGACGAACGCTGCGCTCGCAGGCTCGCTATCTATAGTGTCACTGGGACCGATCTCTGTTTTCAAACGCTCGAGTGCGTTCAGGAGATTTAGAAGCAGTGTACGTGAAGCAGCATCCTTTGCTTTCAAATTGATGCCAAGTTGTGCTGCATAGTACGCGCCTACACACTTCCGTGAGCTATGTGATGTGCTTGAATGTAAAGGTTACCCGTACACCAGTATGCCACAACTGGTTGTTGATTGACCAGTTCCTCAGCACGTTGGAGGTACGGCGCTATAGACTTGAGACCTGCCGACACCGGTGGAAGACCAAGGGACATGATGGCTACTGATCAAGGGGGAGTTTCGCGAGTAAGTACTGCGGCGGATGAATGTATACAAGGGTAAGTTAAAGTCACGAGTGGTGTAGTATTGAAGTGCTGACGATTCGAAAACTAAATTATAGCCTTAAGCCTGAGGGTTTTTATACCGATGGTGGATGGGCAAGCAAGCTGTGAATTGTGGATTTGTGAGAGGCCTCGCGCCTGCAACGAGGACACGCAAAGCTGAGCTGTGTATTTAGTTCAAAGTTCAATCATTAGCTGTCAGGAAACCGAAGTCATCGGGACTCGGAACATCACAGCTTGACGTCAGTTCGTGTCCTTGTTTGGCGGTATGGGCGTCTTTGTCTAGTTCCGACTTCGAGCGACATGTCTACAGCAAAACATGGAGCTTCCTGGCTGCCAACACGTTCCCATCAAACCAAGTACCAATTCATCGTTTACCTGTACTAGCGTCATGCGGAAGCATGGCATCATTTTAATCATAGCTTGGCGGAACATCAATGAACCAGAATCATACTCGGAGTAACGGCTGCATGACGTGGGGCTACTTGAAAGGTGCTAACATATTGATGATATTCCTACAAGAGGTTGCATGGGTGCTGGATTTGCGATGGTGCGAACCTAACCTTTTTTCAAGAATCCCGTTGACAAGAGAACACGGTGACTTTCAGTGGAGTACCAGTCCTCTCCGCAGATAAGGGAGAAGATGTTTATTATAGACCTGAGGCACCGTAGGGACGGGCTTGTCACAATATTAAGAACCAGAGCTCCACATCGTTGTGATTGACGGGTATTGGTATACCTACGTATTTCACATATTTCATCATGCAAACACTTATCTGTGAGCAGGTCGGTCGCTAAGAAGGTGGAAACTGCGCACTTCGGCGGATTTATCTTTCACCCAGAGGCCTTTTTCGGAGTAGGATACTAACATATCCGTCTATGGTGCCTTTTTATTATAATGTAGGTCTCAATGAAGGAGCTGCGCTCGACGCCAATTTCAAATCAGACTGGCGGTCAGAACTGAAGTAGTTTCAAAGCTGAGTTTTCAGCATCGTGGTTCACATGGATTTGTGACTCTGTATCTGCAAGGAACAATCATTCGCGAATGCCAATGGCAAGCAAGCACGAACCTCAAGGCGTTGATATCGTCCTGCGGTCACAAACACCGTCTCTCAAGCTCAAGGCAGCCACCGGTCACTCGGCTTTGAAACGGGGCCGCGTGCAGCCCTCCAGCGCTGATGCGGATAACCAGATGGCCGTTCCAGCTTTGCGCTCAATGAGTGCCATGAGAGGTCTCCTCCTAGCAGAAGTCGGGGATTCGATGGTAGAGTTCGACGTGTATGGAAAGCCTGGGGAATCCGGGTACCGCGTTGGCCAACGCATAGCAACGGAGTCTCTCATGCCTCCGGGAAGCTCAAAATTTGCCCCACCACCTCGAAAGGTCCTTTCCGCCCCAGGTCCTGTGGTCGGAAGTATGGCCAGCCTGGCCACCAGCGCGACTCTTTTCGACGTCGATGTCGCCCCTGCCCAGAACGGCGCAGAAATCAAGCCCCTTCTTGGAAACTCGAATTCCAGATTGGAGCCCGGTGCAATTGTCCACCCTCACCCGGCATTACGCAACGCAGATAGCAGCGGAGATCTCGGCACCGATTTCAAGCCCATTGTGCGAGAAAAGGCAAGGTGGAGGTCGCGTGTAGAAGTGGACATCATACTCGAGAACCACACTTGTGTGCAAGGTAGCTACCTCAGGGGGACAGTCAAGGTTCACATCAAAAAAGGCTCTAAGAAGGATACACCATTGCTGCTTTCTCAGGGGAAAGTCAGGGTCGTCGGATTCGAGTGCATACCGCAGAAGGATAGCAAGTGCACATTTTATAAATACTCAGCTCTTCTATCGGAAATTGCTCCATCGTGGAAAGGTCTCTTCAAATCACCACCCGATGAGGATGGCTGGGCCGAAGCGCAAGAGGGCGTCCATGTCTTTCCATTCGTGATGCTTCTTCCTCCAGATAGTGGCTGCGGCATGGCGAAAGGAGTGTTAAGCATAAGCTGCGGAGTGGCGATTAAATACATTGTTATGGCGTAAGTGTCGGAGCTTCTGTGTTCTATCACCCGCATCTGCTGATAATCAATCAGAGAGATCAAAGTCAAGGACTCCGCAACATCCAAAGAATCCATCGTTCACTTCTCCCGCGACTGTGAGGTATGGCCACGTCTAGATGTCGTCTCCACGCTTGCCACAAACTCCCGCCCGCTGGTCGCAGAGGTTGCCACTAGAGTGTTTATGGGTGGCCCAGGAAAAATCAGGTTGTCGGCCCGTATCCATCGATACCACTGGGTCGCCGGCCAAAGTTGCACCGTTCATTTCCGAGTGGTCAATGACTGCAAGAAATTAGTAAAAGGCGCCGCCATTGCGCTAATACGAACACTGACCGTGTTCAAGCCAAAACCACACTTGGATGCTGGGGATGCTGATCCGGATGCTTGTCAAACCTCAACCAAGGCAAAGTGCGTGACGGAAAGCGTCCTTGAGTTGGGACAGCGTTGCTCTAAGGGACATGCGAGCGCAAAAGGGTGGTGGACAGGTGTCGCTCCCGGTCAGACGAGCGAGTTCAACCACTCTGTGATATTACCGGTAAGCCGCCACAATCTCTTTCTGGTTGCATTGTGGTAATCGAACTGTGATTATCATTGTAGCCCGACGTTCACTCTATTGCCCGAACACGACTGCTGGAGGTCGAATACACGCTTCGCATAAGTGTAGGAATTGGAAGATGTTCCTCGGATGTACACGTCATCTTGCCAATTCGAATCGTCAACTTTCTTTCGCTCGACCCTCCACCTACGGTGCCACTTCACACTCAAAACAGGCAACGCCCTATGCCAGAGTTTACGAAGCGTGAATCGTGGTACCGAAAGTCGCGTGCTACAAGCAGGGATCTTGTAGGGACCGACGAAACGGTCCCTGGTATGAAATATGCCAGGGACATAACAATTGCCACAGAGCCAAATAATATTGACGAGATGCCCGTCTTGAGTGAAGAACATCATCAAAACCCGAACACGAGTGTAGATTCGGCGTCTATTTACTCACCTTCTCAGTCTGCGGACACCATCGGACACCGTGAAAACATTCTCCACCCCGTATCCGAGGAGGATGTCGATCAAGATCCGGGGACACCCAGTGGCACTGCAAGCTTCGCCAGACATATAACAGCTTCAAGCAGTGCGGTAGAACCACATATCCTTGCGCGTCCTCGGGGACCCCGTTCGACACCGATCCAGTTCCAACCCTCCCAGGCCGAAAGCACGCCAAACACGACGTTCCTTTCTCGTCGCGTTGAGGAGCGAATGCAGAGTCCAGGCGCAAGCTGGGTAATTGTCAAGCCATTTACCGACCATCGAGCAGATGCAATCAAGACGCAGAAGTCACGAATCTCGAACTTTGGGAGCTCGTCGATGATCCTTCCCAGACCACCTGTGATATTAGATGACCCTGCGATACGTCCAACGGTATCAACGTTGCTCCCAGGCACCCGACGTGTGTGATAGAAGGCGATCTGTAGTGATCTGTGAGTAGTTTGAGGGTTTCGTGCGGAAAGGACATAGTGTAACAGAGTTCAAACTTGACTCGTCAGATGGTGATATAACCCTCCAACAAGTGATTAATTGGCACAAAGCTGTTAATACATGATATGATTGTAGATGATGGTACTAGGAAGTCGACTCAACAAAAAACAGTCTCGTGTCTACTTCTGCATGACCATTCTCTCGTACTCTTGGGACTCCGTGAATTGAACGCTAATACATCTCCAAACTCATACCATCATGGATCTCATAATCTGAGAGCGTGATGTGATCCTTGTAAATCGTATACCTGACAAGGAGAACAGTGTCATGAGTATGTGTGAAGGAAACGTATATGATGATTTATTGACACAGTCCTGTGACAAGGGAGAGCGTCGTAGCAATTAGCGGATGCTCACCATTTCTTCAGCTGAATCTTCTTAGAGTCTGTACCAGTTTGGGCGGCAATGAGTTTCTTCAGGTCACCCACAGTGTCATCTGGGCTGCATTTGACTCGGACTAGTAGATTGCTCAAGCTAGGATTCGGATCATGAAATTGTGTGCACTCACCTTTCCGGCCCAGCCGATCATTTGCAATCACCTGCGGTTAAGTGAGTGTTTGCTATCCTCTTCTAGAACTGCAGGACAAACCTCGATCAAAGGCATGAGTAGTACTGGGATGAGGAGATGAGATTCCGGCAAGCTATGATCACGTACTATTGTGTGACAGCCGACATTGCATCACGCGTGACTGACGCGTGACTGCGCGTAGCTCCGAACTTAAGTGTCAAAGCTCTCCTTCCTCCATGGCCATCCCACCTCGGACGACGACGCCTGGCGTCTACAGGCAATATGGCCAGCAACATCCAGTGCAGCGTGTCGGACCAAATGTTACAGATGACTATGAAAGTGGGTACCTGTTTGCATGTAAATTTCATTGATTTATGTGTGTCTTCAGGGTGGTATACTGAGGCGACACCCAGCAACCGTATGGTCTTATCGATACGTTCCGGCATAAACTCGGAGATTGCATGGGCGCTGGATAGACTGTATCGATTATGTGCAAATGATCAATTCATCTTGAAAACCATTCCTGGTCTAACAGACGCACTGTTCGAATGGCCGGAGTGGTATGCGACAGAAGGATACCTAATGGCAGAGCAGTATCGGCTATTTGCTATGCCAGATGCTGAACACAGAAAGCGACGGCATGCCCTAGAATCCATATTTATCCTTCGCAATTCGGCCACGAATGAACCCAATGCATATGAGCTAGCTAATCATTCCCGAACACTCCCATTACTATTTAACGCCCTCACCAACCTCGATCCAGATACGGATATGAATGCTGAATTCGTTCTCAATGCCGTAGAACTTCTGCAGGCCATATCCCTGGGCGTTATCCTACCAGATCCTGCTTCGAACAAGAAAGACCCCCTCCCTACTCTGCTGCAAATTGCAGGTCACTCGTCGAATCGCTCCCTTATCATCTCAGCTTTGACCCTTTTGGCACAACTTTTGTCTAACATACAAAACACACGTCGCCTGGACTCAAACTCGCCAGCGCTCGCTGCCTCCGTACGTTACTTGCCTCTATTTGTCGATCGAGCATTGGTAGAAGCTTCATTGAACTACCTATATGCCCATCTTTCGCACCCACCAATGGTAAAGGCTTTTCTGCATCATCCTCTCATGCCAAGCACTCTCCGCGTGCTTGTTAGTTTTATTCTATCTGAACAAGTAGAAGAGACCGTAAACGTGGATATTAGTGCAGTCTCTCGCGCCATCCCAGCAACAACGGTCGTGATCCCCGTCCATGACCTTACCAAAGAGGAGCTTGAGACCCTAGTTTCCATGCCTGAACCCCAGCGCTGTTATGAGTGGTGAGTACACGTTATGCAGGCTGTATTATGATACGATAAAGTTATTTTTGCAGGATGAAAATCATGTTCATTGCAACACCAGATGGAGAGCTCACTCAAGTCGATTTTTGGACTCTTTACAAAGATGCCTTTACACCCTTCGCGGACCGCCATCCCGTCCTGGTCGCATCAGATGTGATCAAAAATGTCAATGTCGTTTTTCCTCAGGCTCAGGCGATGGTCCTTCCTGGGCCGCCACAGCGCTTTGTCGTGCGTGGTGTGGACAGGCGTAAAAATACGGAAGCTGCTCCTCGTTTCAAGTGCTTGTGGGAGCGCTCCCAGTGTTCAGCTTCGCCATTCGAGGCCCCCGGAGAGTTGTACGACCACCTCCTTCAACATTTGGAATCGTCCGAGAACCCCGAGCCGCCATGTCTCTGGGCCACATGTCCATTGCCATCGACATCAAAACAACGACTACGACCTCATCTCCTCACCCATCTCTCAAGCTCCCAACCACCTGCAAAACATCCTTCTCAAGATGATACAATTACTGTTACCGCCGACGGAGAATCGTACCCCTTCACAGACCCCACAAAACGACAGCCCCCTCCTCTAAGGCAAACGAACATATCCTACACCCGGCCTGTCGCTGATCCTCCTTCGGCTGCACTTACCGCGTTGCTCATCATCCGTATTCTCTTCCGCTCATCATTCGTCGCTACCTCGGAGACTGCTCCCCGTGTGGATGGCGAACACTTTGGGTTCCCTGGTGTTGTAGAAGACGACGAGGGCGACGATGTGGTGGAAGATATTGGGGGCGAACTGGAGGGCGAACGGAGGGGTCGACGGGCGTTTGTGGGCGTTAGGAGGATGATGGAGGACGTGAGGATGAAAGACGAGGCGTTGATGAATTGGATGGTTGAAATGGTCTATGCGGCGTATGATGGGCTGTTTAGGTCGTAGTGTAGGGGGCGCTTACCCTGTGACTTGTTTTAATCCCAATCATTTGTCATGGTTATTCCTATCATGATTATCAGGCTGCTCCTGTGTGACTCCTATTTGACAGCGGAAAACACCGGCTTATGCCGCAGTTTTCACTTGTAAGGTGTGCCAAATCTAACAAGGAATCACCCCTTCAAAATCATGCCTCCCGTTGGTTTGTTACAGTGCAACAGTGGCTGGCAGTCCCAGCCCTCCACACCTCCTGGACCATTCAAAGGACCATCCCCAGTGAATGTCAAGAGGCATTCAACACCTGCGATAAATGTTGCAAAAAGTCGAGCTCCCACCGTTATCATGGAGTCTATGCTGCTGAATCTGCACAAATATTATTGTGCCCCCCCGAAATAAAAAGTGTGCCCCCCCGAAATTGAATTTGTGTGACACCCCGAAAAAGGAAATTGTGTCGCCCCGAAAACTATTGTGTGTCGCCCCGAAAACTGCAACATGTGTCGCCCTGAAATTATATCATGTCGCCCCGAAAACAAAAGACTCATGCCGAAAAAAAAAGTATGAAAAATTCAGAAAAGTACTTTATTGAAGGCAAACTTGAGTGACAATTGTAGACTAGTATGTATACTACTGGATGACTACCTGAATACGATCCATAATTTGACTCTTCTTCCTCTACAAGTCGAGTAACCATTGCCTTGACATCACCTTCAATTGCAATTGCCTCATCGAAGGCTTGCTTGATGTGCCTCGAAAAATTGATGGCAGTTCCTTGTCTGCAGACACCATCTCGAGCAAGGGTTGTACCATGCTGGAAACAGGGTTGCATACTCTGTGGCACCAGTTGTCAGCAAAATTAAAGTGTGGAGCTGCAAACGAGACAAAAATACCATGACTGTGTCAGTGGCACATTTCACCACTACCTTGAGGGAGACATCCACATAATTTCCACCAGAACTACGGCCACCATGAAGCTGGCATTGCTCTGGATCCATGATAGCATGAAGAGTAACCCAGTTCATTGCATAAGGGGCATAGAGTTGGTCTGTGTGAATGGGGCTAGTAGATGTGACATCAAAAAGTGGCATTACTAATTAGATGCAATCCACTTACGACTCATAATTCTGTGACATATATGCCTCAGAGGGAGCCCACTCAGCTGTCGAAAAGCAGAGAGGACCACCAGGTAAGTCTAGGGTATACCCAAAGTCTAGGTATCATATGTAAGTTACCAGTAATGAAGATTATACATATGTGAGACACTCACCCAAGTCATTGCCTTTGACTGTCATGGCAGGCAGGCCTGCCTCACCAATTGCCTCGATACATGATGTACTGACCTCAGCAGGGAGACTAGCTATGAGCAAGTTCCAGCTCAAAGCCAGAATTCCTAAAGCATGGGAGTCCTTCTGCTGCCTCGTAGTCATGGACAGCTTCTTCTTATTGGTAAGGTTGTTCACCAGACCAAAGACACGTGCATGACGAGGACTGGCGTTCCACTGTTCCAGCCAAACTGAACCAGCTCCCCCCCATGGGTAGGCTATCCAGCCCATCAGAAATATGTATATCAAACTGAAAGGAGGAAAAACTCACCCTGGTCCCCTTGCGGTCATTGACAGCCTCGTCGATGATACTATTGACATAAGTCAACAGGTCAGGACGCTGGCCACACTTGCCATGGAGTACAGCGAGTGTAACAGATCCTATACACCCAATTAACCACATGCAACTACGAAGTACAGGACCTAACCAACGCGCTGTCCACACTCCATATTCATCCCCCGCTCGTCATCCCAGACTCATTATCATCGCACACCTTCACAGACGGGATCGTACCCGTACAAGCGTTGGGACGAACCCAACCTGCCATTCCTGCTGAGCTAATCGCAGAGGCAGAGCGACAAGATGTCGCCATCAGGCATCCCATACACCGAACCACACCCTCCAAAAGAGGAGTACGGAGCAAGCGTCTTCGTACCGATAAAGGAAAGAAGCGCGCTACCAGTGCTGACGAGGCACTCAGCCCGAAACCAGGCCCATCGCCTCTACGGGCAACCTCTAACCCCGATGAGAATCACGTCTGTAGGTACTGCAAAATGCTTGGGCACAGACAAGTCCACTGTCCCGAATACTATTGCCGTGTCTGTCAGGAACTATCCCCAGGTCACCTTTCATTTTATTGCCCATACTACTCTGGGGAATCCCCCACTTCGCTAACATGGAAAGACGAAGGATTCTACCATACCCTCGCAATCTGGGAGAACGACAAGGACGAGGCATACACCGCCCAATGTAGGGAAGAAGAAGCACTTTACTTGGAGGAACGCATGAAGGGAGGGTCGGACAACCTTGAGTATTCCGACGACCCTGTCTATCATGCTAACCAGGATGATTGAATCTGGTGGCTTCAACCTTAGTGAGGGGGTAATGTTACAATCGCTTTACTTCTCAGACTACTCTCACATAACTCCGCCATTATGTACTACTTTCCTCTTTTGTCTTGAATTCCTCTTTTGGTCTTCAACCAGTGTACTACTATCTCACCGTAGCCTTGGTCCGTGCGCGTATAGTTTCCTATTTAAGCACGTGTACTATTACTTAGAACGTCACTTCAATCTTACTAGGTTTTACCCAGAACTTCCTTCGCTTAAGACCACCAATCTTAAGTCGTCTGAACCGATCTCTTAATTGAAGCACTCCTTCAACTAAGTCTGCGAACCTCTTCTTATTTGAAGAGCCTTACGAATCTCAGCAACACGATCGCTCTATCGAGCCTTTGCTGTTAGAACTATCCTAGTTCATAACACAAGGAGGACCAAGACGAGATCTTTCAGTATCTGCCCCAATACTATCTTTGTTTCAAAGAGAAGCGCAGGATCGTAATTCCTCCTGGTATCCAATTCCCTGATGGGTCATCGGTGGCACAAAATGCAAGGACGAATTCGAGAGGTGGATTTCATGAAAATGTGGTTATTCTAGGTCAGTCCTCAGTTTGTTCGCTTCAAACAGACTATGCCAATTCCTGCCTTCTTAGTCACTCATCAAAGCATCCCACTGTCAGTGTTGCAAGGGTGGGTGAAATCAAAAGGGAAGGAGAACACCACTCTTTCATCTAGCTCAGCATACCATGGTCATACTGAGTCTGAGAGTATATCCAGTGATTCAGAAGACAGCTCCACCTCATCTGAGTCGAGCTTATCAGAGCCCCCTCGCAAGACCAAATATTGTCGAGGTATGGCAACATGAGGGAGTTGAACTGGCAGAGCTGAATATTATCACAACAACATAATGAAATTTCAACACTGGCAGGAGTGGAACTGCAGAGCAGCTTCCTAGCCAACAGTGACCAAGTTACCACTATAACCAACAACAGAATTAAATCATGACATTGGCAAGAATTGAACAGCAGAGCAACTTCCTGGCCAAAATCCCACACAGTATCGCAATAGGGACCAGGTTACCACTACACTATCCAGCTGATAATAATGAAGGTGGTAACAGGTATATGCTATCCCAAAAGCACCAAAACTCCGAAAATGCCATAATCAAAATTTTCACCACTGCTGCCCACTGCACTTTCCAACCACCACCATGGCCCCACAACCCACAGATCAGACTCATCTGAGGCAATGTAAGTAATATATTACTGCCACTGTCTAGACTAATATATTGGTGGTGCATAGACTTTGAGCATCTTGCTGGAAATTCAACTGTTATGCATGCACTTCAGATAGGAGCAGATGTTGGGGAGGATCTTCTTGCTTTGGAGATAAACCAGGCCTTGCAAATTCTGTGAGCATGTTTCTAATGCAGTATCTATGTTAGATCTAACTATTTATGTGTGCAGGTCAGCCATCTGAAGTCCCTAACCACCAAGAATGCTGGATTGGTGCCAGGATCTCTCCACCAAGCTTTAGAGGTATATTTCCTCCAGTGCCACAGGAGGAAGAATGCAGCTCGCTCTGAGAAAAGGACTATTGTGAGTTTTATTCCTGCTTATCACTGGCTTAGTCTAAAACTGTACTTCATAGGCAAGGGTCCTGGGCCTTCATGCCACCCCACTATCGGCCAAGTCCCTTGCAGACACTGGTACAGTCAGGATGGTCACTCGTGACCATTCTGCTAAAACCAGCTATAAACGGGGTACACTTTTAGTGGACCGTGGCAATGAGGATCTGGTTGGTAGTGGGGATACTGCCCTTTCTGTTCCTGTGGATGATTTGTGGTATGTGATCGAACCAGATGAAAGCATCATTTTTGTCGATTCCAAGGATATGAATAATCTTTCTGTCTCCTACATGTGGTTAATTGGGTGTATAGGATCTGTTACACTCGCTGTACTCCATGGCAAGTGTGGCCAGCGTCCTGACCTGTTGACTTATGTCAATAGTATCATCGACGAGGCTGTCAATGACCGCAAGGGGACCAGGGTGAGTTTTTCCTCCTTTCAGTTTGATATACATATTTCTGATGGGCTGGATAGCCTACCTGTTACGACGTGTGTCGCGTGCGGACTGGGATGATCTAACAGCGACGATCACAACGGTGATATCTCGTGCTGAGAGTCCAAGGTCGGCTCCTACAGAAGAGCAGGAGTTGCGTACGTTCACGGAGGTGAACGATGATAGCGAGTTACAGGCAGAAGGGGTCTCAAGTCCTTCTGAAGGTACGGATCTGATGTCGAGCAGGTAGCTTTAGCAGGACAAAGGTTTCAATGGTAAACCCAGTAGGATTAAAGTAAGGAACATCTACTTTAATCTGTCGACCTTATATAAGGCTACTCTATCGTATCTAAGCTCAGCTTGAAGCTGGGTTCTAAGTGCTTATCTATCGAGTCAGAGATACCATGCATGAGGCAGGTCTTCTATCTATGATAAGGACCGCGAGGCGTCCTTCTATCAGTACATGAGGCAACACGAGGCTTGCCTTCTATCTTGATAACATATATAGGTCTTCTAGACCTATGTCGTCATATCATGTAAGCGATCCAGATCGCTTACCTAATCCGGCATCTTCCGGATTCATCTTCTATTCGTCATCTATCATCAAGGCCTAAAGGCCCGGGTATCGTGTCGTTGCCGTGCAAGGTGGCAGAGGGCTGGTCGAGTAGCTGGGGGCTCTCGTAGTGACTGTAACATTACCCCATTACTACGCACAAAGTCACCGACTTTGATTTCTAAACATCTTCTTCCATCGTAGCAGTAGGTGGTGCGGGAATTGCTGACGTGGAGACGGAAGGTACTGAGGGAGTTTCGGGGGCAGGGGAAAGTTCAGTGGGATGCTGAAGTTCTAGATCCGCGAGCGCCTTGTGGTTGTGCTCCCAATCTAAGAGAGCTTCGAAAAACTTCTCTTCATCGCTAAACTCTTGGAGTACGATGCGTCCATTGAGTCGCGGGCAGTGGACCGACAGATGGTCAGGTCCTAGTTCATCGCAGATGCAACAAACATAATCTGGACATCTTCTGTACTGATGTCCGTATCCTCCGCAGCGCTTGCAGAGCGTTCTACGGGTACGATCTATGGTAGCCGCCTTTCTTCTCAGCGGGCGTACCGGGCGGGGTTCTTCTATAACGGGCTTCACTTCAACTTTCTTTATCGCGAGGTCAGTGATGTCGGAGAAGTCGAGGGGGAGTAAGTGAAGTGCGAAGTTTCTGATCCGCCGTTGCAGATGAAGTACAGCAAGTTTCCGAGTTGCTTCATCTAGGTCAACACGATTGGCTACATCTTCCAGCAGCTTCGTGGTTCGTATAATGCAGACGGTGAGGGATGTACACGCTGCAGTTCTGGCGTCTTGATCACCAAGGATTTCGTCGATCGCTTGGGAGTACGCGGGGGTCAGGATAGCAGCTTCATTGAACGCGCTGTTTTCCGTCATTCTGAGGACTAATCCATAGTCTGAGTCCTTCAGTGCCATCTTGATAGAGGCGTTGTCGATAGAGTTCGTCATGATGATGATGGAGGTTCGTTGGGAGAGATGTTCGAGGATCGAGAGGGTTTATAACCTTCTTCCAGATCAATCCAAGCTCCGTTTCAATCTAAACTTGTTATCGTTATCGATATCTCTTATCGTCTTATCTAGCCATGAGGCTAACTCGTGTTCGAGATTCTTCTTCGCTATCAGAGGGAAAGTGCCGTGATAGGTACTATCATCCTTTATCTTTGTTGAAAGATCAGGTCGTCATCAGAGGGTGGTCGTCATTGCCATGATGGGTTCTAGAGGGTTCCAAGGGCTTGCAGGAGTTTCCATGGAGTTCGTCTCGTGATAGTTTTAGCCTCGTTCCGGAGGTCTAGTCTTCTTATCTTCTATAGATCCATTTCTGGGTTCTTTATTAGATGTCGAAGGTGGGGATCCGAGCGTGGGTGCCAAGGCTTTGTAGGAGTTTCTTGGGGTCGTCCAGCGGGGAGATCGTCTTCTATTACCCTTTGTTTATATCTGGTCTTTACTCAGGTGGTCGAAGTGCAGTGATGTGAGGGGTCCCGAAGCTTGCAGGAGTTTTCCGGGGTTCGTCCTTTCATCGTTTAGTTTCAAGTCATTTCGGACAATCGTAGTTTAGAGTCTTTCCGGACTATATCTAGTTTAGGGTCATTCCGGACCAATGTAGAAATTGGTCGAGTTCGGGATTAATTGATCAGTGTTCAGGGTGGAGTAGGCGTGAAAAATAAGTAAAAGGAGGATTTCACCCCCTTACTAAGCCATTAGTCACCGACTAATCATATCCAATCAGAAGTCTAGGCCAGGGAGTGGGCCGTCGTCTTCGAAGTCGTTTCCTTCCATATCTACCATTCGCAGATCATGCGAAGAGGGTGCGTTATCGTCTTCATCCTCGTCATCCTCGGAGTTTTTCATGTCAATAAATCTGACAAAACTCGGCCCGGCGTCTTCTTCTTCCTGTTTTATTTCATTCTGACGATATGCTTCATGGACTGAAGCGATTCGTTCGATGAAAATATCCTGGGCTTCTTGTAACACAGGAGGGAGTTCGGTAGCTGAAGATAGCGTTACTGCTTCTTCGGGGTTGTGCGCGGGTGTCATGGAGAGGTTGAGGGAGTTCGGTGGTTCATCGGCGGTTAAATACGCCGGTTCGGTGTCTTCCTCCATTGCGGACTCAGGACTTTCATAGAATCTGAGTTTCTTGGCGGTGGGAGGATCTTCGATTCGGACTGCTCGTCCTTTTCCGAGAACGGATATCGGTTCTCCAGAAAATTCGAATCTCTGAGTTTTTTCTGGTTCAGGGGCCAGTCTGGGCGCCTTGGATACAGGCGGTTCTTCGTTCATCATTGCACGTCCCTTCCCAAGGACTTGTGCGGGCTCTGCCGAGAATTCATATCGGGCAGGTGCGGGATCTTCTTCAATCTTCATCGGCTGAACAGCCGGTACAATCTTCTTCGTTCGTGGCGGTTCGGGATAAATGTGATCAGATATCAGCGCCGGTCTGGAAGTCTTCTTCTGAGTTGTCTCCGGATCAGTGGCCGGTCGTTTCTGTTCATATCTTCTTGCTGCAAGGTCTATTCTTGGCAGCGAATCTTTCTTCGTCACAGTTTTCGTGGGCTGTGGTGCGGTTTCTGAAGGTTCGACGGGGTTTCCGTCCTGCGGCTCTTCGTGGGCCGGTGCAATTCGTGTCGTCTGGGCTAGTGGTACTGTGCCCGAGGAGAAGGTGCGGGGAGTAGTCGGGGATACCGATCTTTTTCTCTTCAATGCCACCTTCTTTTCTTCTTTCAGGAAGAGGGGCGTTTTGCCGTTCTTCTTCCGATCAGAATCTATTTCTTTCTGCTTCTTTCGGGAATCTGCGGTACTTCTAAGAGTTACCGCGCCGGTCTTCCAGTTGATGGCGGGGTTCTGGCTTGTGAGCCAAGGTCGTCCCAGCAGGAACTTGTCTTTCGGACCAAGTTCGGCTAGGTAAAACCTTTCGGTCATTACCCTTTCGTCTATCTGAAATGTGAGGTTGCAAAACTTCTCTATCGGCTTCGTTCCGAAGCAGGATCCGTCAGCGTTCGAGAGTTTCATTGGGCTCTCTAGCTGGTGCGTTGAGATGCGGTGTTGCGTGATTATGTCCTGGTTGACAAAGGACTCACATGCCCCAGAATCTATGATCATAGATGTCGCGATGGGGTTGCTTCTCGTTCTGGAGATCAGGGTGGCGTTCACCCGTATGTCTTCCTTAGCCCCGGCTTTCTTGATAGCGCGCAGGGGTTCTTCTTCGATCATCTTTCTCCGTGAGGTTCGGGTCCATTGCGGACAGCTCGCGGCTTTGTGTCCGATGACGTGGCACACAAAACATTTCTTTTCTCGCAAACAAAGGCGAGTCTCCTTCCCGGTCAGATGCGAGGCGGCGAAGGTGTTTCTGGTAGTTGCCATATTGGAGATGGTTTCTACGATCTTCGTGGTATCCTTTTCTTGGAGCTTTCCACAGTGACGGCGGTTCTTATATTCTTGCGACTGGTCAGGCCGGTACGATCAGGGTTCTAAATCAGGGATATGAAAATCCTTTCTAGGTTCGGGGTTCTACGAGTGTCGGTAGCGTTGACAACAAGTGCGATCAGTTATCTTGTAGCCTGTGATGGAGGCGTACAGTAAAGGGACTTTAATCCTTTGTTACGACGTGTGTCGCGTGCGGACTGGGATGATCTAACAGCGACGATCACAACGGTGATATCTCGTGCTGAGAGTCCAAGGTCGGCTCCTACAGAAGAGCAGGAGTTGCGTACGTTCACGGAGGTGAACGATGATAGCGAGTTACAGGCAGAAGGGGTCTCAAGTCCTTCTGAAGGTACGGATCTGATGTCGAGCAGGTAGCTTTAGCAGGACAAAGGTTTCAATGGTAAACCCAGTAGGATTAAAGTAAGGAACATCTACTTTAATCTGTCGACCTTATATAAGGCTACTCTATCGTATCTAAGCTCAGCTTGAAGCTGGGTTCTAAGTGCTTATCTATCGAGTCAGAGATACCATGCATGAGGCAGGTCTTCTATCTATGATAAGGACCGCGAGGCGTCCTTCTATCAGTACATGAGGCAACACGAGGCTTGCCTTCTATCTTGATAACATATATAGGTCTTCTAGACCTATGTCGTCATATCATGTAAGCGATCCAGATCGCTTACCTAATCCGGCATCTTCCGGATTCATCTTCTATTCGTCATCTATCATCAAGGCCTAAAGGCCCGGGTATCGTGTCGTTGCCGTGCAAGGTGGCAGAGGGCTGGTCGAGTAGCTGGGGGCTCTCGTAGTGACTGTAACACTACCCATGGGGGGGAGCTGGTTCAGTTTGGCTGGAACAGTGGAACGCCAGTCCTCGTCATGCACGTGTCTTTGGTCTGGTGAACAACCTTACCAATAAGAAGAAGCTGTCCATGACTACGAGGCAGCAGAAGGACTCCCATGCTTTAGGAATTCTGGCTTTGAGCTGGAACTTGCTCATAGCTAGTCTCCCTGCTGAGGTCAGTACATCATGTATCGAGGCAATTGGTGAGGCAGGCCTGCCTGCCATGACAGTCAAAGGCAATGACTTGGGTGAGTGTCTCACATATGTATAATCTTCATTACTGGTAACTTACATATGATACCTAGACTTTGGGTATACCCTAGACTTACCTGGTGGTCCTCTCTGCTTTTCGACAGCTGAGTGGGCTCCCTCTGAGGCATATATGTCACAGAATTATGAGTCGTAAGTGGATTGCATCTAATTAGTAATGCCACTTTTTGATGTCACATCTACTAGCCCCATTCACACAGACCAACTCTATGCCCCTTATGCAATGAACTGGGTTACTCTTCATGCTATCATGGATCCAGAGCAATGCCAGCTTCATGGTGGCCGTAGTTCTGGTGGAAATTATGTGGATGTCTCCCTCAAGGTAGTGGTGAAATGTGCCACTGACACAGTCATGGTATTTTTGTCTCGTTTGCAGCTCCACACTTTAATTTTGCTGACAACTGGTGCCACAGAGTATGCAACCCTGTTTCCAGCATGGTACAACCCTTGCTCGAGATGGTGTCTGCAGACAAGGAACTGCCATCAATTTTTCGAGGCACATCAAGCAAGCCTTCGATGAGGCAATTGCAATTGAAGGTGATGTCAAGGCAATGGTTACTCGACTTGTAGAGGAAGAAGAGTCAAATTATGGATCGTATTCAGGTAGTCATCCAGTAGTATACATACTAGTCTACAATTGTCACTCAAGTTTGCCTTCAATAAAGTACTTTTCTGAATTTTTCATACTTTTTTTTTCGGCATGAGTCTTTTGTTTTCGGGGCGACATGATATAATTTCAGGGCGACACATGTTGCAGTTTTCGGGGCGACACACAATAGTTTTCGGGGCGACACAATTTCCTTTTTCGGGGTGTCACACAAATTCAATTTCGGGGGGGCACACTTTTTATTTCGGGGGGGCACAATAATATTTGTGCAGATTCAGCAGCATAGGAGTCAACTTCAAGCCTGGCAGCAACAAAGGAACCCCAGGCAACACCAGAAACGAAACAAGAAAATAATGAAGAATCAGTCATGCAAGATCCTGGTACGTCTGTCGCAAGTTCAAGACCATGTAATTTATGTTTAAAGTTTTGCAGGTTTGCGCCAGCTGATTATCAGGAGAATTCGGAACGGTGGCGATGGGCCCGAAGTTGAGGTATTTTCGAACGTCACAGAAGATGATTATGTATATGTTTTGGATGCTATCGGATGTGACGATAAACTAATTCGCAAGTGTGTGTTTTTTTCTTCCTTTTCCAAATTTGAACTGATTTTGTGTTTTGCTTCAGACCGTCATACATCCCCAGCCTCCACCAAATTGTCGCCACCCTACCATGCCCAATTCACGAGTCGATCCTTGTGCCTTTGCGCACTGCGATGGGGATCATCGTCGAGTCTCTCGCCATCCCTGACGACTTCGAGGTCTCCTTACCCATCCATATGGGGCGTATGGTAGACGCGCCCGCTACCGCAGAACTTCCTCCTCAGATGAGACTCAGGGTTATCACCTCGGAGTACCGGACCTGGTGTTAATGTTCCAGACCCGTGATGCCGACATCCGTCCCTACTGGCCATTCGAGGTGTCCGTCTCCCAAACTGCTGAAGGCGCCGTCACGAAGTTGCAGAAGTTTGGCAATCAGAATGAGCACGTTTTGGCCGCCACTCACATCAACATCGCTGAATCCCGGATGCACGCTTCACCCACGTATGAATGGGGTGTCGAGAAGGAGTTGGATCGGAGGGGAGTTCAGATGGGGGAGTTGACGCGGTCGGAAGATGGCGCATTAGCGTCGCACTCTCATACATGGTACCATCCTGTGACGGTCACCATCACCACTTGGATCCGTCCTCCTAACAGGCGATTGAACCTCAACTCTCGACATCATGCTTACTATGCGAGTGCCGTACGTGTTCCTTGGATTTTTCTAATACTAACGCTAAGCATTCGCACTATGAGGTACTTTACCCCAACCAGAGCGAGCAGGCCCTCGCCAAAGTTCAAAACATGTTCCAACGCACGCTGGAGAGAGTGCGCGACACAGTTGTTGACCACCTAGAGACTGAGCACGCAGATGACGATACGCTCCTGTAAGCACTGCTATTTTACTGATGATTGTAAATTCATCAATTCGATTGTTTCCAGCGACTCACTCCAAGCCATGAGGGACTGGTCTCCACCAAGGGAGCTGCTCGATTGGAACAAGTGCAGCAAGGAACTGCGGGCAGCGATGAAGCAGACCGGATTCAATCGGTACCGCTCATGGCACCGCAGCTTCCTCAAGCGTGTAGCCGATGAGTCCGAGGTCTCGGGATCTAGATCTGGACCGAGCAAGAGGGGCAGGGTCTCATAGCGGCACGTCTCGTTCTGTGTCTCGCGCAAATTCTCGATGTCTTTCAAATCGCACTTCACATGTTTCCCCCCCAAATGTCGTTTCGGACGCACGTCTCAAGCATTGTGATTACACTGCATGTCGTGAGGTCGCCGCAGGGTTTGGCACGCCTTCGAATTTGGCTGAGTTCATACTGGACGAGTTGACGTCAGCGGATGTTTCTGCTATATCAGGCGGCGATCTTTGGTTTATTGCGCAGAGCATTTGTAGCGATTTAGACTGCACCCGCGTTCCAGACTCACATCTCAGGCGGAGGGCTATTAGTATTCTCCATATTTTTTGTAGCCGCGGTTTTTTGTGGGTACGAAGGATCAGTTGTTGGATCGGATTATCGATCATGTATCGAGGGGTAAACGCCTTAAAACGTATATAGATGTTCTTGTCAAGGGTAAGCGATCCCAGAATGAACGCGTTGCAATAGGGCTCAATATGCGTCGGATTGGCCTCGCATTGTGTCAGCGGAAAGAAAAGCACGCGTGATGATAGAGATCTTTCGTGAACAAACGTGTTCAGAGGCGTTGGCTACTTTTGTTTGTTTTGCATGTGCTGTCGCAAGGATAGGCAAAGCTATCTTTTGCTGATTTTGATATAACTTTGTTGAAACGTCCCGACATGCGGCGCTTGTTTGGTAAGGGGCGTGTTGCGTCCATCATTAGCTGCGCATCACCCCCACTGACACCTAGAGTACCACCACTGTATATAATCGACGCGGGAGACCACAACTGTCTTTTTACCATTGTACAGGTATTCATGAATGTACCGCGAAGCTCCTGGCCCGTCAGCTCAAGGTATGTAACTATTATCAATAAACTATTCCAGGCAAGCATACTACTACGGCACGACCTGAAAGTCCTGACACGACGCATAGGGTCTCAGTCCAGCACAAATCTCTCCTGGACACGATGAACAGCGCTTCTGGCAAGAGCTGCTGTCCCTGCAGCCCGACCGTACCTTTCTAACGCGTCTTCTATCTACACTTTCCAAAGACGAGTGCCTCATTTCACACAAGGTCTGTTATCCACATTGTCCAACATCCAACACTATGGTACTGACAGACAAATCCCCGCCAGTAGCTCGTGCTCCATGCCCTATTTACTGTCTGCACCGTATTTGCAGCCGACCGCAAGGGCAAAGAGACCCGCGGCCACGCCATCGACACGCTCTCTATCATGCTGCACACTGTGCTCGCCAAGAACCTAGCAGGTTGGGAGGTGATGGAGATCTTTGCTAATAGTGTGAACGAGGCCGACAGGGTGTTCATGGTATGGTCGATGCGACACCTTCATCTCCACTATAGACTCACGGTCGCGTATAGGAATTTGTTGGGATGATTGCAGATGTATTGGGCGATAATGATGCTTCTGGTACGCTCTGAGAACGATTGATGTGGACCTATTTGCTTGACCATGTTTTAGAGGCTCTTCGACACCAGGTTCTCCAACTAGCTGTTGTCTTCATGTGTAGCATCAGTCAGTTAAGCCCCGGCGCATACTTCCTGCGCCGAGACCTCTTTCCTTGCATCGCTAAGGTACATATTACTGTTCCATGGTTTTGTTATCGGTCCTGAGGGAATGACGTTGCTTGTGACAGGTCATCACATCCCCAGATACTCAACGCTTTACTTTTGAAGCGTCGCTCCTCCTCTCTATTCTAGCGAATTTTCACAAATCTGATGCAGCGAGGCTTAATCCATACCTCCAGCGCATACGTGATACGCAAGACACAGAACTCATGCGCAAGATTTGTTGGGCAGCAGGGTTTGCACTCGATGCTGCTGTCAAGTGCGCCTTTCCGGGCATTTACAGAAGATTCCTAGCTGACTCGGTGGTAGGGCATACCAAGAAATCTCGGACGATTCGATCCCCACATTTGCAAAGAGCGTCGGAGCCCTGTTCACCTCTCTCCTACCCGATCGTGCACTAGCAATGCAGCCACTCGACGTACCTCGAGACTTCCTTAAGACTCAGTACGTGAAACTATCAAGCTTTATGTCGCATTCCTCTTACTAAGAAAACAGACCCATCGAGGCGACTGTTTCACTCCTACCCGTTTTCGAGTTCCTTTTCTTCAATCCGCCTTTTGCGCAGGTGCTAGTGGATATGATACACAAACCATCTGATAACAAACAGAGCGCACCGGTACCCCCACTAGCATATAACATCCTCTCATTGTCATCCTATGTGTTGACTCATGCCTCGTCTTCGGCGTCACCCCGCACGTTGGCTTATGCAAACCTTGCATTGAACACACTTCTTGTGATGTCCGAGAATGCAGCTATAATGTCGGTCTTTTGTAAGCCTGCCTCCTCGAAGGAGGCAATCAGGCTGTGTCGGCAGGTCATTGCTTGTACACGTCCAATTTCACTACTAATACTGAAATGAATGCAGAGACTTCCACTCCTTCCAGTGCCATCGTCTACGCGTGCACCAATCTGCGCACTCCTAGATTGTTGTGTATTATGGCTACGCCATAATCTACATAAGCGGCTCGAGGTGTACACGTTCACGTGTGTTTCGTTTATTTCCTGACCTTTACCAAGACTGATTGTTCGCGGTGAGATAGTACGTGTATCTGGACGTGCCATCGCGTCATATGGTATCTACAGAAGGAAAGAATACGATTAGGCAAGTTGATTTAACCTAATTGCTTGCTCTTGATGTCTGACACGGCATTTTTGCTCAGAATACGACTGGCTTGAATTATGGAAGGCTGTTGTTGACTTACTTGGGTTTCTTTCCGGCAAGCTAGATAGTTTGGTGACCACTGGAGGCATCGAGCGTCTAGTCCAGGAGGTGTGAGATTTTCGATGTGACTTTGAAGTGAAATTGACCGTATTTGACAGACTATCCGGTTACTTGACCTTGCTTTGCGCAAAGCAGACCTAATTTTACCTACACCCACCGCCGTTCATGAGTTCATCGTAAGTTAGTTAAAAAAATTGAATATCCTAAATTCATAGGAGTCTTTCAGTATGAAGTCGTCCGCTCTTCCGCGGTGATTAGAAAGCAAACGCTACTTCTAGAATCACTAGGACAACCCACGTCCGTAGACCGTGGGGCGTCGTTGCGTTCTGACAGCGCATCCAACACCCTGTCCCGTATTCTTTCCACGGCCGCCTACTACGAGGGAAAACTCACTTCTGCTGGTACACGCAGCGCCAAGGACGCATTCCGGACTGTTTCAAAAGACATCGAGCAAAACGGCTTGCACAGTGCGCATAATGCGGACGACACAGACCCACCGTACGCCTGCCCTGCGTGTTCTTTCTCAACGAATGCTGACCCTAACAATTTAATGACAAGGAAACATGCGGAGGATGTCGTCAGTTTTATTCGTGTTGCCTGCACAGATGGCTTAGCGCTGATGTCGTGAGTGTAAGCTGATGAGTCTATTGGAAAATTGGCGGGACTCCGCTTCGGTTGTGACGGGAGATTCTAGGACTAGTGCTACTGAGACTGCTGTCAGTGACTCCGTCGGCTATAGATAGTCTATCTCGCTGAGCGCTTAGATAACTATGTGTAAAGGTTAAAAAGTTTTTTCGAGTAGCCATAAATGGGACAGAATGGTCCCCGAGCATCCTCGAAGGGATTCAAATAGAGGGCGGTGATCAATGAATAGCGCAGGTTGTTGGCCGTCTACCAACACGACATCTGCCTGCTAGTGAATCGATGGGATGCCTCTCACGAAAACCGCGAGCATCTCGTTTATCGGCCATTTATCAGCTTCCCAGAGGCCTATCGATAAGATTATCCTGCAGTGTTCAAACGCGTAATGATACTACTCGGTGAATGAAAATCTGGCTCGGTGAACAAGGTCACTGAGTGTCACCCATTCCTTTTCAATTCCGTACTCACCCGTCCACCTCTTCCTCTCATACAGCCATCATCTGGCCTATCATGGCGGCCCTGCGTATCGTGATTGCCTCGTCTCGTCTCAGGCAATCTGCAGCTCGTTCTATATATCAGTCTCTTTCAGTTCGCGGTCTCGCCACTGCAAAGTCTCCAGCAAATCTCTTCGAGTCACTGGACACTTTTACTGATAGGCATGTTGGACCAGACGACAATGAGACCGAGTTTATGCTCTCAAAGCTTGGCTTTGACTCCATGGAGTCCTTTCTAGCTGCGACCGTGCCGCACAACATCCGTATTGCTAGCTCCACCGTCAGCAATGCGTCCATCCCAGCATTGAGCGAGACAGAGCTTCATGCAAATGCAAAAAGGCTAGGTCGGAAGAACGAGCAGTTCAAAAGCTTCATCGGCATGGGGTACCACAACGCCGTCGTGCCCCCTGTGATTTTGCGGAATGTGTGTCACACGCTCTTAGCTATCCCAGCATTGTGTTGATCGTGTCCATAGGTATTCGAGAACCCTGCGTGGTACACCCCTTACACCCCGTACCAGCCCGAGATTGCCCAGGGTTCGTTGTCATTTTTTCCATTAGTTTTTCTTCTAACGGTGCCACCAGGTCGTCTCGAGTCATTGGTGAACTTCCAAACGATGATCATGTCCCTCACATCGATGCACGTCTCAAACGCATCCCTCCTCGATGAAGCAACTGCTGCCGCAGAAGCCATGGTCATGGCATACGTGCAGTCCAACCAGAAGAAGAAGACATTTTTCGTCGACAAGGCGGTCCTTCCACAAACCATCTCCGTTCTCAAGACGCGTGCTAAAGGTTTTGGCATAAATCTCGTCATCGGTGACGCGGGTGACGTGCTCAAATCCGACGCGTTACGTGCTGATCTGGCTGGCGTCCTTGTTCAATATCCTGACGTGAATGGTTTCGTCACCGACTACAGTGATTTTACGAAGCAGGTGCATGAAGCAGGCGCACTTGTCATCGTCGCGACAGACCTTCTTGCTTTGACACTTCTTCGGCCCCCGGGTGAATGGGGTGCTGATATCGTTCTTGGCAACTCTGCCCGATTTGGGGTTCCTGCCGGTTATGGAGGTCCTCATGGTGCTTTTTTTGCTGTCACAGAGAAGCTCAAGCGGAAAATGCCTGGACGTCTTATTGGCCGGAGCAAAGATACTATGGGTAACCCCGCATATAGGCTGGCATTGCAGAGTAGGTCCTCCCTACTATCTTTAATTTCGTGTTCTCATCAATCACATGCAGCCCGGGAGCAACACATTCGCCGTGAAAAGGCCACTAGCAACATTTGCACCTCGCAAGCCCTTCTTGCCAACATGGCCGCTATGTACGCAATATACCATGGCCCCATAGGACTCGAGCGTATTGCAAAGAAAGTGCACTTCCTCACACAGATCCTCAAGCTTGCCGTCGAGCGTCTCGGATTCCGCGTAATCAATGCGTCTTCCTACTTTGACACGCTCACCATTGATGTCTCAAAGCACTGCGCGAATGCTGAAGTTATGCATGCCGCTGCTGCGTTGCAGGGCCTCAACCTCCGAAGAGTGGACAAGAATACTGTTGGTGTCACTCTGGACGAGTCAGTAGGCAAAGAGGACCTCCTGTCCCTCATACGCGCCTTCCACATCGCCGCCTCGCAACCAGAGCCCAATCTCGCTGACCTGCCCGCTCCAAAAGAACTTGCATTCCCTCATCAGCTCGTGCGCGAGTCCGAGTTCCTCTCGCACCCCGTTTTCAACAAACATCACAGCGAGACTGAGATGCTCCGGTACATATTCCACCTTGCCAGCAAGGACCTTGGTCTTGTCCATGCAATGATCCCCCTTGGCAGCTGCACGATGAAGCTTAACAGCACGAGCAGCATGATCCCACTTACATGGCCCGAGTTTGGTGGTATCCATCCGTTTGCGCCACACGAGCAGGTTGAAGGATACAGGAAGATCATCAAGGTTTGTGATGTTGAGTTGTGGTAGGACAAAGACACTAATTATTATTGATAGGAACTGGAAGACGACCTTTGCAAGATTACTGGCTTTTCAGCTTGCTCTGTGCAACCAAATTCGGGTGCTGCGGGTGAATATGCTGGGTTAACTGTCCTCCGGGCATACCATGAATCCCGCGGGGAGGGACACCGTGACGTGTGCTTAATACCCCTTAGTGCTCACGGCACGAATCCTGCGGTGTGTCTCGTATCGTTCTATGTCCAGCAGTAATGAACTGATGGAGGTGATAGTCGGCTGTGATGGCGGGCTTGAAGGTTGTTCCGGTCAAGACACATGCAGATGGGAATCTGGACCTGGAAGACTTGAAGGCAAAGGCCGAGAAACACAAAGATAATCTCGCGGTCTTCATGGTGAGTTTTGTTCATATTAATTGGGATTAGAATTCATTCCAGGGCAGATTACATACCCCTCGACGTTCGGTGTCTTTGAAGATGGTATTACCGAAGTATGTATCCTTATCTTTCATACTGATCTGGAGTACTCAATCATACGTCACAGGCCTGCAAGATCATTCATGACTGTGGTGGACAAGTTTACTTGGATGGTGCAAATCTCAACGCACAGGTTGGACTGACGAACCCTGCGGTCTGCGGAGGCGATGTTTGCCATCTCAACCTGCACAAGACCTTTGCTATGTGAGTGCGCAATGACTCGCATTAATAAATGCTCATACGTCTTTCAGTCCCCATGGAGGTGGAGGACCTGGTGTTGGGCCCATCTGTGTCGCCGAACACCTCGCACCCTTCCTTCCCTCGCATCCCCTGGTCAAGACTGGCGGTGATGCCGCCATCGATGCCATCTCAGCTGCTCCCTTCGGCAGTGCCTCTATACTCCTCATTTCATGGGCTTATATCAAGATGCTCGGCGGCAACGGCCTTTCGGAGTCCACGAACATCGCGCTTCTTAATGCCAACTACATGGCGCATCGACTTGCAGGATACTACAGTCTTCGGTTCAAGAATAAGAATGGCCAAGTTGCTCATGAGCTGCTCATCGACCTGGCTGAGTTTGATAAGACTGCAGGGTTGAAGGTGACGGATTTCGCGAAACGGTTGCAGGTATGTATTCTTAGAATTGGGTGTTGTTGCTGTTGTTGACCGGCGCATCTAGGATTACGGCTTCCACCCTCCCACGTGCTCATGGCCTATCTCCACCTGTATGCTGATCGAGCCTACCGAGTCTGAAACGCTCGAAGAGATCGATAGATTCTGCGATGCTATGATTCAGATCAGGAAGGAAGCGGAAGATATCATCACTGGCAAACAACCCAAGGATAACAATCTGCTCAAGAACGCGCCGCATCCGCTTTCTCTCATGGTTGCGTCTGACAAGGAATGGAACCGGTCGGTGATTTTCAAGGTTGTGTTTCGTAATATGGCTGAAGTAGCCCTTGTAGTTCTTATACGCGCGAAGAGGCTGCATATCCCATGCCATGGCTCCGCGAGAAGAAGTTTTGGCCAACTGTTTCTCGTATAGACGATGGTGAGTTGTCTCTCGAGCGGTATTTGAGGCATTGGCTTATTTCCATCATCTAGCCTACGGCGACCTTAACCTTATTGTAAGCAAATGATTTTATAACTCTTCCAAGCTTACCGTTCCTGTTTTCAGTGTGACTGCCCGACAGTTGAGGAACTTGCATCTTAGTAAGCTAATTTTATCATATTACGACCATCTTTAGATGTGTTTTCTTGCTCGATTATTTTTCTACTCCTCTAGAACACACTTGTCACGCGTATTGCTCAACCACACGCTTTGTACACCTATACCATTATTATTGTAGTATTTACCATCACGAATAGATTTACGATGATCATTTTGAGTCTACTGTTGTCGTGCGCTCTTTGATGGAATAGCTATCGAGTTCGGTGGGTAACGTATGCCATAGCTGAGGGAGATACCGTTTGATGCGGTCCATCACCTCGTCTTGCTGGTTTGTCCGTGCAGCAAATGAAAGAAGTACCTTGATCGTGTGAACATCAGGCGCGATGTTCGGCTGATCTTTCCCCATCTCTAAACACACAACCTTGAGCGCATCATCAAGCTTCCCAACGCGACACATGCACTCTATCCACGTATTCCACGTCCGCAAGTTGAACTTGAACCCGAGCTTGGTCAACTTCAGACATACCTGTGCAGCCATGGGCCAGGCATTCGCAAACCCACATGCGTCGATGATAATGGCAACGCTCGCTTGATTGAAGCGCCCGGTGATAAAGAGCATTTCCCAAACGCGGTATGCCTCCGCGAACAGCCCAACGCGCTGATAGGTGTCCATCAATTGGTTCCAAAGTACTGTATCAGGCGTGAAGGAAGGGTCGAGCGTCAGGTGATCATGTGCCCTCCGCACAGCTGCTGCGAGGGCATCACGCTCCTCGGGCGGCAGTTCCCCTGAGAGTAAGGCGAGATGCCGGAGGAGGATAGTGTACACAGGAGCTGTGATCTCAACCCCTCTCGTCCGCATGTCCTTCACTACTTCAAAATAGTGCCACACGGACGGTAATCTTTCGTAGTCTCCGAACGAGAGCTGGGTCAGGGTATGAAGGATTGCTTGGTAGCCTTTGGCATCGAGGGGAGGCGCATTGGGACGTTTGCATATTCGTTTATAGGCCTTCAATGCGTCATCGAAGCTGGAAGCACACCGCATAACAACGATGGCCAGGGAAGAAACAGCCATTGGGCTGTTAAGTTCAATATTCCTGGCCTCCATGTCTTCAAGGAGGGAAAGCGCAATAGGAAAATACTTTTTGACGTTCTTGGAAGCGCCAAATGCGAGGAATAAGATATTGTAGAGGTTGGCATCTGGGCCCGAGGAATGCCGGCGCTCTGGAGGTTGGAGTTCTTGTTTTGAATGAGTGATAGGAGCAGCCTCAGAAAGGTCCTTGTAGAGTCCTAATGCTCGATCAATCGCAGCATCATCAAGAGTGGTGCAGAGGGCATTGACTATTGGGTGTACTAGGGGTGTACCAGGAGTAATCCCAGCAGACTTGGACTCCTCATAGATCGACAGAGCACCTGTCAGGTCGCCGATACGCACGGCATTACTTATCAAGATAGCCCAGTGAATTATGGATGCCTTCAAGTGCAGTTCGGCTTCCGCGTATCGAAGGTGCTCGAGGCGGTGTGTATGTCGGATGAGAAGTGTAAGGGTGTGCGAAGAGAATTTGAAACCGTCTTTCCGCAATGACTTGCACAAAGTTACGGCTGCAGCGATCCCCTTGTTCTCAGCCTCTTTCTCTATGCTCTCTGTCCACTCAATCATGTTGGGATCTGTCGTCCTCGATCTCTTGCTAAAACGTTTCCAATAATTGTCTTTCATCTCCTGAGCTCGATCCGTAAGACCAAGTTTGACAAAACCATCGTAGAGAAGTTTCGCGAAGTTCTCGTCATACGTCAATGAGGTATGTTCCATGATATCTAGAGCTTCGTGAATTTTCTTGATTGAAGCACCAGTGTCGAAGAGAGCGTTGAATAGAATCTCAAAAGTTTTGATGGTGGGACGACGTCCAGAACGATGCATCTTGGAGACGCTGTGCTGAAGTACCCCCACTAGGCCAGATTCAGCACACCACTCGAAGAACATATGCCATTGTAAAAGCGTAGGCGTTATATTTTTCGGCTTTTGAGGCATGTTCATGAGCCAGTTGAAAATCGTTTGAGGGTTGCCATTTGCGATCAGGCCACGGAGGACGACATTGTACACTTTCACCCCCAATTCGACACCGCAAAGTATGGGGAAGTCGACGAGTATTTTCATCATCATATCCAAATCATGGTGCCTACCCGACTCAGCTAGTAATGATAGCACGTCGTGGATCTCCTTCTCTTTGAGGGGTGGAGCCGTAGGTTTATCCTTCCTTTCCTCGCCCAACACGCGGAATAGGCCGTAAAACTGCTGGTGTAGAGCACCAACATTTGCCGTGGGGATACACCGCCGGATTTTGTCAACAATGGCATCGATATCTGGGATATAGGAAAGGGACGGGTCGTGTTTGACAGTCGAGAATCGTCTCTGGTCTCTCTTGACGCGAAAGACGGGTGCTGCACGACGTAAAGTAGATGGCCTCGAGACGGAACGGGTAAAAGGACCTGCGGGATATGCTAACCGGGCAACAGCGCGGCTAAGGGACATTCATGCGCGCTCAGATACCTGCGCTAATAGTTTTGCCTGTCAGATGAAATACGGACGGTCAGTTGTCTGATTCCACATGATTTCAGTCCAGCCGTACCAACTTAGTAGTTGCGGTAAAGTGTCGTGGGAAATATATTGGAAGACGTGGTCAAGCCTTCGAACACATTTCTCACTTACCAACTACCATGTCTGAAAAATTGAAGGAGTTCATTGATATTCCTCAGCAGTTCATTCGCGACGGCAACCAGGTCAGCATCGCTGGACTCTGAATTACGCATGAAGTTTGCTGACTTGTCCTGCTTGTCAGTTCCTTACACGTTGCACGAAGCCATCGCAAAAAGGTGCCTTTTGAGTTTCGTCTACATACACCATATGGTGCTGAAAGTACAATTACAGAGTTCATTCAGATCTGTAGGGCAGTCGCTGTTGGCTTTGCTGTTATGGGTTTCATTGGATACTTCGTAAAACTCATCCACATCCCAATGTGCGTCTTCCGCGTTGTTCCTCATGCTTCGCAAACTGATATCGTTTTTCTAGAAATAACATTCTTGTGTATGTACTACTATCTTTTAGGGTGCTCGTTTGTGCTCATGTTTGGACAGCGGAGGGGCATAACTTATTCATCTCGTTAATATGTGTTCCATTTTCGCGTGTCGTATACCTCCGGCTCGGTTGGACAGGCGCTCTGTATCGTATCTCCTTTCCTTCATCCACGCATTCCGTGCAGTCACTTGCTAAATGATAGGCTTTCATTGGACTATATATTTGTCCACAGAATGTTGCGATGCGATCCCCCATGATCCTATTTGGTAAGTCACTTTGCGTGTAACGCTCAATGACGAGGGTGTGCTTGAGACAACTACACGCGAGTCTCGTCTGCTATGGCTCAACTGAAGTGGCGTGCAGTAATGAATTTGAGGGAGCAGAACGAGCATTCGGTATCTCTGGTGCTGCTCCAGCCAGCTTCTGCGTACGCAGACAAGGGAGCCAAGCGTAGAGCATATCCTGTCGTGTCCGTTAGAACTCGTTCGTGCCAACTCGCTCTCGTACCTTTTGTAATCCAAACACGAGTGCTGAGGCCAAAGGGACTGTAGGCAGCAAAATCATTAATATTCCAAGTCCGCATCTCACAAATGAAGTTGAAAACTCCTCACGAGCTGCAGGGACCATATAATAAGTCCCAGCTATGGGCTGCTTGGTCAAAAATACAATGGCTGCCCTAGTTGGCCATGAGTACATCACAAATCTCGCACGTAATCTTCCACGCACATTAGAGCCGCCCAAGAATACAAGCAAAACAGGCCAACTCTGAAAATGAGTGCGGTTGAAGGTCGCCTAGGTGCTAGGAGCGGGAACGAATTCTTGATACGTTTCCATCTATGGTAATATTGGATGGCAATAGCAGCTATAAGAGAACACACGATCAGTTACTATCACCGCAAGTACTGTAACACCACGTTACCTTCAAAACATAATACCGATGCCATCATCGCGACACAGAACCCTGGAACTGCCAATGCTCTAGAAACTTCGGTAAACATCTCTTGAAAAACATGCGTATATCTACTCACAAGGAGTGCACATAAGACGTGCAGAAAAGACCATTAAACGGTTGTGCAGAGGCCTTGTGTAGTTTTGTTAACTGTAAATATTTCGTCAAATCGTAATTTCACGTGGTGAGGCTGGGCTACAGACAATCGATGCACCAATTGAAAACCCTGCGAACACGATATACGGCGGTGATATTATCTGAATCGGCTCAAAGTTAGCGCGATTTGAATTCATACAATCTTGCCGTGTACTCGCTAGGAACCTGCAAAGCCACCGAGGGAACTTCTCAGCAAAGTGGTGTTCAAAGTTTTGAATAGTTGTCCAGGTCTGTCGATTATACGCGTCAGACATTGGGGCAGAGAAAAACTACCGCAGGAACTTACATGGATAGTGACGCCGACAACCGCAACGGTGGCCCTGGCTGACAGTCAAACGTGCACCAAGCTTGGTAATGAGATGACAACTCACATTGGGGCAGCTCCGTATATCATCGCTGCTTGAACTGTGCACACTGTTTGGTAGCGAGGATGGACGTCTTCTCCTGTGTATAGACTGACATGTATAATGCTCGAATCATTTGATGGAGTTGTGAGGACTTACTAGAGACAGTGTATTATCGAGTAGCACACGCATGTCACGCACAGATTTATTAAGGTTGGATGCCAGCACAACTTCCTATGGAGTAGGGCAGTGGTGATGATGACCGGCAATAGAATATGTCCCCCAGTTATCAAGAAGAATAGGTAGAGAGGGATAAGATGCTTTAGGTTTGATGAAGGGACTTTGCAGAACTCTTAGCAGTGAAGACTCACCATCAAACTGACCACTTACGAGATACATATAAATCGACCATAATGTGGCGCGCACGGCCAGTGGATCAACAAGGGAAGGCTCCGTTAATGATTGATCCAGGTAGTATTTAGTGGAGGAACTGCGACTCGGACATCATGCCAGTGCAGCTGCTGAAGCGCTGGCGTCTTGCAGATCTGCCTGCTGTCGGGCCAAGTCCGAATTCTGTAATTCATTTACGTACGTTCTAACATTGCATCAAGAAATTCACAGAGCGCGGAAACGGGGTTGATGTTTCCAAACACGAGTAAATGCAGCCGATCGTCGAATGATATCCTGAGAGCACATGTTGATCGAAACAGGTTCATATTATAGGAACACGTCTACTCAGCCCCTATCGAGTCTCCACCAGCAATAAAGGAAACCGAGTAGAAACCTTGGCAAGCTCCACAGCCGACAAAAATGTAGTGTCTGCCCCAGGCACACCATAGGTCAGTAGTGTACTCATCTTATCTCCACCTTCCTTTGCAGGTTGCATGAGAGAAGTAGGCGGAAGAAGTGCTGAGAGTAACATTTGAGTCCTCATCAAGTACTCCTTGGCAACTTGTTCTGGATCGGGTTGTAGATGACCCCCTGAAGATTGAACCTATAAATCCCATTGTTAAGATATTGCATCGCAATAGTGACGGATACGTACTTCCGACTGCAGCGCAGCGATCAGTCTGTCAAGTGAAGATGTCTCGAGTACCTCAGAAGGCCAGACCAACGCAAGATATCGCAGGAAGTTTGCATCATTTAACATCTGTACATTCCGACCTGTATCGCCGTTCGGCATATCGCGGGTGAATTTGTCGATGAATAAGCTAAGGAGTGAGGACGCTATGCTGGTGAGTTGTGATGGATGGTGCGTGAGACCCAAGCTGTGCAAGGAAGTCGATAAAGCATGTAAGCTTTCCATCAGGGCTGGTGATGGCCCTGTAACAGGGTATATTGGATGGTGAGAGAAACGTCTTGCAAGGCAAACAAAGAACAGACCAGAAAGTGTTAAATGAAATTTTGCGTCGTCATATACTGAGATGGCAGAAGAAATAGTGTGCTCCCTCCACCGGTTGATGATTCGGTCGAATAGCAAACCTGTTTTGTCTCGAAATTCTAGACGACTCAGTTGTTAATAATCAGGTATGTATAGTTGGTGATATGATCAACATACGCAGTGCAACAACCTCGTCACAACCTATATTGTTAAGGAAAGGCGATGTCAATGATATTTCGACCGCCACTCGACTAAGGAAAATCATATTTCTCATCGCCGGACCGGTGTCTTTTTGTCTGGTGAGTTTGGAAGGCATTCGGGTGTGGTGCCGTCTTACCTGACTGGTTCATCAGCTCATCAGTAGTCGAAGCAAGAGCGTCGGCGATCATGGAACAAAAGGCCTTCGCCTCCGGGAGATATGCCTCAACTAGATTGTGGACTAACCTCCTGGATGCCGCAGCTTAATCAAAGATATTCGAATGGAACAAAGATATGAACACACTTGCTGCTCTGATCCAAACTAATACGGGTATAGTCTTTTTGCAATGAAGCTGCAGATTCCTCCAGAATGTTCAAAAAAGTCTGCAGGCGAGGTGTCCGACAACGAAGTTGTGATTGCAGCACTGTTCTATACGTTTGGTACGGGTGTTCGTACGCTGCAGGTCCACTTCCTGTCAGGGGTGGAGGCGGAACAGATTGGGGTACATATATGCTGTTTAGAGGAGAAAACTCTGATGGTCGAGTAGACCTTTTGAACCATGTTTTTACAAGGAGCACCAATATACATACCTTCAGCAACGACACCACTACTTGCAGTAAGTGTGGACAATGCCTTCAAGAACAGCTCTTTCGCCCTGTGGATGGTATCGGTCCATATGGCGCTGACTCGCTTTCTGACAGCTTCTTCAAATAGAGTATCGAGTGCCGTCTGCTCCGTTTTCACCAACCCCGATGTGAGTAGCCACTTTCGTAGGGAGGATCTAACATTCCAGACGCTCTTCACGCTGTCCAACTCCAGCAGCCAGCGGTCCAAAGAATCCCGAAGTATAGAGCAAGATTGGTCAAACCAAGTTCGTAATTTATCCTCCAGAAAGTGTCCTGGCACGGAAGACGAAGCAGAAGATAATTCGACATAAGGTTTGTATGACTTGATGTCAGCTGGAAGGAGGGTGAAGTATGACGACGATGGAAGTCCAGAAAGAATCGTTTGGGTACTCAAAGCCAGTTCAAAAGGAAGTGCAGTCTCTGAGTTAGATACGGCGAGCGATTCGGTATGCATCTGCTCCAGCACGCGAATTGCCAGGGCTGGCTGCGCGGGTCTCAGACTTTGGAATACGTTCCGAGCGCAATTTACGGTCCTTGATATTACCTCGACAAGAATTAGCAGTGAGGACTTCACTTCTTGAAGTCTGTCATTGGGAGAAGTGCATTTAGACTGCACCAGCTTGGAAGCCCCAAGAGGATGACCGTTTGTCTGTGTCATAGGAACGCTATTGGGGGTTGCAGTTGTCGTGATAATTGAGTTTTTTGAAACCGATGTATGCATAGTCCGCGTTCTCTGGGAGAGATATGTCGTCAGGGTGTCTGTCAAAGGTCTTGATTCGAGGATATGGAGAGTCAGAATAGTTGCACAGGTGTCCTGGGTTAAGGGCATGAGGAGGCAACGCGCACAACATAAAAAAGCGGACCTCGGGTGACTTTTCGTGTATCCTCAGAGACAGAGTGGCTCTATGGACAATCTGAGAGCGAAAATGAGATATGGTCTCCCACTGTCGCTGGATGAGTGGAAATTGCTCCTGAATGCAAAACGTCAAAAGATAGGAAAGGCATTTAGCGAGGAAATTACCATGATATTGACGCCTTGGTTCAACCAACTTTCCTCATCTTGGTCATCATCATGAGAAAGTGCCCGGTGCACAACGCGTGCCAGCATGAATAACCAGGTGGCATGAAAATACTTTTCTCTTTCAATAAGCCGCCATAGATGTTCTGGGGCATCAAGAAGCAACTTTATGTGGGCAGAGAGCACTTGCAATGTTTGCAAATGCGAATCTGAAATATGAATATGAAATAATGCAATGTCATTGAACAGACTAGTACTGACCTTCCTTGCCTACATTCGAATTACGATTTTCCCTGGATGGCTGTTGCCGAGACGCAATAGCATCTTTAGTTTCTTGGAATGCCTCTTCAACACGCCTTGCGGACTTTGACATGGAAATTATGGACGTTGAGGCTTGTAGGAGATCGCGATACCGTTCCCTGCGCTTTCAAAGTACAGTCAAAGCGCGAAGTGCATTCATGAAAGAGCACGCACCCGACCATAACACGAAGCTCTTCCTGCTTGGCTTCAGCGTCCGATCTGAAATATTGTCTTGAGCCAAGGAAGGCGACTGACACGGGTAGGTTTTGACGCACCTTAGCTGAACTTGTTTCGCCTTGACCTCAGGAATAGTACATTTCGCAAACAATTCATCTGGGTCTATGTCCGCAGTCTCATCCTGTACCTTGGTGGATTGCACGCTCGAAAAATGAGTGGATGGGACCGAACGAGGGAAGTTTGGTGCTGAAGGAGATGGCGCGAATGTTGAAGTCAAATGAGACAGTTCTGCAGGGTTCTTGATCGAACCAATCGATGCGACTGACACTGTAGACGGTCGCCGAGCCATACATACGAGACCGTTAATGTCCGACGATATTTGGACTATATGTAATGTTTCACCACGCTGGTAAACTCAGAAATAGACTATAGTCCGACGTGGTCAACAGACTTGGTATATTACGTAACCATGAGGGCTATTGCTATGTAGTTGGACAAATGAAAGTGAAGACGCGAGATGTGATTCATGGATATTAGCTGCTGATGATCATTAGGCCGTACACTATCTTCTCCCATCATCAGAGCCTGATGTGTCTGCCACATCCATCTCCACAGGGCTAGGTTTCCTTTCATTTTGTGCTGGGGCAGGCGCGGCAGGTGAGGGTCTCGAGGACTGAGCCTGAGATATTCCACTCTGGGTTGGTGAACCACTGGAGGAGTTAGCCAGTCGCTGGTCAAGTGCCTTCAGTGCAAGTGCCCTGGAAGTAAGTGTTAACAGGGTTGATCGGCTAAGGCAAGTGATTACTGACCGTCGCCTTTCAGCTTCGGCTCGAGCTCCACCTGGCATCTGACTATACCCTCCAGACTCAATGTCGTGAGGCACAGAAGTGGGAAGAAGGTGGAGACGTGTTGCAAGTTTGTATACTGTGTTTCCTAACAATGATAGCGGTGTGCTGGGGAAAAAATGGTATCTGCAGGGGGAAAAAAATAAATGAAATACTCACTGAAGGAATGGTGGGAACCAGCTTGTCAAAGCAAATGTTTCGCTCCGGTCTCCGTATGACACTACCCCTCCTAGAGAGTCGCCAACATTGCGCTTATAGAAGCGAAGGTATACCCATGACACAAACCAGCCAAACTGAATGAGAATATATGGGCTTTGGAAGCCAAGTAATGTCATTATGGTCGAAAAAGTCAAGTATGCCATAGGAAACCTCTACAAACGCCGTGGGTCAGATCGACAAGTGATGGTCGATTTTTTGTTTACCTTGACACGGGCCTTGATAAAGCCCAAAATTTGAACTTGGTGCTCGGGGATAACTTGAGTAAATGAAACAAGCAGGCTAATAAACAGTGCCATTTGACCGTGATACTCCATGCCATACCTGCATTGTCCAAAGATGTGAGGAGGCGCTGCCGTCGCAAGATGTGTGAGAAACTTACAAGAACAACTCGGCATTACGCGTCACAGCAAATTCAATCCAGTTGAAGGCGCACCCGATAATATTCGGTCCGGTCACGCATACGATGATAAACTTGAGAGTTTCGACCGTCCCCCACAGGCGCTCAAAATAAGCTAACGAAGCGGGAATGACAAGGAGTGAAATGATGAGCTATCAAAAATTGTTTAGTATCAATGCGTTTCGTCCTCAATCGTCAGTAAAACAATACTTGCCTCGATAATGCTTATTTCGACCAGGGCTGAGGTCGCAAAGGTCCAAGGAAAGAATAGGCTTGTTCCAGGTACCAATGTCAAGTAGGCAACCGGTGTAGGGCCTGTTGTCCATCTTATCCAAAGATACAATGTGGAGGAAGCTAAAGTAGCCGCAGTAAAAAAACGCGTCACTGGTGGTACAGATTTGATGTATTGCAGCGGTGTCGAAAGGATAGCCATTGCGACACGTCAAAACCAGGGAAAGTCGTTGGATATGGCTAATAGAGTTCCTAGTTAGAATCAAAGCTCACGAGGGTGTAGTGGAGACCGTCGCCGTCGTCGAGAGAATCCTCGAAATTGTTGCACTGAATGAGCCCAATGTCGCAAGGGCAAATTGTACCACCGGAGTGTCAGTTGGGAGTTTGCCGCTGTTTACTTGAAAGCACAATGACGTCCTTACGTCAGCAAGCCTTCCTTGCTTCACCTCGTCATCTGCTCAGGCAGCCCCCGATGGCGGACTACGATTTTCGCCCAGGAGGCTCACTCAAATTCAAGGGCGGTGTTGCTGAAGGGGGTATCGTGAAGAAGTATGTATCATTAGTTCTTACCATTCAGTGCACCTGACAGATAAGCAGAAAGAAGAAATCTAAACCCAAGCCAAACTCGCAATCTGATAGTGCGAAGGACCGCGAGCGTGAACGAGTGAAGGATTTATTATTCAAAGAGGAGGCAGAACTCGCTAGTGGTTCAGCGTCGGGTAGCAGTTCTCCTGCTCTACCAGGGAGTGATGCCAGAAAAACGGACGCAGAACGACGTTTTGAGGAAGCGCAAAGGCGCAGGGTGAGTTTTGTGCTCAAGATGAAAAGTCTTCGAATATTGATACCAAAGTCCAGCTCGAAAGTAAAGTAGCTCAATTGGCTCGTAAGACGCACAAGGATCGCGTCAACGAGCTTAACGCTAAACTTGAGTCACTGAGCGAGCACCACGACATTCCCAAGGTATGTACAATTTTATGGCGGTCCGTGCAAAGTCTCACGGCATTGGTTAGGTTGGTCCAGGATAATATTTACAAAAAATCGCGCTCAGCACTGCGTTCGGCTCAAAGACCGGTTTTGTGTGGGTCAGGCGGTGCAGAATTTCAGTGGCGACGACTATCTTCATATCATCATCATGTCCTTGTAGACTGCTTGAAATTTATGTATTTTACACGCGAAGTGCCTGGGTTTCCACTATTGCCACATATTTGTTAGGTTGGTTTGATATAAGTAGCCACGGATGATGCGGGTCATAAATCCGTGACCACTCTTGACCCTTTCCTTCACGTTCATTCTCTGCATCATGTCTGCTGCACCGCAGACAGAAAAGAAAGGGCACATCTGCCCTCCCTCAAATGCTAAACACCCCTCTGATAGATGGGAGTCACTATTTGTGTACTCTTTCATATGCAAGTTCACGAATCTGAGGTTGAAGTTGGAGGGATTGGAAACACCGATGGAGTGAGCACACACCCGCACTACATGCACCTCACTCGCGTCAACTAAACACGCGATTTCCCCCGATGACAGCTTTGAAAATGCCCTCTTGACGCATGGTCCAGATCCCATACTCCAAAAGATTTTACAGCAATTTATACTGAATCTGCGACCGCAGACGCGTAATTTGAGGTGAACATTGTTTGCCACAGCTCGTTCACACAAGGGGAATGTTTGACCGTCATTGTGTTTTGTCAGTATTGATCAGATCTCTGCCACTTTGAATGCTGTCCTTGCAGATGCATTCAAGGCATCGGAGCGAACTGTGTTTTGGGACGACGAACTTGGGGCGAATGTGAACCCTTTTGCCGATTTAGAAGGCGGGTTTTTCGCAGCCGATTGGGATCTCAAAGTTTGTCATTGTCTTGCCATGCTGTACGAATTACCCCTGAGCGCGCGTCACGCTACACTCCATACAGCTCCAAGTTCTTCGCCAACTCGTGGAATTGCAACTTACGCATTCCATTGACATAAAAGGCACTGTGGATCGCGCGTGGGGCGTGATGCAGAACAAGCACAAGAAGAAAGACCCTGAAACTGCCCCTCCTGAATCCAATGATTCCAGGAGCCAGCTGAATCTGCAACTTGTTCCATTAGGCCAGGATGCACAACGCAAGCGGTATTGGGTCGCAGATGGTTCGTGTGTCTTTCATTTCAAGCTCCTCGCCCTCTTTCCTATTTGTGTGTATTTGGTGCGAGGCCGCATTTTTTTGGCCCCCATGTTATCCGGCGTTAGCCGTCTGTAAGGATTTCCGGCTGACTCCCGTTTCTGATCTATCTTAGATTCCCCACGGATATACGTTTCAACTAACCCCTGGAAAATTACTGCGACGTTCCAGGCAGTCTCTTCAACGCGTGCAGAGTACATTTCTGTGATTGAGAAGTTGAAAGCATCTTCCCCGCAAGGCGATCGTAAAAACAAACTAGAACAAGCCCATACTGCACTCGTGAAAGCACTCGAAAGCCGGATAGACCTTGTTGATGCGGACTTAGCGGTGAGTGTTTGTTTGTCTTGATCAGTAGTAAAAAATAGATAGATCCCACTTTCACTTGAAACGCTACTTGAAACGCTTACTCTCCGATTGTTCAGCGCGTACAAAAGGCCCGCAAGAAGATAGAGCAGCGTCAGATACTCATGGCACAAGCTGAAATTCGACAGACTCGCACGCGACGACAAACTCGTCGACCCGACTACGTGTATCACGACGCCGATAGTGGGGAGGCAAGCGGTTGGCATTAAGACTGATTTCGATTGCTAACTTATTTTCATGATCAGGATGACGCCGATGAATATCAATTTGAGGAAGACAATGACTATGACGACGAGCCGTTTGCGGAGGATAACTTTGGTAGTTCCCGATCACACGGCCGTCGACAGCCGGCTGCTACTGCGCAGCGGAGATCTACCCGTGCCACAAAAACCAAGCGACCATCCCCTGATTTGTCTGCCTTTGAATGGAAAGGTGAAAGGAGGTCGGCTCGTCTCGGCCCTTCTGAAGAGACACCTGTGGAGCGTCCATCAAAACGTGCTCGAACGGAAGAAAGCACAATGAGTTCTACATCTGCAGGCTGGCCTCCAGTCTTGCCAGCCGAGATTTCAAACGGCGTCTCGAAGGCGAAAGCGAATGGCGCAGCAGCTGTCAAACCAACTGAGATTGCAGTTGAACAGCTTGGAGGGAAAAAGAAGAGCAAATTTTGGTTCTACGCCGTGGAACCGATCTCAGCGCCTTCTGACATCCCACCACCTGGTGGCAGTGGTTCAACCTCCCTGAACGGTTATGAATACAACGGAGATACCGGCCGCTCCGGCACCAGTAGTAACACTTCGCTCCCGACACATGGCAAAGGAGATGCGATGGACATCGACAGCCAGAGAGAGTTCGGCTTGTCACCAGTCCCCCTGGAAGGATTGCGGAGTGCATAATTTTCTATTCCGTTGCTTCATTCGACTCATGGCATTTATTCTTCTTTCCTCATCTTACTCGCACTCCATAATATTCCACATACCAGCAAAGCCTCATCCATTGATCAGCCTAGTCTAATCATTCATCTTATTACTCCCTCTGACCTATGTAGGGCTTGCAGTGATGATACAGCAATGAACTTTTTATCCTCCACGTTTGTACTATATATCTATTCATTTTTTCAAAAGAAGAACGCGTCGAGCTTATCACCTCATCTTGTATCCCCATGTGCAATTTATTAGTGATCGTGATACTGTTTTCACAAGTGTAACCAACCTTCCAACTGATAAGGACGCTGTGTTTTTTTCGAGGCCGATGTGCCCGAGCGCGTCCCCTGTTGCCAGTTGGTTCACCTGTCCTTTGCTTTTAGGTAATAATTATGCGGGTGCAATTATCGGACTAAGTCCAAAGTCACGCACGGTAAAAGCATCTCGGTGGACTTTGCTTCAACACCAGCGCCGTCGAATGATTGCACGTATCGCGGAGAATGCTCTCAAGAAGATATCGCGATCTGTACCAAAGTTTCGTGGTGACCTTCGTGCTCATGAACTTGGTTTGGTTCGCCGAACAGCATCAACTCTGGTGAGACCTCCGTCCTCGGACGATGCAGAACTGGTCTCTCTCTTCGACCAACCGCAGACAGGGCAGAAAACCTCACCGTTATTTGTCACAGGCATTTTTCAGCATCCTCAACTGACAACGCCAGCTGCGTTCAGTGCGCTCGCTGACTCGACCCTGGTACGCGCGCAACTCTTAACAGAACGAATATTGCGGGCCAGGGAATCTCGATCCGAGCTCTTCAAAGTGATCAAGAATCTGGACAGACTCAGCGATCTCCTGTGTGGTGTTATTGACCTGGCAGAGCTCTTGCGAAATGCACATCCTGATGCTCAGTGGGTGGATTGCGCTACAGAGAGCTACGAGAAGTTATGCGAATTCATGAATGTGCTGAATACTCATGTCGGGTTATATGAAGTGAGTCATGCACTTTTACGTATCTCAAGGTGTCACCTCCTTTGGCAGGTGCTGCACACTGTACTACACGACTCAGAAATTGTTAAGTCCCTCAGTCGGGAGGCACTTCAAACGGCGTTGATATTCTGGCATGATTTCGAAAAGTCTGCTATCAAACTTCCCCCGGAACAAAGGGAGAGATTTGTGTCTCTTTCGTCGGAGATTCTGTCTGTGGGTCACGAGTTTGTCACGGAAGCTTCTGCTCCGCGGCCGCCGGTGAAGATAAAGCCCTCCGAGCTCGAAGGTTTGAAAGACCAAGGGATGGGCGCTCGTCTTCAAAGACAAGCATTTTTCACGCAAAAGGACTTGCTGGTCTACCCGGGCTCTCACCAAGCCTACATGATTATGCGCGCGGCTCCTGATGAAGAACCGCGAAGAAAGGTGTACATGGCAGGTCACACGAGCAGTGCAGAGCAAATTGACCGCCTTGAGCGGCTGCTGAATGCGCGTGCTCAACTGAGTCGCCTTGTAGGCTGGAACAGCTATGCCGGCATGACCCTCAGCGACAAAATGGCGAAAACTCCAGGTGAGCGGTTACGTGTGGTAGCATGTCAGCCAATCCTGATGTCTTTGTTACGTAGAAAATGTCAATCAATTTTTGGGTACTTTCTTGGATCGGACCACGCTCGTTGCTAGCAAGGCATTGCATACATTGAGTTTACGGAAGCAAGCACATCTTAAATCGATGAACCTCCCTATTATCCAGGCGTGGGATAGAGATTATTATTGCCCACCCGAACCGCCAGCACCACCGGTTCCTCTCCCTCCTCTTTCACTCGGACGTGTATTTATGGGCCTTTCACGACTATTTCAACACCTCTATGGAATAACGCTACGACCCGTTGATGTCGCATCTAGCGAAGTATGGCACTCTGACGTACACAAACTAGAAGTGGTTGACGAAGATAGAGGCGTTGTTGGTTGGATATATGCTGATCTCTTCGCCCGTAGTGGGAAGTCGCGCGGAGCTGCACATTACACTGTTAGATGCTCCAGACGAACAGATGATGATGATGAAGCTGGCGACCTACGAATACCCGGAACAGATGAATTTGTCGGTCCCTCTATCAAATTCGAAGCAATTAAACGACACAGATTACGCGGCGGACATGGTGAGTTCCAGCTGCCACTGGTAGTCTTACTTTGCGATTTTGTACCGCCATCTGCTGCTCGGGGTCCTACCATTCTCGAATGGTATGAAGTTCAGACCTTGTTCCATGAAATGGGACATGCCATGCATTGTGAGAGTCCATTATTCTCGCTGAGATCATGACTATTGATGAAATCACAAATGTCAAGCCATGATCGGTCGAACAGAGTATCACAATGTTGCAGGGACGCGCTGTGCAACTGATTTTGTTGAGCTACCTTCCATCCTCATGGAGCACTTCCTCAATTCCCCAAAAGTTCTCTCCCTCTTCGACACCGACGGCTCTTCTATCGTCAACCAAACTGGAAATCACCACGAAGATCCTTGCCGGTACATCGATACCCATAACCACATCTTACTTTCCCTACTTGATCAGGTATACCATTCCCCCTCTGTCCTTGAGCCGGGCTTCGACTCGACGACTGCTCTCGCAAACTTGTACAACACGCGCGGTCTGATCCCGCATGCACCTGGGACGTCCTTCCAGACGCAATTCGGGCACCTCTTTGGGTACGGTGCAACGTATTACTCTTATCACTTCGATCGTGCTATTGCATCCCATGTGTGGCGGAAGATTTTTTCTGCTGACCCGCTCGATCGCGAGCTGGGAGACAAGTACAAGCAGGAGGTGCTGAAGTACGGTGGTGGGAGGGACCCGTGGCTGATGCTGAGTTCATTGCTTGATGCTCCTGAGTTAGAGGTCGGCGACGCGGAAGCGATGCGGGAAGTTGGTAGATGGCGGATGGAAGATGGAGTCGTTCCGGAAAGACATTAGGATCCATATCTATACTATCTACCGCCGCATTGGTCAACTCAGACTAGATCCTAGAGCGCGATTATCGCAGAAATTACGACAGATCTGTTTTGTTTGATTCCAGTACATACAGAGTGATGGTAAAGTGAAGGAAAACAAAATGTAACAACCGAACGACAAAGTAAATGCGGGTTGAGTGGCATACACGATGCATGATGTAGGGTATATTATGCAATGTGCGTTGTGCACGATGATGAGCAGGTATACGATATGAATGATAGATCTTGATGTGCGGCATAACGTATACAAGCAGCATGAGCGAAGCAAGTATTTCAATGATCATCTAACTCCAAAATGAGCAAATAAGGCAGCCAACAAGGAACAAGAACACTTACACAGACACTGCTAGATCCTGCTCCAGCATCCGCGTTTGTTCCCTTAGAAGCTGAAGTTGCTCCAGCTTCGCCAAGCGAGCACCATCAGCAGGTGAGGGATGCTCAGATTGTGGAGGGGCGTATAATGACAGGGGGAGCTGGAGCACAGAGAGATCGATCTCTGGTAATAGCTGTGAGAAGTCATCGCAAGATGATGGCAGCGAGAATTGATTAATGTCGGACAGGAAGGGTTGCTCGGAGTTCAAGAGATCCGTCCAGCTGAAAGGGTCCGAAGGAACAAGGTCAATGAGGTCTACTGGTGGCTGGAATGTGGTGTCTACTGCCGTAGAGGCTCCAACTGCCTCGCCAGAACAATTGGGACGCATTGCAGATATCGCGTTGAAGAAATTGAAATTGTCGAAATCACTTAGATCAGGCGCAGGAACGGGGGCGTGGCAAGGAACTTCCAAATTGGCTAATTTTGCCTCAAACGATGTCACTGTCAGACAAAAATCAGTAAGGAGTTGTAGAATATGATAGTGCAGGCGTACGATCTACTAGGGCAGACTGGGTGTACTTTTGTTGAAAGGGTTGTTGAATGGAATTTATTTGCGTGTCAGGGAACGTGTATCCGTTGAAGACTTCAATGTCAACGGGGGCAAACTGATCGAAACTGACGTTCTCGACCGGACCCGGAATCTCGAAGAAATTCGTCTGGAACCAGTCATCGATGTTTGACTCGAGTGGAAGAGATGCTCTCGGAAGAGGATCAGACACAGCATGAATGCGGGGTCCAACGTGGAGATCTCTCGGACGTTTGGGCACAGCGTGAGCATCAGCGTCTGATAGCCGTCGCTTTCGTAAAGACCCTGAAGATGGCTGAGATGCAATGATTTGGACCTCGTCATTGCTATCCAGTCCGCCGCTACTTGATGGGGGGGATGGCAAGGCGGCAGTATCCGCAAAGGGGGTCAGAACCTTCGCACTAGACCTAAAGAATGACAATCAGCGACAGTTGCTACAATGCATGATGATGGCTTACCGAAGGCGTTTCATCGGACGATCTGCACATGATGATTGCCTGTGATCAGTTGATTCAGGCGATACAGAGGCACGCCGCTTCCGACCAGCAAGAACGGGTGGGATGAAATCTTCTTCGTCTTCACTATCGTCTGTCCATGACTCCTCGAGAGCGGGAACGGGAGATGGAGAGCGCGAGTGCCTGGGAGATGGGTACGAAGCGAAAGCTGTGTGTGACTTCTGGGCCTGCCTATCAAGCGCTCTTTGGATTCTCCGCATCTCCTTCTCTTTCTCGCGTTGTTTCTTTTCCTCTTGTGCGCGCTCCTTCTTCTCGCGCTCCAGTCGAAATCTGTCCTCCTCTGTCATATCCTTAACCACTGCATCAAGGTCACCTGCGAGCGCGCTTTTGGTGAAAGTAGAGGCATAAAGATCTTGTGTAGCAGCCTTCATCTGCTGGAAGTCATGGAGGATGGCGGGTGCAAGAACACGGGAGGGGTCTTCTTTGACCAGAGCACGAGAAGCGGCATCAACAGTGTCAGCTCGGCAGTTGTTAAAGTGTTTGCGGCAGATCGTCGTCCAGCCGATGCGTCGGCGAGCACTGATGAACCAGGAAGCAACGGAGTTCACGGAACATCCAGAGCTGCCGGTAATGTTTGCTTTCGTATCAGAAGACGGGTAAGGGTTATGAATATTAGCAAGAAGCCATTTGTATGCTGGTTCGATAAACGGAGGTAGGGAAGACTCTGGTGAATGTCCATCGTGTGTCTGAGTCATGGGCATTGATGGAGGCGAAATAGTGACACGGTTAAGGTTATCCAGAATACTCCCCAAGCCATCCAGAAATTGGTTCGTTGATTCTTCATGTGTTTTGTGTATGACGGACAAGCAATTAGTGATGACACCAATCCTCGAAGCCACCGAGTTTGCAATTGATATAGTGTCGTCTGATAAGTCTCCCGCGGATAAACAACGAGAAAAATCTGTGTACAATGAATTCCAAGATGACTTGAATGACATCAAGGAATCGTCGCCGTGTAATATCGATTCAAGTAGATTTTCCTCCGCTTGTCGGAAGCGCTGTTGTATGTCCTTGTCCATCTAGAGCTCGAGGAGATGAGAGGAGATTGTGGACCAGGCTGTCACGGCGTACTATGTAGTATATGTATATGAATGTTTGTGTTTGGACACAATGCGGACCTTCAATTCGACTTACCAAAAACACATCATTTCATTGTCCTCAAGATATACTTCAACTTGATTGTGATCAGACTAAAGTCTCGCATCCAACTCTTCCGATGGCCGGAGCATCTTCTGTTGAGTCAATTTTAAAGCGAATCATAGAACGTGCTCAAGAATGCCTCGCTCATCCCTCTGTTCTGGCATCGTCATTCGCACCTCAATCATGCTCTCCACGACAACAACCTATTGCTAATATTTCCCTGCCTGACCCACCCTCAATATACTCTGCTCTCTTGGCTGCTGGTGCCTGTCACGACATTTCCTTGGCGATAAACCAGGCATACCAGACGCGAGCTGCTGAATTGCGAGCTTTTTGCCACTCGGCTGTAGCACGCGTGTACTCAAATCAAGCGCAATATCCATCCAAATTTCGCTATGTTCCTGGGCAAAAAGTCTTGCCCGTATTCACAGAGTTATATCTCAGACAGCTTTCTACTTGGAGACAAGAATGTATTGACTTATATCTTAAACATACATCAACAAGCGACAAAATACAAACTTCAAGCGGTGGACCGAAGTTCAATCACGTACGTCTAATGTCCTGCCTTCACCCATCCAGTCGTGTTCAATCCTTGTCCATCCCCTTGTAACAGGAATATGTTCCATTGCTCGAATACTTCTTCGCAGAGAACCCGTTTCCGACTCATGCCGACAAAGCCTTCCTTGCAAAGAAATCTGCAATGACGTACCGTCAAATTCATGTTTGGGTGCATATATTTATTGTCATACATCGGTTCTTGATGTTGATAATTCTAAGTTTCAAAACAGACGCAACAGAATGAAGAAAGAAGGTCAAGTGTTGAGAAAGAAAGCAGTAGTCGAGGGTGCCACTCTTCCTTTGGATAGCCTTTACCGGCGTATGGAGAAATTCATTGTACCGGAAGAAAAGAAGGTGCCCACATCGCCTCCCAGTCCTCTGCATTCCCTAATCAAGCAAAGAGATGAGATGGTAAGTATAGCATCCCCCTTTATCTTCATTTTGATTCACAAGGTATCATAGATGTCTATCGCAGACGACCGATCCAATGCGCTCGAACCTCTGGCACCTTTGCACGCATTTCCATACTCGTATCCCCCTTCATGCTCATATGATCCTTTCCCATCAAAGAATGGTGTGACGAATTTCGGTGCACCAAAGTGGTTCCGGCGCCCGATGACCACAGCTGTTCGATGTCCTACATTAGACATCGATGGTCTCGTAGACCGCTTCTCGAGGATAAACATTCTGGATGATTCTGGTTTGCGTTCACGCTGCAGTGTCGATTCATATGCAGCTGTAGCCGCCATTACAATTATACCCTTCCCTGCGCCTCTACCTGCCCTTATTCGAGGAACAGCTACGCGTATTGCACCCATCCGTGTTCCCCTACTTTCTGTTCCTGCAACAGCATCTCGCCGCCATGTCTTCAACACTCCCAGTCCCCAATCAAGACCTATCACATTGATGCCGGCCTCCGAGACCCCAGGAGGGCAGAAGGCCCGCCGCCGAAAAATGGCACCATTACCAAAACGCATCCCTCATAGAGACCCGGTTTCTCACCGGGGTGTCACGCCAGCCGTTTCAGAGGCATCTATCGCCTCACCTTCGCCATCATCTTGCTCGCGGTCGTCTTCATTCGGGTCTGAGAGTTCCTCACAGAGTCGCCTATTCTCAAGTGCGAGCTCCATGTCGAGCAGTTCCTCTGGCATCATAACGCCTCCTCCATTTCCCTCACCTTCAATACAGGCGTCTCCTCCAACGTCATTGTACAATTTTTCTTCAAATATGACAGATCTATTTGGCGATGCTTTGGAAAGCGTTCCCTCACCGGTGGAGGGACTTCAGCTCGACTTCAATTCAACTATATTCGGGCATGAGCACATTCCGAAGTCGTCGGCGTTCGACTTCTCTTTCGGTGCGCCCCCAGCAGCGGATCCTGTTCGCGCACCACCATGAACCACTTTGTGGTGGGAGTCCACGGAGTTCGTTCCAGCATGCTCCAGATAGAGCTTGCTTTCTACCTTTGGCACGTCAGGCCTTACTGCTGCGGAACATCCAGCGGTGACGAAGGGCTACGGCAGCGTCCTACTGCATCCCTTCATCTAATACCCTGAAGCGGATCTTATGCACTATGCATGTCCTATGTCTATGATAGCACATCTTGACCTGTGCTGTATTATATTGCTGTCTAATCACTGCTCTTGTTTTTAAGTGTTTTCCCTTTTGCACAATATCTTTGCTTTTGCTCATTCGATGTTACATAGTCATTGCTGTACTGATCTTTGTACCTGTTGTTGTATGCTGTAAACAATTGCAACTGAATGCTGAACGTATCCTAGACGTGCTCACTGGGCGGAACGAAGTTCTGGAACGTCAGTAACAACCTTGTGTTCTTTAAATTGGGTATTTGTCCAGAATTTACAAAACTTCACAGATGAGCACTACTAGGTTTTACAAAAGGAGATGGTCCACACGTAGGCGGACACCGTACCCAAGACACAAAAATTCTCGAAGTCTTCTTTCCCCTTGATGCCTTTACAGGAAGTTGCTTGCCTAGAGGACAGAGTCAGACGTCATGAAAAATTCAATCATGAAATGATGCACCATGCCCATCACTCCGCTCAAACCTCCACTGCTGGCGCCACCGATAAAGTTGCTCATCTGCTTCTTCATCAAAAGCTGCATGGCGTAAGTAGCAGCGCTGTTCATGACGCTTTGTTTAGCCTCGCTAGATCCGCCACCGGACTGTTCGAAGAGCGAGGAGGCATGCTGCATGGCCATGCCAACCAGCTTGCTCTGCATATCACCTCCACCGCTGCTTCCGTGACTTCCGCCGCTCACCATGTCCGTGAACACCTGCAAAATTATGGGTATTTGCGATCTTGATCTTGATCGTGGCTTACTTTGAAGGCTGCAGCTCCGCCCATTGCATCGGGTGCCATGCCTTGTGGGCCTTGCCCCCCAGAGCCGAATGCTTGGTCGTGAGCATTTTTGAGGTTTTGAATGCCATCCTCGTCGATATCACCTTGTTGCTGGACAGTCTAATTCGCAGTGATTAGGAAGGATCTAAATACGTTCAACGGGGAACGACAAACCCTGTGCGCATGAGACAATGCCTGGTCCATGAACCCGTGGTTTCCAGAGTCGACATGCTGTCTCACATCGTCCGAGTTGACTGCCATCTGCTTGTGAGCACGACAGGGGGGATCACCAAGTAGATGACATACACGAAGGTCTGTAAGACTGGGGAGGCCGGTTATCGGGAGAGTTGAACTCCTGGCCTCCAGTCTTGTGTACGTGGGCTGTCCGATGATCCGCTGCGTTTGAATATTCCTGCGATACGAACGGTGGATTGTCTACTTACTCTGGCTTTGAGACTCGGAGTAGGCTTCGTAACCTTGCTTTGCGAGATTCATGAAAGAGTCCTATGTACAGATCGAATCAATTTATGGTCAGTTTGTACTGCGCAAAGCAACTCACCATGATGATGGGAGGTTATTGGGAGGTTGATTGTAGGTAGATATATGAGACTCAGAGACACCGCATCACTCCATCGTTATCACCCCGGGACCGCAGTTAGCCGGTTCTAATCTCATCTCAGCCATTTTGGTTCCTTCCAATCAGAATCGTTCCGATGGACATAGTTCATCGTGACCCTGAGCTTCTTGAAGCTTGTCTTGAAGGGGTTGATGCTGGTCTGCAAATGACAACTCGAACGTTCCCTGTCAGTGTCAGCTGCCTACTACTAGTTCAGTGTGGTTCGAGACCGCGTCTAAAATTTCTTACGTTCAGATCAGGGTGAGTATCATTGCATACTGGCCTATTTTGCTGTCACTACTTCACACTTGGAGGTTGCTTTCAATGATTGGCTACAAGCGTGACATCCAAGAGCGCGCTAGAGGAAGTCTTCGAGACTATACAACAATACAACATCTATGGCTACACAACTTCTCGGTGTCATGGCATTCTACACAACAGTTGACTCCAGCTCTCTCTCATCTGCACCAGTAGTGGTTATCGTAGATGCGTATTGTGTGCCCGCAACTAAGGGCGTGCCGGTAGTTGCGCACGTGTTTGATGGCGGAGTAACCGCGCCAGAAGGCGAGCTACTAGAGTGCATCCCGAGGTAACCTTCCGCTGTCTCGCGTGCTTTTTCGGCCTGTGGTTGCAAAGTAGATCGTGCAACGTCAATGTGCGGTTGAGCGGCGGCTTGTGCGGATGCCAAGAACTTCTGAGCGGTTCCAACAGCAGACGATGCCGATGCCTGCCATGATGACGATATGGCGTCTCCTCCTGGCTTATTCGAAGCTTGCGGGTCTGTGCTACTGTGAAGATAGTCCTGCGAAACATATAGGCATTCAGGTTCGAAGGTAATGTAAACGCTGATCTCACCTGAGCAGAAGTGGCAATACTCTCCACCACTGTCTTTGCCTGGTCTAAATAACTTGCGCTGGTATTCTTGGCCGTATGGAGATCCCTCTGCCCTTCGGAGGCCGCGACGTTCGTCTTCTGAGTCACTTCGCTTTTGAAGACATCAAAGGCAGTACTAGTGTCTCTCTCTCCCGTCAGTTCAGACCCCATTCCCTACAGGTTGCAATGTGTAAGTGAGTTTCCGCCTGAATGGATGAACGCGACTTACTTGCGCAGCTTGAGCTGCTTTGGTTGCTGCTTGTTGAAGATGCTCCGCGTTCTCTTCCACTTCGTGTGCAACATGGGCGTTTGGAGCTTCAGCTTGCGCATGAGCGGCTGTTGTCTCATGCTGGGCTCTCCTAGGAACCAAAAATCGACATCGCATGGACTCTATGCTAAAAGATTGCTCACTCGATGCCCTGAGCCTCCTTGACATTAAAAATGGAACCTTTGTTGACTGTGTTCGACATGGTTGTTCGGTGTAATAAGTTGATAGACCGTCGCGTTTGTCTGGTCTTATGCAACTACACCTCCATGACGTCATGGCTTGATTGTAAGATTATGATGACGTCGTACTCCGGATACATGTGGATCTCACATTTCCACATTTCGCACCCTGTGACTGCTCCCGCTTGCACTGGGGGCACTTCCAGATGCGACACTTTTCCTTTTGAGCCCGGAGAGTTTCTTTGCTGACAAGGCGCGGACGCTTTCCATATACTACAGATTATCAGGCCTTATTATGTTCTGATCGCTACCATTCAACGTTCAACGTTCTGCGATGAAGAGTGCTGATGCAGGCCGGACTTTCGAGAGCGTGATGTCGCTGAGACACTCGAAGCGCTGTTCGCAACAGAGAATGAAGAGGAAAAGACAGCGGAGAACGTAGTGTACAGGCCCATCTATTGTAATTCATGGTAGAAAACGTCCAAAGGTGAACGGACTGCTTGTCTACATATTGTATGATCGAGGGCGGAGGATATCGGCGAGCTTCGAGTGATGTAGGAGCGTCTACTGCACGGTCGAGCTCGGGACCATGTATACCGGTGGTTATTCGTGCTTTGACTTGAAATACCGGTGCAATAGCGGCGGCGGCATGCTGATTCATACAGTTCTTCGGTCAGTCATTACTCGTACAATACAGCCAGTGCCAGCGACTTCCGTCAGCTACCATTATGGTCAGAAAGTTTATATATGAAGCAAGCTCCAGGCGCACCTTTTCATGCCACCCCAAGAGCACGCTGCCGCTCACATCACCCCAGCCCGGCATTCCCATACCCTTGTAAAGGTACTTCATCAATGTGTCCTGAGCATCCTGGGAGAGCGCTTTCACGACGCTGATTATCTCCGACGATTTCGTGCTATTCAGTATCGAAACAACGGTCTGTAACGTCAGGTTCTTACACAAATGTCAGTGTATTGGTGAGATGGGGGCAACAGAGTCACCTTAGCTTCCTCGACATTTGGCCCGTAAGGTATGCTGTCCAGCGCAATTCCCAGGGCTCCTGGTACGTCTCCCCTGCTCAAATGAGTAGTACTTAGGTTAGATCATGTTGTAAAGTAGCGAGGTGGGACTACTGTACCTGGCTAATGTGCTCCGGACTGCGGCCTGCTTCTGTTTCGCATCACTCAAGACCTGAGTAGGATCGCGTGGATCTGGCTCACAAAGCTCGCCCTCCAGTAGGACATCCTCGTCATATGCGTCGATGTCGATCTTTCTAAAAGACATGGTGGTTGGAATGGAGTCTCGGTCTGATCGCTGCTTATGTAAGACACCGACTCATCATTCCGATACAAACATGGGTGAAGAAATATAGATTCAGTAATTGACGACAAAACTCGGGGCATTCAGCCACTGATATCATTTGGGTACCATAGACTATCTGCAAGACTATCTGGGGTATGCTTTGTCACAGCTAAATGTGTGAGCAGAACTATTGAAGTTCTTCCCTATTTTGCGTTCAGTACGTGTTCTGACGAAGAGTTTCATCGCTGACATACCTGGCAGGCCCGCCGTCATTGGCAACAGTACTCAGTCGACGAGGAACCATTCAAGTCGCAAGTTCTGCTCTGTATAATATCAGATCCCGGGCACGGAAGCCCCCCACAAGGCTCCCAAATGCATCCACGTGCACTAAGAGGACCAAGAGCAGTAAATGCCAAAAAAATGATCGCTAAGAAATTCATCTAGACATTCAGTGTCATCAGTGGGATCTACAGGTTGGTGAGGTGAGCCTTACAGTCGAAGAGTGCGAGATCTTTGAAGCTGAGTGTGGGTTTTTCTTTTACAACTGGTTGTTCGTTAGTTCTGTGCTCAATGCTCATGCACATTATAACTGCTGCTAGTTAAAAATATTGATCCGCAAGTTCGAAAACAGCAATCATGCCTCGTGGTCTTCCTCAGGCACATCCCATCATGAGCATGCAAGGTCCGAAATACTTGCACAAGGACTCGAACTACACAAGGGTTGAGGCTAAATCAAGAGCCACCGAGCGCCTGTAAGTGCTAGACTTGAGTGTTGTGGGCAGAACTATTTTGAAGTAGTTCTGCCAGCAAAACTGGCTGAGGTTGGCAGATCGCAGGATCGCAGATTTTTTGATGGTACTAGTAGAAGTGTTTTCCGTGACATCCTGCTGGATGTGGCAGCAGTCAGATCAGTTGACCCCTTATCAACACGCTGCAGTTCCACAAAGTCGAATCGTCTCCCAGCCCTTTCAAGATCTCCATCCTAGTCCGACTGAACTCTGTGTTCATATTGCAAATACATCCCCGTCCAGCAAACCCAGCCTATCGCAAAAGTTGGCGCGGACCTTGCTGCGTATCTCAAATGTGATTAGGAAGCCGGCCTCCAGACTCACCACTGATACTACTTAGCCATTGTAGAGAGTCATAACGTACTTCAATTCACGTCGTGATATGTACCATAATCTGGATTCTGCAGAGACACCACGACGCAATCTAAGGGTATTGAGGCACACCCAACTTATTTCATTAACAATGATCAGCGCTCGCTTATTTGTCGCAGTTCTGCCGCAACCGGCAGAACTGGCATCCGGACGATACCAATGGTCAGGTGTCCTCCTCCAACATCTTACTTTAGGGACATTGCGGTTTCCATGAAGTTATAAGATCTAAATTACATCTCTGCTACCCTCGAGTTCTGTTACCCTTCGCATGAGTTCTGCCGTGGACCAAGCACAACCAGACTGGTGAGCAAAACTCCCGAGTTTTTACTAGGCCCTCCCCGGTAACGCGGCCATCAGGGATCCTATACTGCTCCCGCGATTTTGCATGTCTTGGACTTCTGCCACATTTTGGCCAGAGGGTTCTGCCGTCTGCCTGGCAGTGCCAATTCCACATGGCAGAATGGCAGAGTCCTAACCACAACACTAGTTGCAGATGAACACAACGTGGTATGAATATCCATTATAATGAAAGAGAAATCAAGTTCGTTGCGAGAATGGTTGCGGGTATATACATGCAGATGCACTTCACGTAGTCGTACAGGAGAAAAACAAAAAAGAGAGATATTCTGTAATCAAGAACATGAAAAGAGAAGCTGATAACGGATACATAACAGGTAGAACTCGTTAAATCCGACGTGTGGGCTCCTCTCGTGAGCTGAGCTTCAAGAATCGAGCAAGCACATCTTCTGAGCCACGTTTGAAGAGTTCCACTCCTCGAGCAGGATCCCAGACACGAGATGCTCGAGAGGGAGTACCAGGAGACTTCCCTTCGGCTGGTGATGCTGGACTCAGAGACGATGAAGTTGGGGATTGACTGGAAAATAGTTGAGAAGGGGACGACAGTGGACTCGGAGTCATACTCCTAGCTGCTCTCGGCGTTGTTCCGCCAGACTGTCCCGGTATCTGCGAAGGTAACAGGGTCTCCCGAGAGCTCATCATAACTGGAGAAACGAAGATCGCGGTGTTGATACCTGCGAAACAGCAGGGGACACCAAGCCGCTTGTTTCAGCACCTGCAGCAACATTCATCACAGGTGGCAACACCCTGAGACTTGATGAAGGATGCCAGTGCTTCTTCATAGATCCGCTATGCGTGCGCGCTTTCAGCGACCGCTTTACAGCGACATCTTCCTCCGAAGAAACCTGCACACTTTGGGTGCACATTTCCTTCGTGTCCGTCTGCACTCCAAATGATCGGTATTTCTTCTTTGTAGTTGCGATGCTAGAACTGCGAGATCGTACCTCTGTCATTGTTCGCTTGCCTTCGTCCTCATCCGAGTCCATCTCATCATCACCATCGTGACTGCTAGCTTCTGACTTCTCCTCCCAGGGTTTCTTTGGGTTTTCGAATGCAGTTGCTAAAGGAGTGTGCCCTGGAGGGCGCGCAAGCTTCGAAGCAAACTTGTGGATACCAGGAACACCATCCCACATGTTCCCAGATGTCAATGATGGGAAACCTGCTAATGGAGAAGGCATTGGCTGGTGTGCTCCAAACTCCCTGCTCAACTTGCGCTCAGGAGTGGATGGAAACGATAGGCGAGACGGGGACTGAAAGAACATTGACCCTTGTGGGCGGGGCTCGCCCTCTGGGAATACACGTGTAGGAGTAACACGAGGGCGCTCCTCCCAAGGGAAGACACGCTTAACCTTGGTAAGGTCAGGAGTAGGTGGCGCAGCGCCACCCTCGGTGGCAGGCCCAGTGACATTGCGGTAGTGCCCTAGTTGGAGTAGCATCTGAGGAATCTCAGGTATAGGTGGTGGGCTGAAGAGTGTTTGGGGCGATGGGTCTCCCTGGACCGGGCTAACTTCCGTACTCGTTGCATCTGTCTCAGAGGACATGCTCGAGGAAGACCTTGATGATGGCCCGGGATCTTTGTTTCTACAGGGAGACTCATCCCAGATATTCGGGAAATAGGTGTCTCTTGGGATTGCGGAAGGAGTGGTTAAGGTCTTTGGTGGCGCTTCGATCGTAGCATCCCACGAGAGAAGGGGCGGAGAAGTAGGGTGCGATCGCTCGATCCTTCGTTCTTGCAACGAAAGGGGCGACTTTGGTTGATTTAAGCGCACGGCTGACTTGGAGGACGAGGTGACAAAGTGGAGAGGTGTCGGGGGGAGAGATAACAGGCGCGATTGTGGCGCAGGAGGCACTTCATCGACATTTGGAGTTGGCAACGTAGTCCATCTTACAGGTGAACCCAATGATAGTGAACCTATTTGTTGAACAGGTGTTGTGGGTTCGGCGACTGCCTCGCTGAGATTTGGATCAGGAGGCTCAGGGGCAGTCTGGTGAAGATCATGATCCTCAGGCTTTGCGGGGCGTGGTCTCATAAGATCCAAACGCCCCTCAAGGGGCATGCTCTTGTACTCGCCCTCTCCTTTCAATCGATCACCAGACCGGAAGCCCATTATACCCATGCCCTGAAGGGCCAAACGACGTAAGACGTCGAGACCAAGTGGACCTCCACTTGGTGCTCCCGCAGTCTCTACCACCGCAGGGGAATTCCCCTTCATCATCCCATGCAGACACGTATTTGCTGACAGGAACACCGAGATCCGGTGAGATGGGTTTTGATCGAAAGTGCTTGTCATAAACACTGTACCATCGATCGACGAGCGAACCATAGTCGTAGGCTTGTTGAGGTTGCTTTACTGGCTCTGATACTGTAGACTGTTGTTCCATCTGAGATGATGGTACTTGGGTGGAGGATCCTGGGGCGCGATAAGGGATGGAGTGCCAGGGCTTATTAGGTCCGATGAAATGCACCACTGATATCTGGGAACCGAACCGTTCATATGCAGGGGCATACCTGATTCGTAATAAATATGTCATTAACCACACAAGGGAAAGGTGATACGATATTACTGACGTATAAGCAGCAGTAGGAGTCGTGTTGTAAGTGAAGCTAAGCCTATTCCAGTTGCCTCCCCTCCATTCATTCAAAACACCTTGATCTCCGCCGTCCCAGCTTCCATTTGTTTTCAGAAGCTCTTGGAGCTCCGTGAACTTATCTTCACTAGGAGATAGCACCATCACACCCGAGTTGAATATATCGGGCCATCCTACGTCAGGTGCCGCGGAGAACTCGTGATCAAGGTGGAATAGGTGGGATAGGGGGCGCAATGGGAGAACATCCGCATCAAGGAATATCACCTTGGAGTACTGCGCGAGGCGGAATACGTGTAGTTTTGTCAGGACGGTATCAAGGTCAGGGCGTCCTGCAATTAAATGAACATGATATTAGCCCAGCTATTCCCACTGTATGCGGGTGGCTGATGGAGAAGCTTGGACACGATGCATTCATACCCCACATCTGGGGCACAATGTGCACAATACAGAAACTGGCCTGGGAACCGTTACGGATATTCCGACAGAGAAGTTTTTCGTGCCCTCAGCTGATACCATTCAGACGCAACCCAGTCAACGCAGCAACGACTCACCCAGTAAATTTAGTCCAGTAGGATCGGATTGGCCTATCACCTCAACACCAATGACAATATCGTATGTCCTTCTGAGTAGCTTGATTGTAGTGATATCAAGGGTTTCTGGTGTGACCATGCACACTGTGTCGTACTCGACCTCACGAGGTTCAGTTTGCACATCCTTTAAGGCACCCGAAATGGCGAGTGCACCTGGGAGATAGGAATCTGAAGTTACGAGAGTCACGAAAGCAAAATGAATGGACATGGCGAGGACAAGAAATGCCTTAAATGCGTCCACAAGGACGCGTCAGACGTATAACTTAGTGGAACTAGGTGAAAGAAATAAAAATACCAACAGAGCTTATCGTAGGAGAGTGAAGGTTGCTCCAAACATGTTGACGAAGTTCACAAGGTAAATTATTTATAAAAATAAATAACACACGTCATATCCTCACTCTCTCCATCCAGTAAAGGGTTCGCCTAGACTTGAGTTCTAGCCCAACCCCGTTCACAAAACGAAGAAATGAGGATTCTAAACCGAAAGTACTATCGCATGCACAATACACTGAATAGTGACGAAAATAAGCTGCGTGAGAGTTTATTCGTCTCGGTTCTTGTGCATAAGACCTTGGCGCTCCTCATCTGCGCCATCTTCTTTATCACCGGATGCTCTACGCTCCCCACCACGCCGCTTCTTGGCGGCCGTCTCACCTTCATCGTCGCTTCCTATATCCTCGTCGCCGATCTCAAACACGACGTGATCCTCTGCAAGCGCTTCAGGTTCTCGCCGTGAGTTCACGAGTGTGATCTCATCATCCTCTCGGGCAACCGTACGTTGTTGAAGTGTCTCGAGATCATAATCCTCAGCATCTTCATCTTCCTGTGCGATTTCGTCGGACATGGCAAGGCGGCGGTTGTTTTCTGATGGTCGCCAGAGGTACGCAATGCTCCAGAAGGTGAAAAAGTAGAGGAGGGCGAGGTAGCCGTCAAGGAGCCACCAACGAATTTTCCACGATTTCGCTGCGTAATCTACAAATCATATATATTCAGACGGATCAAAAATTGGTTCGCGGATAATGACACACCTTCAGCTAGTCTATCAGAGAATGACATCGAAGAGATAACGAAAAAGACGGCGATGATAACTACCGTGCCAAGGAGGATATAATACAGGCGTTTGAACATCCTGAGCTTATATCTTTGCTTTCGCACACTGAGCTGCGTTATTGTACCTAAAACAGCTACATGAGAAAGCATGTAAGGTGAAAAAAATTGGACATACCATTCAACGAGTACAGGATCCACATCAGGAACCCACTCAAAGTAAATGCCAGTGGTATGACGAACATCAACAGTATCAATGCTGACGTCGACTCGAGTTCCAGTTCAACTATACCCACGGCGTACAGTACTGGTGACAACACAACGGTCATTACACCTCTGATATCATGAAGAACTGAGCTTACCTCCGAAAACAAAGTGCAGCCCTGCGAGGATCTGACACTTGAGCATTGTGCGCCCCAGAGATTCGCGGACGACGCTGAGCCCCAGTGATACAACAAGGAGCATAAAGAAGGAAAGGGCATTGCGCCCCGCATCCAGAATGGCAACTGCATAGGGTGAGCGACTGATTGACTATTCCATTGATTGTTCATACCAACAAAAAGAAAGACGACTGACGCCGCGGTCTTCCCATGTGCATTGAGGTATCGGTAGTATACTAGGCATGGTCAGTACTGAGGTGAGGTCATGAAAAATGTCCTACCCCAGTTTGCAACCATTTCGATGACAAGGAACGCAACCAAGCTCGAGAGGTAGTACTGAGATAAACATTAGAACATCCAAGGTGTATAGAACATGATGACGGACCTGAATGGGTAATAGTTCTGTAACATGTTTATAACAGAGCCATGCCCACGCAGAGCCTGCGATGACATATACAAGGAACATGGCAAGGTAAAACTGAGTGTTGTGATGAGAGAGATGGCAGCAGACCACGTTTTTGGCTCACGTTAACTTTGGGATAGTCGGTCGCAGGAAGCTGTCCATCAAAGGTATTGCGGAAAAGAACGACGCCGTTGTATGTAGGATGAGACGGGACATCCGTAGGTGCCTGACGGACAGCGGGATTCAATACCGTCACAGGCACGATAGCTGCGGCAGAGATAAGTCGGGAGAGACAAGACGATATGACTTGGACTTGCCTGCGCAATAATATCCTGTCTTGCGAACTTGATACTGTATAGGCTGTGAATATGCAACAGTCCCGTACGGGCTCGGGTTTAGCATGTCACTCGATTGTCGAAGACTGTTGTGTAGGTCTCGTGATCTCCACGGTGAAGTGTCATTATCAGCAGGAGGAGTGGGGTTACCCTCTGGGCTTTCCCACAACCCTGATGAATCTGAGGATGCGCCGCTGGTCTGGTTAAGGGCAACGCTAGCAGTCCAAAAAGTAGTTTGATTTGCGGTGGTCCCGTCATCAGATGAGAATATGAATTTCCCAACATTTTCATATGCACAGAGGCCAACTCTGACTGCGTCTGTTGTGCATACGTAAGTCTTCTGCTGGGGGTATAATAGCTGAGTTCGGCGACAAATCATGTTGTAAGGGGTTACTCACGGGTAGGGAGTCATCCGTCGTGGAGGTAGTGACACCAAGATACTTGACATCCTTCCATTCATATATAACCATTGCTACCTGTCCTTGTGAAGAACTTTCATCAAATGTGACTACGACACGTCGTGTAAGTATCTGGCGAACATATGTAGTGCACGTGCTGCGCACCATTGATGAAAGTCGACTGGCTTGCCCACATTCCCGAACATACTTGGCGAGAATAATCCGCGTCTGAGAACTCGAGCTCATATCCAGTTGCAAGGGAGCAAGCAAACAGAACACCGAGCGCGATCGCCTGCAGCTTCGAATTTTGGCGCATCCAGAAAGCGTTTGTTGTGGCTTGTTTCTCAAAGGCTTCTCGTCTTAAGTTGGAGTCGACTTTGTCCACAGCAGTTACTGCGCCCAGCTTCAAGTAATTAACCGGGAAGCACCGCTCCACAGCACCAGCGGCGAACCAAAAAGTTGACAGTCGTTCACCGCTGAACCCAGTATGCTCGGCGACTGAAGAGGACGTTTTTGACAGTGTCACTTGGGAGTCTCCTTCAGCACCCTATCACGCCGATCACACCGTCCAACCGTCTGGCCCAGGCTTCAAGCAGAGTACGGCAGGGACAGAGGATGAGCGGGGTCCACACGATCCAAAGTGGGAGGGATATCTCATTGTTACCGTCAAAGATCCTGTAAAGGAGCTTGCAGAAACTAAAGACGCATACGTCTCCTACCTAGTCTCAGCGAAGGTGCGTTGTAATATAACTCGAGCTCTTGTGCATAATTTTGAGACATCTGCAGACCAATCTTCCAATCTTCTCTACTCCTAATCCTTCCTCTCGTCGACGATTCCAGGACTTTGTATTTCTGCGAGACCACCTTGTGAAGGATTTCCCAGCATGCGTAGTACCTGCTCTTCCCGACAAGCACCGGTTAGGTATATATTACCGTCGTAATCTTAATGTTGTCTAACCACGCATAGAGTACCTGACGGGCGATCGCTTTAGCCCAGAGTTTATGGAGCGCCGCAGACTAGAGTACGTATGTGTGGCATGCAGACGCGTTCAATTTCTTATCTTTGACAGCCTGCACCGGTTTCTCGAACGGATATCCCGACACCCCACCCTACAACGTAGTACTCTCGTTCGTGCGTTCTTTGAGTCGACAGAATGGGTACGTCGATCAAGCCAGTCCAAACACTCCAAACACCCCTGACACCTTCCAGCACGTCCATATGCATCAACATCTCGCACACCCCCCAGGGCCAGAACCCACACCAGGACTCATCGATAACATCTCAGACACCCTCTTAAACGCGTTTGCACGTGTCCGCAAGCCCGATGAACGCTTTCTCGATATGCGCGAATCTGTCGATAAATTTGAGGATGGGCTTGTCGTTTGCGAGCGCCTCTGGAACCGCGTCCGTGGTCGTACAAACGGTGAGCCTACCTTGTAACAGCGTGAGTGAGTATCTGAGACTGAACGAGGTGGCGGTCTTGCTCCCGGCGAAGATCTGACAGCGGATTATCACGATCTCGCCGTCGCCGTGCAGGGACTTGGTTTTCTGGAGTCGGGGATTACAGACCCATTGAGCCACTTCTCAAATACCCTGCTCGAATTTTCTGCATTGCTCAGACATAAGGCATGATGTTTTGATGGTATTCGAGTTATAAACTCACCCCTCCTTTCAGACTCAAACGACCACTGACCCTTTCCTCGTCCATCTTCATTCACTGCTAACCTACTCCCACGCGAACCGTGCAGTCCTGAAACTTCGTGACCAGAAGCAACTTGATTTTGAGGAATTATCGGATTACCTTTCTGGAGTAACACAAGAACGTGATCGACTGTCTGCCGTTATCTCAGGGCATGCAGGAAGTACCGGGCTGGGGCTGAGTGCATACCTAAAGGACAAAGTGGATTCTCTCAGGGGCGCTGACGATGATCGGAGCCGAGTTGAGAAGATGAGAAAGTTGGATGTCAAGATCAAAGAAGTGCGTGCACCTACTGCGATATTTAATTGTCTGTTTTTTCAACCTCAGAGTTAGCTGCAAGACGCTGTAACAACAGCACACGAGACATCAGATGCATTCAGTGATGAGACACTGCGGGAGCAGACTATATTCCAATATACGAAGGAAGCGGAGATGAAAGAAATGCTGGGGAACCTTGCAGACGGTGAAATTGAATTTTATCAGTCGGTATGTCGTTTTTTCAATTAGTCTAATACCCGAGTTTCATAATTCGGTCTAGGCAATGGAGGAGTGGGAGCGGATTATACCTATCATCCAACGTATACGGGTTGACGTTTAGTGTTCACTAACATGATCTAATGCTTTCATATTCCGTTTTGCTGTTATCTCGCACATCATGCAAGGACTTCGTTCGCAATGTATTATTAGTAGTTTAAATTAGGTTATGATCAAGGATGTCAACTAGTTTGGGCGTTTCCTTGTCGTTCGGTATCGTGCACGGAATCATCTGGGTCCTTGGTGGGTTGGAGCTTTTCTTCGGATTCTTGGACTGCAAGAGAGATCTGTGATACTGTGAATGACAAGCTTCGACCCTTATCAACGTAACTTGCGTACATTGATGATACCTGTGTCCACTGCCCGAAGGAGGTGCAACTGGGCTTCTTCAGATGCCCCAGAGGTAGTGTGTTGACGATCTGCAGGTACCCATGGTGGGGGTTCCTTTCGAAAGCTAAACTGTCCGTTATAAACATCTAACTAGAATCCTTACATCATCCTTGGAAGCTGAGGGCACTGTATTTTCCTTGAGTTCAAGGACTATTGCAA